GTTCTTTAACCCAAGTTTGTTTTTAGTGATGTCAAAAATGGCATTGATTCTTGAATGACTTGATATTTGCATTTTCATGGTGATTTTTATCCTTTAGGGTTTTGACAGATCCAGTCCCCATTCACTTTCATTGTATAGAGGAAAACAGCATTTGTGTTCTCTGCAACATTACCTTTTAGGTAACGTTAAAGGTTCACACACGAATCTTTACTTTCCACCTTTGTCCATACATGTAATTTGCATGTTTTTTGCACAAACGGCTTCCTCTTTACTTCCTGGTTGTGCTTTATCCACAGAGAAACAGAAATCTGAGCAGTTCTTTCGGGGAGTCTCGGTGTACGTCACCGCAAAAAGATGAGCAACAAAAACTGGTAATGACTCAGAAAACGTCGTTTTGTTTGTGCTTGCGTGTTGTTTTTTCTCACGACCCTGTCTTGTGTGTGATAGGCCGTGCCGTTCTGTGGCGGCATCCGGGGGGGAATGCGACCGGGGAAGAAAATCACCATCATGGGCGTCGTGAGCGCTGATCCAGACAGGTAGCTCACGTCAAAAACACACACTTGCACCTTGTACACATGCAGGGACGCTTATCTGTATAACTCAAGTGATCAAAGTCTGTTTTCCAGCGTAAGTAGGAATGAGTTTGCACAGAAAACCTGATAAAATCACAATGTCTAGACGTTTGAATTTTCTTGAGTGCGTGATCTTGTTTTGGTTGTTTCACCGTCTCTTCTCTCTCTCTCGGACAGTTTCGACATCAGCCTGACGTGCGGGTGTGAAGACGTGGCTCTGGATATGTGTGTACGATTCGAAGACCGGGAGATTTTGCGAAACGCCTGTGTCTCTGATAGCTGGGGTGAGGAGGAGAGGTCAATGCCGTATTTTCCCTTCATCGCAGAGCAACCTTTCAGGGTCAGTATCACAATCACTATCATCTGAAGTTTACTTAAAATAACTGTGCGCGAAACAAAACGGTGTTGTTGAGTCACAAGTCCTGCATTACTATCTTTCTGAGTCTGTGTTTTGTTTTGTTTGTTTGTTCAGGTCGAGATCATCTGCGAGCACCCGCGCTTCCTTGTGCTCGTGGACGGCCATCAGCTGTTTGACTTCTACCATCGCGTGACGCCGCTGACGTCCATCGACACCATACAGATCAGCGGCAGTGTGACCATCACCAAGCTGAACTGAAGTGAAAGCGCAGGGAAGACCGTCTGTGATACTGAAGGACACTCCAGAATCTGTCGAGCTGATGAATTGAACTTCAAACCTCTTTTTTGAGCTGTGAGGAGGCTTTTCTTTTCATGAGCATCATAATTATTATGCTGAAGTCAACATGAAACGGCACTTTACAATAGTACAATAATGATAATTCATAGAAGTATATTTAATTGTTAGTTTAGCTTACGTTAGCTAACATGAGCCTGAAGTGTGTTTTTCCAGAAAAACTGTGCTGCTGGTGAACACTTTTAAAGGTGCAGTAATCGATTTCAGAGAAACATTGTTGATACTTAAAATACAAATTTGATGCGAAGCAAAATAATGCTTTGCAAAGATGACGAATGACAACATAAAGTACACAAGAGAATATACAAGCGAGAGTTTGTTGTTAGATGCCACCGGCTCACTCTCCTCCATCATGAGTGGACACGCCCCCAACTGCTGATTGGTTCACTCTCTCTCCTTCATCATAAGTGGACATGCCCCCTACTGCTGATTGGCTCACTCTCCATCACGAGGTGACACGCCCCCACTGCTGATTGGCTCACTCTCCATCACAAGGGGACACGCCCGCAATGCTGATTGGCTCACTCTCCATCACGAGTGGACACGCCCCCTAATGCTGATTGGCTCACTCTCTCACCCCCATTATGAGAGGACACGCCCCCTACTGCTGATTGGCTCTCTCTCCTCCCCCATCATGAGTGGATACGCCCCTACTGTTGATTGGCCACTCTCTCCTCCATTATGAGTGGACACGCCCCCTACTGCTGATTGGCTCATCATGAGTGGATACGCCCCTACTGCTGATTGGCCCACTCTCTCCTCCATTATGAGTGGACACTCCCACTGCTGATTGGCCCACTCTCTCCTCCATTATGAGTGGACACGCCCCCTACTGCTGATTGGCTCTCTCTCCTCCCCCATCATGAGTGGATACGCCCCTACTGCTGATTGGCCCACTCTCTCCTCCATTATGAGTGGACACGCCCCCTACTGCTGATTGGCTACAAGTGTGTCGTGCTGCTCGGTCCAATCCACTTTCGACAGCATTTCTCAGAAATCACTTACTGCGCCTTTGAGGCTTTTCAGAGGAAGAGCAAACAATTTAATTAAAGATAATGAATGCAAAATATAAAAAATACCAATAAGTCAAGCACAATAAGAGCAAGAGTATGAATTCAGAAAGTAAAAGGAGTTCTGGTTTTATGTTGGCTTTACAGCGTTAAAATAGAGATGCCATAATTCTTATATTAGCACACTTTAGAAATGAATGAATGAATGAGTCGAGATGTTGATGCACAACTAACAAGCTTCATTGGAGAACCTGTTATGAAAAGCTATAAATGAACGTACTGCCTAAATGTAACAGTGCTAATGCTCCAGCTAATGTTCTCAGGTGTGAAACCTAAAGAGATTATTTATTTATTTCCTGAATACGTCTTTATAAACTAAAAGGGGTGACGTATGTTTTACAGTAATAGTGATCATTCCATTGTTGTTCCGTTTACAAGCACTGCATTTTATGTTTAGTTAAAGAGACGCGACAACGCGATGACGTGAAGTTCATTCAGGTGCTTTCGTTACTTGAGACTGGAAGAATAAATCCAGAGATGAATTATTGCATTCCAGTGCTGTTGAATGGCTGTTATGTATTTATGGTCACTGAGCACACGGTTACACAAATAAAAGTCTTCTAATGAATGATATTGTGTTGTGAGTGATGTTTGTAGCAAGGACACTATTGACCAGTACTGTAGATCATTTGAATAAACCAAAGGTGTGTAGAGGGAAAGTTATAGCTATACTGAGGTACAGAAAGAGATTTAAAACATGTGACTGGAGTATCACAGTCCTATTACACAAACATTTCTCTTCCTGTCTGGATAGTTTTAATGTAGATGTTTACAGCTCATGCAATATGAGACTCGTGTCGTCTTTCTGCATATTGTGCAGTTAAACTCTTGTCTTTGGTTTTCCTGTTGCCGTTCTTATCTCTATTCTGCTTCCTGGTGATTCTATTATAGTAGAGTTGTCTTTTTAATTGTTTTCCTTTCAGTAGATACTAGATAGAAATGTGCTTATTTAATTTATTTAAACCTACTATGTTTATATGAAATTATATGATATGTGTTTTGAATTGTATTATTGTATTGAATTATTATTATGTCACACTTAGGTCCATGAACATATTTAATAATAAGTTATAAATAAGTTAATAATAATAAATTTAACTTAAATAGCACCTTTCCCAAGCTTATAGAGAAAAACAAATCATGCAGAGTGTAAAATAATTATAAAAAAGTAGTAGTAATAATAATATTTATAAAAAATTTAAATCAATAATAAAATAATAGTAATATTATTTAATATTAGTAATAGTAGTAATAGTACATTACAATAAATATTAACCATTTATTGAAATATAACTTTATTATAGTAAATATTTTAGATGAGATTCAAATAAACAACAGTACAGTAGAAAAAACGTTATTTACTGAATAAAAACGAAATATTTTCCAAATAATATTTTACACATATTAATAACATATATTTTTTCACAGTATAAATTTGGTTTTTGGCAAAACAGTGCATTTCCTAAAATAAATAAATAAATAATAAAAAAAGACTTAAAAATAAAAGAAAAGTTAATGTAACTAGAAACTAAATATCTTAAAATAAAATAAATAGATTAAAATAAATATTAAAAAAGATTAAAAGTCAAATGTGCTGAAATGCATGATATAAATAAATAAATACAAACAAATAACAATAAAAAAGTTTAAAAAAAACAGCCAACAATAAACAAATAAACAATACATATTACAGTGACTAACTTAATATATAGAAACTATTATTTCCAAATGATATTTAACACATAATATTAATTTGTCACAGTATAAATTTGGTCTTATACATAGAAATAATATATATTGCTGACTTTTACATGTTAGTAATTCAGTTCTGGGTTTAGTTTAAATCTCCCAAATCAGCTTCATCCAATCAACATGAGAGTCCAGAAGTGCCACACCATAGCCCCTGGTGCATGCTGGGTAATCCTCGGGAAAAGAGCAGGATACACTCTCACACACACACACACATACACACAGTCTGACAGAGAGAGCTCGAGCCAGTTGTGTGTGTATGTAAGAGCTACAGATGCTCGCCGTGAGGATGGACGCATCACTCCGGACTCCTGAGGTAAGAAGATGACTGACAGCTGCGCGAGAGCTAGCCGTTAGCATCTAGGCTAATGCTAGTGTTAGCCTGCTAGCATCGCCGTTGTTAATCAATGGGTTCTGATGCTACATTGAGTTTGCATGCTAACTGATTAAGTTTGCGCTTCTAAATCACCTAGAGAACAATAACAGGACTGTTATGGCAACTTTTTCATTGTTTAGAAAAAAGCAGCTTGTTTTAACAGCGAAAAACAACTCAGTTTATGCTGTCAGGTATAATTTCACTACTGTGATCAGGCTAATGGCTAACTGCTAGCCGGAATGTAAACATCACCAAAACGATTCGATTCTGTCCAAAAGACTAAATGTCAGTTTTATTCGGATTTAATTCGTAAATAAGCCATCCATCTGGCTTTTTTACGTTTGTTATTATGGAGAGTTGTATCATTTTATGTCATGTAGGCCTGCTGTTTCTTGACAGCTGTGATATTTAAATCAGCTAAATTATACGAAATAACTGATTTAATAACTGTACTCTTAAAGTGTGTCTTACGTACTTTGAAAACTGTCATATAACAGCAAAAATGTAATCAAACGTTGCTTTTGTACCTCAGAAGAGTTACAGTACTGCAATACAGTCATCATATGAGTAATGTGAATGTATGATTATAGATATTTATAGATGTAATGCCCTTTAAATGGATTTATCTTTAGGAAATAGTGTGCTTTTTTGTCAATCTGATCAAATGAATGATGATGTCCTTCATCCCATGTTAATTTTTATTCTTTCAATTCACTATAAACAGAAGAGTAAATGATTCAATTGGAAATCTGATGGTACGTTTTGTGTGTGTTTGTGCTAGAATAGAGAAACCTTTAAATGGCATTTGGGTAGCTAAAGTAGTGGTTTGGCAAAGATCATGTCATTGTTTGAGCCGTCTTTCAGCAAACAACACATTCCCACTACAATAGAGCGTTTAAAAGCCCTGCTTTATTTGGCTTGTGCTTTTTCTCTACTTTGTAAATAATTGCATTCAGTGACTGAATTCTTTTGGTTTGTTTATTCACGAGTCACGACTCTCTGAATTGATCCGGTTTCCCTGTTGCTCCACTACGTCTCCTAGTATTAGCACTTAATCAGTGTCTAATTTGAAGACAAACTGTCTAGTTTTACTCTGGTTGATTTGATTTGAGTTAGACAACAAGATCCGGTGTCTGTAAAGGCACTTTTCTGGCGAGCGCTGCCATCAGGAAGCGATTGTTCAGTGGGATTGCAGTGGTTATCAGTACTTTAAATAGACATATTTAACACTAGTCTTATTCATATCAAGCTTAAGAAGATTTATTGATGGCTGTCTCAAAAGCTCTGCATGATTTAAGGTATTAAAGCACATTAAAGCAAGGTATTATTCACTCACTAGAATGTAATATTGTGTTAAAATCACACTTTTTGACACGCAGTAGTGAAGTGTTTCTTGTCTTTGCAGACGCAGTGATTAGACGCAGGACGGGGCTGATGTAGAAAGCGAGGCTCGTGTTAGTTCAGGAGGAGTGTGTGCAGAAACTCCTGCTGTTTTAAACATGCAGCGTTAAAGAAGGCGCCGACTTTCTTTGTGTGTCAGAAATCATTTCCAAATGACTCTTTCCATTTCAAATTACGTGTAATTACAGTTTTAGACTAATCCTGTGGGCATCCTGACACTTTGACGATATTAATAGCGTTCCAACAGTTTTTCCAACACGATTTTGGAGCAATTATTTTGTTTGTTATATATCAATATGACTATAAAATAATAATATAACTTTTTGCTATGATTACTGTTACTATTAAATAAAAATATTAAACAAAACAAGAACCATTACTAATATTATGTATCGCTGTAAAAATTAAAAAATGAGTTAGAAAAATATTACAATAGTTATATTTCACTGTACAACTGAAAAAGTACAATACTAGTATTATTGCTGTCTTCATTTATTCATATTAAAATGTTTAAAATAAATCAAGCTTTTATTTTGGTGGAAAAAAACTTAAAGCGTCTCTTTTGTTGATAACAAGTATGGGAAGATGGCTGGCGTATATTGCGTTCCCAAATCCACATGAAGATGAATATTGATGTGATTATTAAATTACAAAGGCTACGATTTAATTAAACACAAACACTACATGTTACAGAATGAATTTGGGCTGTGAAACAATTAATTGCATCCAAAATAAAAGTTTGTGTTTACATAATATAGCCTATGTGTGTGTACTGTGTATAATTATTCTATAGATATAAACACACACACATGCATATATATTTAAAAAATATTTGCATGTATATACTGTATATATATTTATATACAATTTATATATATAATTTTTTTCTTAGATGTATACATACGTGTGTGTATACTGTACGCAGTACACACACATATATATATATATATATAAACAAACCCAAACTTTTATTTTAGATGCAATTAATCGTATAACTGTGTTCATTTACTCAAGGAGCTCATAATCCCGTGTTTAGGAGCCGCTGATTTTGAGACTTGAAACACTGGATCATGAGCTGCTCGTGTGTAAATGAACACAGTGCTGCGCTTCACTCTGAAACATGCTGCGCATTGGTGTTACATTGTATGTGTGTGTGTAAATGAATGGACAATAGAGACACCAGAATAACGTTCATGATGATTCTGAAGCTGAAAATGCAGAATTATTTTAGATGAATAGTCTTGCGCTCTGTCACTGGCTAGATATATTTAAAATAATGTAAAAAGTCACTTTTAACTGGTAACATCAGACATTTGGCATTACCAGGACCCACAAATATTCCCTCATTGCATTCAACATATACTGTATTGCAATATATTGTGACACAATATATTGTTACATCCCTAGTAAATTAGATTTGTACGTATTTTTCCATTTCATTTGCCAAGAAAACTCTCTCAAACAATCACACATCTAGATCTAGTTGTTGCCAAAATCTTGCTTTGTGTCTCATTGGAAAATACTGGTCTGTAAGATTACAATTTGTACTTGTTTTGCCACAGTCCTATTCATGATGCTAATCTAGCGTACATTGCTTTGCTAATCTGCTGCAGGCGTGAGCTCTTGGCCGTGTGTTTCTGCTCAGGTCCCCATGGAGCCTGACGTGATACGCATGTACTCCTCCTCCCCACCCCCGATGGAGGACGGCGTCGAGGACGAGGACGATGAATTCAGTGACTTCACCGGCGTCCCGAACAGCACCAGCTTCTCGGAGTTCGAAACGCCCACCTTGTTCAACCAGAACCGGGCTTTAAACGCCACCTCGCCGCCGGAGCTACTGAGCAACGGGAGAATCGTGGGACTGTCGTCGCAAACCGCAAAGGCTAATGGCGTAGCGCCTAGCCAGACTGGCACGCCCAATGGCAGAACGGTTAGTGTGGAGGAACTTAAAAAGTTGACTGAGCATCAAGCTCACATCACGTCCCTGGAGTTTGCAACCGGATCTCGGACTGATAGCGTTGACTGCAACGGCACCGCTGAAGTGCTAACAAACGGATTTGCAACGTTAAATCAAGGAGAAAGCCCACCTACGCCACGCAAAAACAATGAAAGTCCAGATGATTTTGCAGATTTCGCTGCTTTTTCAAATGCCGAACACAACCAGCCTTCAAACACAGACTGGGAACATTCAAATCAACCGGCGCAGAATGACATTAGCGACGGTGTTGTTGAAGCGCGAGGAGCTAGTAAAGCAGACGACAGCAGGGATTCGAGAAACACAGGGTTTGGAGTCCCTTTGGAAAACTCGGAAGGTCTCAGCAACGGGAGCTTGAGTTTCCATGAAGGGTCGGATTTAGATCGAAAGGATCTAGAAGTTGATGCTACTGAAGCTGTTAGCACAGCGCAACCGCTAGCCGTTAACGGTGTAGCCGATGATGGCTGCGTTTCGCCCGACTCTGAGGAAAGATGTAGTGCTGAACAATCAGATGAGAAAGGCTCAGAGAACGAAGAAACGGAGACGGAAACAGAGACTTCCTTCGGTCGGCCGCTATCGACAGACGCGCTCGAGGAATTCGGCGACTTTAGCACGACGGGATCCGTACCTTCGCCTCCGCTTCAGGAGGACACTGCCACTCCGGCTGATCACAGCCAACTCGCCGAGGACGACGACGATGAGGATTTCGGAGATTTCGGGGACTTTGGCGACGCTAGCTCATTTAGCGCGACTGGATTTGCTGATTTCGACCAGCAGGGGGCCACAACGCTAGTCGCTCAGGCTGAAACGGACCCCACAATGGATGGTGAAGAAGATGAATTTGGCGATTTTGACACATCAAAAGAACCTTGTAAAACGGATTTGGCTGGCGAGGAAGCAACTGCGTTTCCTGGAAGTGACAGTTTTGCGGATTTCAGCTCCGCGACAGTGGAAAATGCCGCTGATATAGGAGGATGGCAGGCTTTCTCTGAGCCGGATCAGAGCCAGAATGAAGAGGAATCGTGGGCATCATTCGGGCAGGAACAGGATTCAGTGTGTTCTGAAAAAACTGGAGACGAATGGCAAGGGAGTCAGACGCTTACGGCGCCCCCTAGTGTTGCGGAGGAGCGCAAAAGTTGTACAACGGTAAGTCTGATTATCTAAAATATTGGTTGGTTGATTTATCTTTCCTGTTTTTCATTCTGTTCCTCAAATTGTTGTCCTAAACGGTGAAAGGTGTTGAAAACTGGCTGGAAAGTGATACCAGATTCAGGAATGTACCTGGACCGGATGGTTTACTCTTTCTACATGGCTGATTAAGCATTCGTTAATTTCACTGTACAAGTTAGTCATTAAGTCGAAACTAAATGCATGTTAAAAATAGGAAAAACACTTTATTTTAAAATAAATCAGTTTGCTCTCTCTAAGCGTAAAGATCAATAACATTGGGTAATATATTACATTTTTAATTGCACTGGGCTATTATCATTTTCTGTAATGCATGTGCACTATCATTCAGAAGTTTGGGGTCAAAGGAATATTGGGACACTGTTTTCTATGTGAAGATTTGTTAAAATATGATTTATTCCTGTGATCAAAGATATACTATTTCAGCATAATTACTCCAGTCTTCAGTGTCACATGATCCTTCAGATCAATCACTCTAATATGAGGATTTGATGCTCAGGAAATATGCATTATTATTATCAATGTTGAAAATAGTTGTGCTGTTCAATTATTTTGTGAAAATGTGATTGGCATCACAAAGATAGAAAGCGGAAAAAACAGCATTTACTTGAAATATAATTTTTGGTAACATTATACATGTTTTTCCTGAATAAAAATGAAAAATGTATTAAAAATAAATATAAAAATCTTATCAACCCCAAACTTTTGAACAGCTGTGTATGTTAATAATCAACGTTTCTCTCACCTCATCCACTATCTTTGATTTAGTTGATAAATATTTTGAATCAATTTTCAATAATCAATGTTGGATTTTGTTCAATTGGCCGTTGTTTTCCATGAAGACTGCGCTGTTCAGCCGCTTGGAGAAGATTTTCCAGGCCAGTTTCGAGCTGGTTGTCGCTCCTCGGGTGGAGGAGGACGTGTCCACGCTAAACAGCTTCCTCAAACCCCCTGACGTGTCAGCACAGGAGCACAGCGACGGAGGACAGGCCAGCGGGTGAGCAGCCACGAGTGTGTTAGCTGAGGGCTGAACGTTGTAATGAAGTCCTCATTGTTGTGCTGTGGTGTGTCTCCTCCTGTGGGTTTTGCAGGGCGTTGCGGGACGTGTGGCAGCAGCTTCAGGACGTTAACAATGCTTATGGTCTCCGGTACCAGTGGGGCGGCTCTCACACCAATAAAGCCCTGCTCTGCTCTCTCGGCATCGACACCAGAAATATTGTGAGTCGCATTGGGAAAATATTTTTTTTTGTATTTAAATATTAGCAAAATATGAATTATATTTGAATTCTTAAAGCTGCAATAGGGAGTTTTGAAAAAATGTTGACTTAGCCTGAAAATTTAAACAAGCACAACTTACAGGTCCCACCCCCTTGCTCTCTGCTGCGCTACAGCCCTCCCCCACAGTGGAGCCATCGACCGGAAGTTGAAGCCTCGCGGGAGCTGCCATCTTGTAGCAGAACTTCACTTGCGTTAGCATTCCCATTGACTCCCATTCATTTTGGCGTCACTTTGACAGCGAATAACTTTACATCTGAGGCGTTTGAAGACCCCATTTTTCCTTTATTTATTTCTAAAGAAAAACGACAATGTATAAAATGCTCCACTACTTTGTAGCTTATGTTATGGCCCTGTAGAAGCAGACTTTGTAAAAGTAGGCTAACGATTGCGTCATACCCACGCAACTCTATGTCGCACAGTAGAGAGATTACCGTATGGACAGGAGAAGAAGCTCACGCGCAGTCGGGGAAACGTGGAGGCAAAATGACAAAATAATTAAAGAATACCTACCAAAATTTTCTCCTTCTCCTAACTCATGGACAGCTCCTACTCACACTCTCCACCTCTGCGAATTTCGGAAGGGAATGATTCAGATTTCACATGCCACATCCACTACAAGACAGACGGGTTTGCTCTCGTCACATCTACGTAGTCAAGCTGTGTTTGAGTCTGCGCGTCAGGGACGGAAGTGCTAAAAAAAATTGCCAAAAACGGGCTTCAGTCGTCTCAATGGAGTTCCAATGAGATCGCTCTGTCCATTTCCTATACTGTCTATGAGCGGAGCCTGTCGTGAACGCACAGGCTAGTAAGCTGGGACACCAATGACGGCGGACAATATGTTATATGGCACATTCACTTATAGGGACGAAACATCAACAAAATGCTTTACATTGACTATTAAAGGCCTGTCCATACTTTGATTACAAACTTGGTCCTCAAGTCATTACGTATTTGCAATACATGTAATGGAAATTTATAACGTTGCACCTTTCTATAAGTTATAAATGGCTAGTAAGATAACGTAACTTATGTAATATAATTCAAGATAAGGTTTGCTAGTAGGCCTGTATTTGTGACGAGTTCAGTAGTTTTTGGAAAAAGGAGCCGGGAAATGGTGTTCTGACGATTCATGCTACCCATCGAGATTTGCTACTTATGCGCATGTGCAAACTCAGTTTTTTTTTTTTTTTACAAAAGGTACATTTTCCTGTTATAATGTATAATTTCCCTTTAAAAAATGCTTACTAATATATGAATATTTGTACGGTCAGCCAGCTGAAAACGAATAACTGAAAGTTTCAGTAAAGGTGTACGTTACTTTGACAAGTCAAAGATGGATATTTTATGATAATTTTTACTTTTCACACCGTTTTAAAAATAAAAACAGTTGTCTACAGTATATAGTAGCTACTCATAACTTAGAATTGTATTATAATTGTATTTCATACGACTTTAATCGGCATTCTGTGATCAATTCGCGCTACGGTAGCATTTTACGGTAGCAACGTTCTACAAGCTAAATAAACAAATACAGAATTCAAGTATAAGCCAGCAGCCCCTCACGGACAACACACAAAACAGCACATACAAATCACAACATAAAATCAGACCTGTTCAGCTCTCCACCGACGTCGCGATCCTCCTTGATCCGCTCCTCCGTGAGAGATGCGAGACAGTCCGCTGTGTCTAACAGGTGTCGGTCATTACCACTCACGGCACCGGCCTCGCGCCACTCTCATGTCCCTGTCCCTCGGCCCCAATGTTATATCGCCACAATATTATTTCAGCAGCAACGTGACGAGCCAGTGAATTAACAGGTTTCAGTTGTTGCTTTGCACAGTGCGTGACATTTTATTACATGTAATGCGGCTTAAGTTTTGACACTGAGTCAATGGGCTCTGTCTAATACTTTCTTTTTCGCTTGTTTATCGTCATCATTTTCTTCCTTTTACCCTTCTTTGTTTTATGAGCAGGTTCCGCTCGAGAAATTGGCACTTTAGGTTGTTTTTCCGCCATTAGCACAGCAATCACCGAGTTTGGTTTGAATGACGGCGCGCCGCTGTAAAGAGCGCTCTTTCGTGATCAGCGCGTACACGAGAGCGTGATTGACACTGCTAAGACACGCCTCCTGGCACTGATTGGTTGTTTTTGACCGTGAGCGTTGTATTTCTGCAAATGGCAATAGGACCACTGGGAGGAGCCAGAGGAGCTTGATTTATTTATTATAGCTTGATTTAGATGATAGATCATCTATCTCATAGTCTACTGTCAGGACATAAAGACAGTTTTAACAAATATGTAAAAAAAAAATATTTGTTTACAAGTTACCTACCTACTGCAGATTTAAGTCAATACTTGATGTTAGTGGACAAAAGTACTATATAGTCTCCTTTGCCCACAAGAAGGCGCAAGCGAGCGCAGTAAGCAAAAATAAACCAAATCAAAACTGAAACTGGCGGGACATTTCCCAAACACACTCATCCAATCACAACACATTATATGCGGAAAATAATGTGTTTTGAACTTTGAAGGATGAAAACCTGTTCTAGTAGACCCTAAAAACTAAATCAAGACTATAATAAATGGCCTCTTTAACTTCTCCTCGTCTGTGTTTGTCTCTTTCTCCTCAGCTCTTCACGGGCCATAAAAAGCAGCCTGTGATTGTGCCAATGTACGCTGCCAGTCTGGTGAGTGGAGCCCAGCTGCAGCCCAGTGTGTGTGTGATGCTGGTTTATTTTAATCATCCTCCTGAGTGTGTTTAATCAATCATTCAATTCACATTTATTTGTATAGCGCTTTTCACAATACACATCGTTTTTAAGCAGCTTTACAGAAAAATCATGTGTCCACATTACAATTCAGAGAGAGATCTGTTATCAGAGGAAGCATTTCAGAAATGTACGTGTGTGTGTGTGTGTGCAGGGGATGCTGGAGCCCACGAAAGAGCCGGTGAAGCCTGTCTCCGCCGCTGAGATGATCGCCTCGATAGCACAATCTCCCTCCGTCGTCTCAGAGCTGAATACCTGTCCTCCAGACGCCGCGCAGGTGAGCGTCGCCACGACCTTCATCTGATCAGACGCTTCACTCAGAAACGGGAGTATCGCGGGATATCGCTCAGCTGTATTTAGCTTATCCAACTTTACCCGCATACATAATACTCAGATAAAGCGATATATACTGGATTGCAAATCCCAAATTACATTATGGTTCCAAAATATACCGATATTAGAGGTCGACCGATATGGTTTTTTTCACGCCGATACTGATCTTTTGAAATCCGGGTCGGTCGATTAATGCTGCCGATTTATTTTGGCCGATATTTGCTTGGTTTTTAACCTCTATTTGAAAGATACAATGTAAAAGAAATGATAATTACTTAACATAGACAAACTTTCTCAACAAAAACATTTTATCCTCTCAAAAAACATTGTATTTTTGGTTTGTTTTGTTTGTTGACGGACAAAGACAAATGGACAACCTAATTATCACAAAAAAGGAGAAAAAAAACGTTAAATTATTTAATTTTTTATATATAAGATTTATTATATTTTATTTTACTTATAACAATAATGTATTTCACTAGTAAATTCACTAGTAAATATTACATATATATAGAAAATAGGATATCAGTCTGGCGAGTAAACAAAAAAAATGACTAGCCAATGGCGATTGTATTGCCAAGCTGTGCGGGGAACTCTTTACTTGGGGTGTGCATAAGACTGACATGACACATTCATAATCATAATCAATATGAAGGAGGGTTTTGGCATGTTTGTGTCATTAAGTTTCATTCGCTCAATTATGACATTGTTTGAGATATCTTTGTTATGACACCTTGACATAAACCAATACATCATAACCTGTCATGATTATTTTTCTTGACCTCAACTGCAGTGGTACAAATCTAATTTGTCATTAAAATAAAATAAAAAAAAATTGACTAATTTTGTCAAAACCAGCCACATGACAGTTTAATGTAATGTTAACCAATAAAGCTAAGTGGTTTCTTGAGTTTGATCATTAATCTGCTATGTCATGTTTATGACAGGTTGTGTTGTTGTAGTAATGTCAAGTTGTCATGACAAAGAAACTGACGGGTTATGATGAATTGGTTTGTCAATAAACAATGTCATATTTGCATTAAAAATGCCATTATTGAGCGAATTACAGTTAATGACAGTTGACATGCATAAAACCTCCTTCATATTCATGAGTCATGACATATGTCCTGTCAGTCTTATGCACACCCCTTCAAGTAAAGTGTTACCAGATTTATTATTATTTTTCCATTTCTTTTGTGATGAACCATCCAAAACCAGAAGCTAGCGCAATTTATAGCATCCCTTTCTTGATTTATTATTTGATCAAACTTAGTTACACAAAGTAGGATTAAAAAAGCGATATTTCTAAGGGTAATACACCAATCAGTAAATGAAGTAATCACACCGTTATTATGTTGTCTTCTCCCTCCAGGAGTCTCTTCCTCCCGTTCAGTTTGACTGGAGCAGCAGTGGCCTTACAAACCCTCTGGACGGTAACAGAATCTCTGGTTTCTCTCACTAACACCTCAGTTCTCCTCGAGTCGTACACTGACCATCTCGCTTTTCGCTAGCAGAAACCAGCACTAATCTGGTCATGTGGACTTCAACACTAATCCCGATCTGAGCTTATGTCAACTTCTCTCTCTGTCTGTCCGTAACCCCTCTCCTCTCTTTCACCATCCCTCGTTCTCTCTGAAGCGAGTGGAGGCTCGTCTCTGCTCAACCTCGATTTTTTCGGCCCCGTGGACGAGTCGCCCTCCGGCCCGGCCACCTCCATACCAGGTTTGCTGTTTAACACTAGCGCTGTGTGTGTGTGTGTGTGTTCATGATCTCGGCTCTATTTCCATCCATATCTTTAACCGTCCTTTCAAACGACCGTTGAGCCAGACCGATTTATCGGCAGGCCGATATTATTTCATAAATTCATGAAATAATAGAGTGCCCTCTGGTGGACAAACTATACAACTCCAACACTCATGACATGGTTCAAGCGTGTTTCGTCCGTTTTTATTTTATTTTTGAAATATTCATTTATCAGCCATTATAACTGCCGATACCGATAGTTTGGAAAATGCCTAATATCGGCCGATAATATCGGTCTGCCGATATATCGGTCTGGCTCTAATCATGACTCATGAGTTCAGTATTTACTATATAAAGCTCGACCGATAAAGGATTTTGAAGGCCGATACCGATACAAATATTTTTTGGTTTTAAAATCCGATATATCGGCCGATAATTTTTTTTATTTTTTATTTCAGAAACGCGCAACAAAACATTAACAGATTTCCCTAACATTAGTTATTTGTAGTTATTTATGAGTTTTAACTAAAATAATATGATAATGCATTTTAAAAAGAAACTTGTTTCTTTTATTGTCACAACAGAACAGAGGAACATCTAAATATATTAAAGTTCTGATAAATAAAATAATAATTAGTCCCTACATTGCCTTATAAGCTACCTGCAACCTGGATCAGAGGGTTGCAGGATGTGCGGCGCGTTATACACGAGTGTTGCCAACAGGAACGGGTGTAGAGCGCCCTCTGGTGGACAAACTTTACAACTCCAACTCTCATGACATAGTTGAAGCGTGTTTCGTCCATTTTTATTTTATTTTTGAAATATTAATTTATCGGCCATTATAACTGCCGATACCGATAGTTTGGAAAATGCCTAATATCGGCCGATAATATCGGTCTGCCGATAAATTGGTCTGACTCTAGTATTTACGCTAAACCTGTGCAGATCTGGTTTACATGAACTTCCCCAGCAAAGTGAGTAAACTTAATAAGTAATTATTTTACCTGGATTTACCGTGTTGGTGGGTGTTCATTTTCGACCGCTGATGCGTACGTATGGTGGCGTATCACACGAGTGTTCTGACATGCATGTGATGTGTGCAGGCGTGGACCCGGAGCTGTACGAGTTGACCCAAGCCAAGCTGGACGTCAGCGGGGGCGGCAGGAGAGTCGTGGATGCGTTCGCTCGCCTCATGTCCACCGTCGAGAAGAACAGCACCTCCACCAGGTCAGTTCACACTCCTGCTGCTCGGACACACACACACACGAGTTTACACTGATGCTGGATATCTGTATCTCATTATTTGATCACGTTTTTACACAAAATTGAAACAATTGCATCCGTTTGAAACCTGTTGCATATTGCAAGCTGTTTATTTTATGTGCAGCACTAGGTTTGTTATTTCATTTAGTGGTTGTCGTAGAGTTTTTAATTCTTAGAGATATGGTTATTTTGCATTTAATCCTCCTTTGTGTAGCAATGTTTTAACTTTTGGGGGTCTGATCACATATAGGGTTAGTTCACCCCAAAATGTAACACCCTCACGTCATCCGAAACTGTAATACATTCGTTCATCTTCAGGACACAAATCTTTTTAATGAAATCTGAGTTGTCTGTCCCTGCATTGGAGAAATGTAACTAACACTTTCAAGCCCCAGAAGTAGGGATGGCTCGATACCACAATTTTGGCTTCGGTACGATACCAGAACATGATACCTCGGTATCGATACTAAATCGATACCACAGTCGGAAAAAAAAAAGTCTCAATTTAAGTGAATTGAAACAATTTGCTTCAAACTCTCCACTATGTGCAAAAGAAAAGCATCAAAAAAACAAACGTATCAATGTAAAAAAAATACATAAATTCAATCAAGGAACATATAACATTCAGATTTTGAAAAAACAAACAAACTGAAATTACACAATTAAAATAGGTTCATTACCTATAATAGATTAACATATAATAATAATAATAATAATAATCGAATAATGAAATTACATGTAAGCCAGCTGCCATGCATCAATAGAAAATTATCAACATTTATAGCATATATTCATCTTGGTTTGGTTACTGTTTAGGTTCATATTATATAATACATTGCATAAAGTAATGTTAAAATGCTAAACATGTATTAGTATATAACATTTTTAGGTCTTATATTACTGATTAATCTAGATTGATAAATGCTATATTATTAGGCCAGGGTACCAAATGAATGTTGACAAATGTAGCTCTCTCTCTCTATCTCTCTCTGCCACAGTGGCAGTAATATGCCATTCGTTTTACTATCACTTGTATTCTTTATTCATTCAAATTAAATTAATATGTTTGTTTGTTTTAAAGTGCAAAAATTACGAGACGTAAACTGAATTGGTTCTAGCGTGTCATTTGATCTCTCGTGTTTACCGTATCATATTTAATTGATAAGCTCTTATGGATGTGCGCTGTTCAGTGTTCAATAAAAGTCTAAATTAAATCAGTTGAATGATGAACTCACCCGTCGATCTCTGAACTCTTTGAACAAGTCTGGATGAGCAACTGACGAGCGCTTCGGCGCGTTATTTACACGTTATTTAAAGCAACGTTTGCAGATTGGTGCATTGAGGTCTGTTTCTTTAGGCCGTGTGTCCACCAAAGCATTTTTCCACGCGCCTGGCGTATGTTTTCAATGGGAGCGCCGCGTTTTTCAAACGCCGTGAGCGTACCGAGGCGCAGAGCGTTCTTTTTCACGCTGAAGCGCCGAGCGCCCAGCGTTTTTACTGGTCGCTGGGAGTTGAAAAATGTTCAACTTTGGATAAAACGCAGCGCTCTTCACTGTCACATTTAACCCAGCCGTCCAATCATCACAGTGGAGGAGGGGCGGGACCAAACCACACCAACCAACTGTCACAACATTCAAACTGCTGCATATATTCCGTATCATAGCAACGAAACGTCTCAACAGAAAAACCGCTGCGCTGCCAAAGCGCTCTCAAGCACCCAAAAGCACGGCGTCTTCAGCAGAGCGTCTAGCGTTTTCATCTGGATAAAAACGCTTTAGTGGACACACGGCCTTACTATTCTCATTACTTTAGTAGGCAAAGTAATGCCTTATTTCACTCAAACTGCTCTCTCTATTTGATTTCGGGCACGAAGAAATTCGAATGAGCTTCGTTTGATCCAGCGTGTTTCCTCGTCGTCAGCGTTTGCCGCTTTCGCGTGACCCGCGTCAGTTTCGGTAGCGCACTGCCGCCTAGTGGAGAACTTCGAAACAGCAGCGCGTCAAATACCGAATTTAATAAAAATTATGATATTGTACCGTTTGAAAAATATTAATATTTCCGGTCTGATGTGTGTGATCTCTCTCAGCAGAAAGCCTGTGCAGAAGGAGGAGAATCTGAGCGCTGAGGCTCGGCGTGTGATCGCAGGCCTGCCGGATCTGTCGTTCATGCAGGCGAAAGTCCTCATGTTCCCCTCCACGCTGACTCCTCTCCCACCCGACTGATGATGCGTTCTTCTCTCCGCCTCTCTTTCTCTGTGTATCGCTCTCCAGTTACACCACACCGACAGTCACATGATTTTAATTTCATCCTTTTGACTCCTATCTCTTTTGTGTCATTTCCCCCCCGGGCCTTTTTAAGTTTAAACACATCATGTTGCGTTAAGAGAGAGTGTGTGAGATAATCGGCTAATCACTGATCGCTTTAGAGAAAAGACTAGATTAATTTATTTGTAGAATGACAGTAGGAAGAGATCTGTATATAATGAGGGATGAGAGTTTCCTCTTGATTATCCTTAATGTGTGTGTGTGTGTGAGAGAGAGGCACTTGTTTTTGGTTTGTTTTAATGAAACACTGGTTTAAAAGTCCTTCAGTGGCACAAGATTTGTACTTAGATATATAAATGCGTAGTTATATAGACTTGAAATCAAACCGTCTGCAAAATTTCCTTTTGATTTCGCGCAACAAAGAACTTTTTTTAATCGTTTGACTACTACATTACAATCAATATTGGTATTACTTGTAGGTTTTAGTTTTTTGATTTCGCACACGCATTAGTGAACACAAAATAAGTTTTTTTTTCTTTCTTTAATTAATTTGCTTTTCTCACTGACACACTGAAGACTATAGGAACGACGGCTTTTCTTCGATGTTTTGCTGCTCGTACTCGGTTCTTATTTTGTTGTTTGTTACTTTTTAATGTAAGTTGAAACCACTGGCTTTGGACTGTAATGTAGTGAAGGAATCGTTGAATGAATGATTATCTTGAATATATATATATATAGATATATATAGCTGTATTGAGAATAAGGGACCAATATCTGCTGTAACGTTTTGCTAATTTTCCTGTTATCATGCTGTATCTGTTTTTTATTTAAACTCTTTTGGAGGACGTCTGCCGTCACAGTGGTCCTGTACGCCAGGAGTGCATGATGGGAAATGTTCACCAGAAATCATCTGTAAAGAGTTTCCCATCTTTTGTCTTTTTTTTTTTCTCCCAGTTCGTTGTGTGTGTGTGTCATTGTTTATTCTGTCTCCTGGAGGATTTTGCACATTGTAAAGACATACGGAAGAACTGCTTACATAGTTAACTGTGGCTTCGGACTGTGTACAGTCAAACTATGGATCATGTAAAAATTGTTATGGGAAAATTCCTATGGAAAACTCATACAGATGAATGATATCTCTAAAGAGCCTGTACCGAGGTCAATCGCGCATGCCTGGGTTCTTTGAAAAAACAAACAAACTAGTGTGTAAATTTTCTTTAAGTGTACACAAGAAATTAAAATAATTTAAGAGAAAATTGTTTCCGACTTTTAATTCATGTCTGTATTTAATTGGTTTACTTTGGAAGGACGACCTCGACGCAATTTTATTTTGTAATTTCTTTTATTTAAAATCTTTAAATACTAAAATAGTGTAATATCAAATTTCCACAAGAAAAAGAGTAATAAAATATTACTTAATAATATTACAAAATGGCTGCAATATATTACATCACATTGCTACTGTATCAAAATAAATATGAATATACGCTACCGGTCAAAAAATATTTTTTATGTATTTAAAAGAAGTCTCTTCTGCTCACCAAGGCTGCAATTATTTGATAAAAAATACAAAAAACAAAAACAAAAAAAACCCCAATAATATTGTAAAATATTATTATAATTTAAAACAGTGGTTTTCTATGTGAATATATAGTGAAGTGTAATTTATTCCTGTGATCAAAGCTGAATTACTCCAGTCTTCAGTGTCACATGATCCTACTGAAATTATTATAATACGATGCTCAAGAAACATTTATGATTATTATCCATGTTGAAAACAGTTTTTTACATTTTTATTTCAGGATTCTTTGATGAATAGAAAGTTCAAAAGAACAGAATTGATCTGAAATGGAAAGCTTTTGTAACATTAAATCACTACCATTCAAAAGTTTGGGGTCAGTAAGAATTTATTTTTTTATTTTTGGGGGAAAGAAATTAGAAAATACTTTTATTCATCAAGGATGAGTTAAATTTATCAAAAGTTACAGTAATGGCATTTATAATGTTAGAAAAGATTAGATTTTAAATAAATGCTGTTCTTTTGAACTTTCTATTCATCATAGAATTTTGGGGGGGGAAATAGTAAACGACTGTTTTCAACATTGAAAATAATAATTTGTTTTTTGAGCATAAAATCAGCATATAAGGATCATGTGACACTGAAAACTGATTTGTGATTAGCAACAGTAATGATGTTGATTTTAAAATATATTAAAATAGAAAATAGTCATTTTAAATTGTCATAATATTTCATAATATGTCATTTTTTTTCATTAAATAAAGCAGCCTTGGTGAGCAGAAGAGACTTCATTTAAAAACATAAAAAATCGTACTGATCTAAAACTTTTAACCGGTAATGTATACGTAACCCTGTTTGCTGTACGTATCATAATACAGACAAAACAGCCTTAATATTTCCTGATGCAAGTATAAAATGCACGTCAAATTATGACCCGACCAAAACCTCCATGACGTGATCCAGTTCGTTCAGATCAAATTTGGACGGAAGAGCCGATTGGCTCGTCCCGCCGTTTCCGTAACCGGCGAGGGTCTTAACGAGGTCCTCCGTTACCATGGAAACGCTCAGGGACGAACTGTCGAACAGGAAGTTGTCTATTTCCGTGAACAGGAAATCGTCCAATGACAAGTCAGCGAGGTATGAGGGGGCGTGGCTAGATGTGAATAGGGCGGAGTCAGAGTCCACAATGCTGTGCATTTCAGAAAGATCCGGATCTGGATCTCTCGGTTCTCCGGAATTACCCGAGTCTGCGCCACTGTTAAAGTCCGGCCCGTCCTGGTCTGACGTAGAAAATAAAGCGGTTATTCCCACTGTGGGACACAGAGCTTCGATCTCAGCCAGCGCGGTGCTGAAACTGTCCTTCGTCACAGGAGCCGAGGGAGTCTGCGGTGTGGACACACACTCCTCTCCTCTCAGCTCGTCCTGGATGTGCCGGAGTGTGTTGGTGATGAGCACCCTGCGGGCCAGGTCCGGCTCCCCGTGCCCCGGCCGGGTGTGCAGCTTCAGTAAGGAGAGGTTGAGCACCGTCTGCCGCTGGAACCAGTAGCCGGTGGAGGACGCCTCCATCTTCATCACACCATCCTCTTCCTCCGGCTCCAGCTTACGCTTCAGGCCTTTACCCAACATGAAGCGTTGATCTAAGAGAGAAACACAGTTCAAAAGTGCATCATTGATATTTGTATACTCATATTTTAATTAATATACATTTATGATATACAGTAGTTAACATTTTAAGTGGATCAAAAAAGTTAAAAGTTATACAAAATTTATGTACAACTTTGATGAAAGCTTTTGATCCGCTTGTAGAAATGTTATACTGTAGTTAAACATTTTTTATTTATTTAAATTTAAATTGATTTATTTTATTTAAATTATATTTATTTCTGTTTCAAATCTGTAGTTGGATTATACTTAAAGAAACATTTTATAAAATTAACTGAATTGATTTATTAATACATTTAATGAACAAAATTAAATAAAATGCCAATATTTACTAAAACTAATAACATTTTTGTTTAGAATTTTTTTTATAGTAAAATATTTTGAATGTTATAAAATGCCAATATTCACTAATATGTAATTTTTTGTTTTAAATATTTTCTAAAGTAAAATATTTCAAATATCTGGTTTGTTTAAAAAGCAACACAAATACATTTTGTGTTAGTTATTTAACATTTTGATATTAATATCTTAATACATATATAATACATACATATATAATACTTAATACATATATAAAATACCAATATTTCCTAAAATGTGATTTTTTTTTAATGTTTTCTATAGTAAAATATTGGTTTTATGTAAAAAGCAACACAAATGTAATAACATTTAATAATTTTTAGTTATTACATATTTTAATATTAATATATTCATACATTTAATTAATAAAATTGAATGTATGAAAATGCCAATATGTATTAAAAATATATATTTTATTTACCAAGAAAATGAAAAAGTTAATGTAATAAAATTAAATGTTAAATATATTTATATATCTTGATTATTAAATTGAATGAATAAAATGATATAATGTAATATAATGACAGTATTTATTTAAAAATGTATATTGTATTTTATTAAAATGTTTTCTATAGTAACATTGAAATAAATAAAAAAATATATAATTAAATTAAATGAATAAAATAAATATATTAATTATAGCTTAATTGTTAAATTTAGTGTAGCTATTACAATGACCGTATTTATTTATTTTATTATAACATATTTTAAACATTTCTTATAGTAACATTTAAACTATTTTAATCAATTATTTGTTCAAATACAGTTGGTAATTATACATATTCGAATATTATCATTTTGCTCAATGAACACGGTTTGTTTGGTCACAAATCATAGTTCCTGTTTCTTAGATGAAAACAAAGGAGAAAAATAAGATCGCTCTTTACAGAGTCGCCAAAAACTCAACATCCATAGAAGACAAACTCATGATGATACACACATGACTCTGACATTACTGTAAACCAGAACACTTGCTATAAGTCACGTCACCTCCTCCCAGCACCTGATTGGCTGGTACTCATAGTTAAAATTTTGAGACCAAACTAAATGACAAACAATCACGTGTTCATGTGAACAACATCCAGAGCCTGACAACGTTCTAAAACCGTTAAGAATTCTAAATTCAAACTTGCATGTTTGAATCTTGAGTGACGACCATAGGGTGACGACATAATCGAGTAGGCTACAAGTAAGAAGTTCGCAGTTGACGTCACAGAGCAGATGTGCAGGATTTCGCAGGTTTCGCGTGAGTTAAAAGCGTGGATATGTACACGAATGCGTTATTCCACAGTAAACCTGGAACTCTGAGTTCTTTAACTGTTCGCAGTGAAGTGAACCCGTGACATTTAGCGCTGCACGCCCACATTATATCGGCTCAAAGTGAAACCTCAGCTGGCGCAGTGAAATGAAAGCTTCGGGCTGTTTTTCAGGGAAACCGACGAGTAATGAGAATACAACAGGCTCATCTGAACTGTGATTGATTGCATTGTTAACCCACTGTGACTGCAGGATCGAGTCTCAGTGCCTAACTAAAGTCATTCAGGAGCTTTAAATCCTACTTTCGAGACAATCCAAAACAATTTAGACCTGTGCTACATTACAACTCATAATATAAATAATCTACCGTACACTCATACAAAACACAAGTTTTGACCTTTAAACCCGATCATTTACCCTTGTTCATTTTTTTGTGTGAAAAATGTTTGACCTTTAAATCCAATCATTTACATTTGTTCATATTTTTTCTATTTGTTTTAAAGAAAATAACCTCTACGATTGACTCGCGAGTGAACAGAACTGGTTTGTATGAACTCACCACACACAGGTCGAGCGAGGACTTCGAGCTGCTCATCGGACTCGAGATCTCTTCCACTCGCGTGCGTCCGGTTCGGCTCGCGCGGTCTTATTCAGCGTTATAACGTTACGCTCGTGAAGTCACTCGTTCCGATAACGTACGGACGAGTCTGTCTCATAGACGGTAAAAAGGTCTGTGTATTCCGCCTCCGAGAAACCCGCAAGCGGAGTGTTCACGAGTGACGTAAGCCTCGCAGATGTCGACTCATGAATGAATCATTAATTTGAATCGGTTCGTTTGAATGATTCAGTCCGAGTCCACCCGACACAAGAAACGCTTTTGCTGCTCCAAGGGATGCACTAATAAACAGTTAAATAAGGTAATAGTTGGTAAAAACTAAAACCCCACCACCAACAACTATAAACTATATAATTTATTAGCTTACTACAGCTATTTTACAATCGTCATTTGGCACTGTTTATCCTTACAAAAAGTAGTAACTGTACTATATGAAACTCATCTTCGCCCTAATATATTACAATGAATATTGTAATATATAAATCTCTGGACAGTGTTCTTCGTCCTCTTCTGCATCTTTTTGAAATATGTTATTATTTTATTTTTATTCTCTAATAAGTTTTTATGATGTAATATAGAAATCTAAACTATTGGTGTTCCTTTATATTATTGTCTTATATTTATTTATTTGTGATGTCTTGTTATATTTGCATTGTAATGAAAATTCAGCAAACAATTATATATAGTAATGATTTTCCTCAAAAACAAGATTTTTTTTACGTAACGTGATGGCGTTGTTAAAGAGTTCATTGAAATGAATCACTCGAGCGAATCGATTCACAGAAATGAATGAAACGACTCAGCAAAGCTACAGCTGCCCCCCCCCCCCTCTCCTCATTCCTGTCTGCATATGTCAATGAGCGTGACCTCACTCTCCGCGCTCCCGTGGAAAAGCCGCAACTATGTAAAGTATTCACGGCACGAGCACTTCAGAAAAGAAGCGAGATAATTATATTTAGTATAGTAACTCAAGTTTATGTGCACATTTCTCACAGACAGCGGAGACTCGATGGAGATCAGACAGAGACGTTCCAGAAGACACGTCAACTCTTCTCAGATTGGCCAGTTTATGAAAGTCTCGATTCAGACATTTCTCAGATTATTTAATTTTTAGGTGTCACAGACCCCAAACATGCACTCTTAGAAGAAAATGTTCTATATAGAACCTTAAAAGGTTCTATCAGTGCTACGTATTTGGAACCCCTAAAAGGTTCACTCTTAAAGAAAGGGTTCCTCATATAGAACCCTGGGGTTCCGTACTTGGCCAATAGAACCTTTTACCCAAAAAAAAAAATGGTTCTATGTAGAACCATTTTGGAGTTCCATATATGAAGCGGGGGATGGAACCATTTCTGGTTCTAAATAGAACCATATCTCCATCATCGTGCGAGCGACCCCATCTCCCCATCTGAGAATGCAAAATGCTGCAATATATTTTTGTGTAAATAAATTTAATATTTAAAATAATGTCCTACTTGTACTGTTATTTAAATATATATTTTGTATATATTTAAATATATTTTTTTAACGTATTCATATTTTTATTTTATTTATATGAAACTACTTATATATTTCGGTCTTATTGTTTTTTGTATTTTTTCTACATTTATAATGTATTTATTTCTCTACACATTTCTACAGATCCAACCGGTGTTTAAGAAGATGCATCTGACACTGAATATTTAAATTAAGCAGAACTTTTACGTCTCATAAACTATGAAAGATCCAAATTTGATCTCTTTATGTAAAGCAGTTTTATAACCAGGGTGACTTTATGTTTCCGTCGATGCGAATAAGAGCAGAACTATAATGTGTGTGTGTGTGTGTGTGTGAATATCCATGCATGTTTCGGTCACGGACGTCGTCTTCGTGTTCTCCAGATGGCCTGAACAAGAGGAAGACGATGAAGCAGCTGACGCTTGTTCACCACACACACACACACACTTCATCTCCACATCTACATCTCAGAGTTCTTCTGACGTCCTTTGATGCAGAAAACACCCCAGATCACTGTGCGCGGAGTGAGAGCCGGTGATAAAGCACACGAGCAGTGTTTGCACGATCATTTGGTGATTAACTATATCATCCGTGTCTGAATGCAAACAGTCTGTCGTTCCTCCTCCAGCTGTCACACACACCTCCCGCCGTCAGACCCACGACCCTACGTCTCCCAACAACACATGACACACAAAGGATCTGCATCGGCATTGTCCTTGACCCTGACCTCTGAGGCCCAGTGAGGACAGCTGGAGTGTGTGTGTGTGTGTGTTAGCGTGCAGATGTCCCACTTCAGGCATGTAAGCGTGCCGCTTCACTTTCAACGAGGGACTTTACTGAAAGTCAGAAAGTAAAAGTCCGGCCATATTTTCCGACTTTTACTTTCTGACCCCTGGACTTTCCACCTCTGCAAACCGTGAACCGTTATGATGTATTAAACGGCTTCACAAATACTCTTTTCAACCACACACTAGGCCTATCGTTATTTCTCTCATAAAAAGTTTATAGTTCAGGATTAAACACTGTCATCTCAAAATAAAGTGAATCACCTTCTGAAAGCAACTTGACGCATCAAATCATAACAGTATTAATCACATTGTTCCACCAGTAGGGGGCGACACGTGACCGTTAAAAACAGCTGCAGAAAATAACATTTTGTCAGAACTTCTAGTCAATTACACACTATTTTGTTTAGCTGTCTATTCAGATTAGTGATCTTTATTTTTTTTTAAATTTGTGATTCTTAATTCATCCAGAATTGTGCAGCTTTATATTGTAAAATACTGTAAAAATGTCATTTACATTTTCAGCAGAAGTCTCATTCTCACCAAGGCTGCATTTATTTGATTAAAAATACAAAATAAATCTATGATATTGCTAATTATTTTTTGAATAAAACTATTAATTTCTTTTATAGAAATAATCTACTGACCCTAAACTTGAGAACGGTAGTCCGTCAGATCATGTGATCTCCAACAGCGCCACCCACTGGAAACACTGAGGGATCACGTGACTGACTCGTCTATGATGAAACACATGAAACGTTCCAGTTAAAACCATTTTTATTAAACTTTTCCTTCATAGTTTATTTAAACATTGTGTGACATAAAAGAAGATCGAAAAAGACCATATTTCCCCCCGAAAACAGAAAAAAATACATAAGGAAGTTGCTTTAACTATTTAACTATGTCATTTCCTGTTTACCAGTCACTCGCATTCATACGTAAATCTGCATCTCCATAACAGTGACGCTGCTGTTGTGCTGTCAGTAAACAAATGTTGAGTCCAATATACAGGATATACATAATATACGTGTGTGTGTGTGTGTGTGTGTGTGTAAGCATCAAAACTGATTAAGAGACAGAACCAACTCATAATATTGACATTTAAACTACCAGGATTTGGTTCTTGTTTTCCAAAGTATTATTACACAAAATTGCACAGGATGATAATGCTGTTAGAATCGTGGCGAACAACAAACACATAATGGCAATGCATTTGAACAAGCGTTCGATGAAGCGTCGCGCTCAGAGGACCGCCATCTTGAAATGATGAAGATCATAAAAAAAAAAAAACAGGAAAAAAAAAAAAAAGGTCCACCAAAAGCAGAGAGAAGGCAGCGGTTGAAGAAGAGGTCGCCGGGGCAACCACACCGGGAGCCATAGTAACGGAACCCACTGATCCGAGGTCAGCTATGACATCACAGTCCACTGCTTCCTTCAAAGTTCCGACAGGAAGTTCAAAGCCAAATCTAGTTGTGGTTTCCTCTAAACACAGGAAACGGGACTTCTTCGCCCAAAAGTGCTTCTGGATGCTTGTGTGTGTGTGTGTGTGTAAGAGTGCGGGGCGTTCGCGATGTTCAACCCAGCGGATCACGTAGGAAACGTTTGTCATAACAACGTTTGCATTAGTCAATCGATATCAGGCCGTTTACTTTAATCCTTTCTTACTTTGTGTGTGTGTGTGTGTGAGAATATTAATGAGAAACACAGACACACACACACAGTCTTTGTCTCTCTCTCTCTCTCTCTCACACACACACACTCACTGACTCACTGACTGACTGACTGGTGTGGTGTAACGTTACTGTGGTCTTGATGGAGCTGTCGTGTGTTTGCGTCGGGTGGTTCTCAGCAGCATCCTCCGCTGGAGGCCTTGACCGGCGTGCTCTGGATCTTGACGTTGGATTTGTCGGGTCCCCCAGCCGTGGCCCCAGGGCCCATCCTCCTCTTGATCTCCGCGGCCATGGTCATGAAGGCCTGCTCCACGTTACTGGAGCTCTTCGCACTCGTCTCCAGGAACGGGATGCCCAGAGAGTCCGCAAACTCCTGAACGGGGCGACAACAGATTGATCATGTGCTTACCTTAGATTGTGTAATATTGTCTATACGTGACTGTCATTTAAAAACCTCATTAATACATTTTATGTCGTTTTACATTGATAATTATAATAAAAAAATCTTTATATACGAATCGAAATTAGAGTAGAATCAACATAAAGGAAGTATAATAACTTTATTTATTAATAACATAAATTATATAAAAAATATTATATTTATATATATATATATATGTAAAACATAAATTGCAACTATTTACACATTATTTAATAATTAATAGTGATTAAATAATTTCCAACCAGAAAGGTTTATAATAAATACATTATTTATAAATAATGAATTAATAATAAACAATTATTGTAATTTTCATAATTAACATTTAAATTATTAGCCTTTTTGGTTGCAATCAGGAAACATTATTTATCAGTGATTCATTATTTAATAATAATTTCATTGTTAATTTTTTTTAATTATTTCTTAGCCTGTTTTTTGGGCTCCAAACAGGAAGATTTCTTCAATAAAATGCATTATCCATAAACGATTAATTATTTATTAATAAATAATAATGCAAATATTTGGTTATTTAAATTATCAAATCAGCCAGTTTTATTTAACCCTTGTGCTGCATTAGATTTTTAACACCGTTGAGTGCATTGAGGACCAAAAATGGCCACATATTAAACATTGCCTAAAATATTATATATTATTATTATTTTCCACTTTTACCAAGTTAAATCTTTTAACCAGCATCAGTCCTCATCATAACTACCAAAAATGTATTCAATTTCAGGATTTTAACCCTTTAATTACCAGTTTTGTTTGCGAACCATCGATTTGTATAAGAGGAAAAAACACAAAAATTCAATTATTTTCAATAAACTAAATGCAAAGAGAAAACTTTAGATTTGGATTAGCACAGTCCCACTTTGCAAAAAATCCCACTTAGCACATTAGAGACTAAAAATGGCCACCTATTAAACATTGCCTATTGCCTAAAATAAGGTGCATTTCCACCCATAGGGAATAAATATGTAGTGACGTCATCTGGTGGAATACACTATATAATGCAAATATAATGCTTTTGCTTCAAAATGAAAGGATGTTTGTGCAAAAATCATGTTTCATGTATTACTGATTTAAACAACGTTTTAATGGGTTTCAATGGGCCATTTTTGGTCTTTATGGTGCTGAGTGTTACTATTTGATCTACACAGTGTGTGTTATACATATTTTGCAAAATGGGATCACATTTTTTACATGTATCCAAAAAGTCACAATTTTGCCAAATTTCATACCATTTGCATTAAAACAGCCAAAATGGTCAAAGAAATTAAACTGCAAAAGACCAAAAATGTCCCTAATGCAGCATAAGGGTTAAGGGTTATTATGTAAATAACCTAATTATTGAAATGATTAATACAGGTTTCAATCAGGAAAGCTTCAAAATAAAAGACAAAGATTTTTAAATGATGATTTATTTAATAACAGTAAATGAGTGTGTGCTCTGCTGACAGGCGTAGTGTGTGTACCTTCGCGGCGGTGTAGTCCACAAGCTTCTTGGTGGTCAGATCACACTTGTTGCCCACCAGGAGCTTGTTGACGTTCTCACTGGCGTAGCGGTCGATCTCCTGGAGCCACTGCTTCACATTATTGAAGGACTCCTGAGGAACACACACCATTACAGCCCAACCGCTTCAGAGACACTCAAACACACACACACTAAAGGCGTGTTTGGTCACCTGATCCGTGACGTCGTAGACCACGATGATGCCGTGAGCTCCTCTGTAGTAGCTGGACGTGATGGTGCGGAAGCGCTCCTGACCGGCGGTGTCCCACTGTGACACACACACACACATCAGCACAACAGTGTTCAACACTCATAATAATCAGAAGTTATTAAAATTAATAACTCATGTTATAAAGTCAGAATAGATTGATATAAAGTCAGAACGGCATGTTATAAAGTCAGAATTATGAGATATAAACTATCCTGATGGGTCTTTTTTCCATAGAATTGGACTTAACTCGCAATTACGACTTTATATCTCCCAATTCTGAGAAAACATGTCAGAATCTCGAGATATAAACACAACTATGAGATAAAAAGTCTCAGTTCTGTCTTTTTTGACTTCATTTCTTAGCATTTAACCATGAACACAAAAGCCACACCATACAAATGGCTTTTAATTGGTTTATTTCGTTAGCAAACATGTCACGGAAGTTCTTTCCATTGATCAGTTTCTTCCCTTCAGTTGTAAAAGACGCCTGAGGTTCACTTACACCCCACCCGGTCAGTCTGCACACACACACACACACACCGATCCACATGCGGTTTGCATCCCCTTGTAAAAAGACTAATTTTCAATTCAATTTGCGGTGTGAACGCACAGATACGTTACGCACTATGGCAAGCCGTTTTAGCTTTTATTCATCTCCAGGATATGAATTCTTGATATCAACAATTAAATTCTTGATATCAAAAAATGGTATTGTTGATATCAAGAATTCATATCCTGCGGATGATTAAAAGTTAAAACGGCTTGCCATATACGCACTGGTGCAGCGACACACGAAACGAAGCGTGTGTAACCAGAAGCGTGAAATGTGTGTTAAAGTGAGCTCTTACGATCTGCAGTTTGATGGTCTTGCCGTCCAGCTCTATCGTCCGGATCTTGAAGTCCACCCCGATGGTGCTGATGTAGCTCTCGGTGTACGTGTCGTCCTGAGGAGAGGAGTCAGTGTCAGAGCAGCTTTACACAGACAACAGCAACATAATGCAAGTGTGTGTGTGTTTCTAGAAGACAGCATCATAGTTCAGCTTCAGGAAGATCAGAGACGGCTCATTTCTGTTTCAAAACACTTATTCATTTATACATACAGCCGTTCTGGACTGGAGAAAACCGTGATGTCATCGTCCATATAATGGTGTCAATGCAGGCAGAGCAATAATATTGCTGGATATTAAATTAAATGTTACATTTAATAGAGTAGTCACAACTCAAGGCTTTCTATGTTCTCTCACAATAGCCGTTTCCATTCAAAATATTGCATAAAACATTATAAAACAAGAATTTTAAATTGCTTGACATATGATTGGAATTTATTAAAAACAGGAAATTATAGTAAAGTACAAGTCATATCACCTACTTAAAATGATAAAATTCTCAAAATGTACAGAAACATTTAGATTTATGTGCCGATAAATCGGTTATCAAACATAAAGAATTATTGGTTATCGTTATCGGACATCATTAAAAAAAGCCGTCATATACGAGTCGCGGCTCAGACAAAAGAAACACAACTGGTGTGTGTGTGTGAATAATCACGTGAGATGCTTCTGGAGGAAATAAACCAAATCATTCTGCGTTTCAGAACCAGCAGACCAACGTCTGAGAAGCTGTGATGTGATTGGTCCGCTGGTTACTCCAGTCATCCAATCAGAGCCTCTTCTGAGGCAAAGTCATGTTGTGCATTGAGGGATTTATTCAGTAAGTGTTTCCATCTCAGTTTGTGTCATTTGTGCATATTTATGGGTATCTATAAGTAGGGTTGGGTATCGTTTGAATTTGAACGATTCTGATTCCGATTCCTTGTTTTGATTCCGGTTCCTAACGATTCTCGATTCCGATTCTTTTAAGAGGCAGGCTCAAAAAAGTTTAGCTAACCTTGCTAACCAACGGCCTTTCTGAAGGAAATACTCCAGTAAAAATACTCCTTTTGTCACAAATTTTGCATTTTGCCGAGATTTCGTTATTTTTGGAAAAGTGAAGCCACACTTTGGATCGTCGACGTAAGCTACTCATGTTCGACTCGCGCGGTTATGCCAACACTTCCGGTAGACGCTTCTTCGTTGGTGTTGTTCAGCGGTTTCTTCTTCCGCTTGGCGGACTGTGAATATCGAAACTAGGAATCGAAATTTTAACTTTTGAACGATTCCGGGAAAAATGAAAAGTTAGTCTCGGTTCCAATCGATACTCGATTCTCGATACCCAACCCTATCTATAAGTTTCCATCCCAAAAAGTGCATAAACATAAGCTGGTGGAAGCATTAGCTATTGAGTAGATTAGAGAAAAGAAACCAGGTAAACTGGACGTGCCGCCCCTCCCGACCCAGTCACCCTTCACCTTTAGCATGAAGCTCTTTGACAGTCAAATCACCGGTGCAATAAGAGCCCCTATCTGATCCGGGAGAGTGTGTGTAGTAGTATCTCGAATGGCAGGCTAATAACTTACAGCGAAACGCAGCAGAAGGCAGGACTTCCCGACGCCCGAGTCTCCGATCAGCAGGAGTTTGAACAGGTAATCGCTGAGAGAGAGAGAAGATTCAGATTGTAACATCAGTTATCACTCCTAGTCAGTCGCCATGTGTGACGTGGAGCTGGGAGTTACATTACGCAACACGTGTGTGAGTGTGTGTGTCATCATTTCTCAACATTACACGGGAGTGTCATGAATCTGGCGAGGGAAATAATGGAGATAAAGAGAGGAATAGCTCATTTCTACCCCCAAATAAACTGCAGAAATAACGTCATGATGCAAAACTCTTGATGTGAATTATGATCCTGACAGGTTTCCAGATGCACATCCTTCAGTATCATGACGTTCCCATCACCTTACCATGGGGAAGCCACAGATGGCTCTGGTAACAGGTGATTTAATTACCCATCAGCCCCTGGAACAAAACTAAACATGTCATAGTACTGTCACACTGTTCATTTCCACATCACAGGTCATGATCCTTTTACTGACAGCAGTGTGATCAGCCTGAGGATGATTTTATTTCATTATTAACATGATCTGACGTGTAATTACGTAGATCATTTCTTCAGTTTCAGTCTCAACTTATCGGTTTCATAACGACGTGGCACTCGAGTGTGTCGGAAACAGCCAGATAGCTGTGTTATACATCATCATTACAAATATCCCTAACGTTAGCTAACAACATATTTATTTAGAATTATATTTTTTAAACCAAATCGAAACGGCTCCCTGGTTGAACAAGAAGAGCATAACGTTAGTTGTGATACAAACAAATTAATCCTGACGTATAAAGTTAGCATTTAGTTCACTTTCATATGTTGTTTAGTTAACACTGCCATGGTTTCTGTGAATATTAATAAAGCAGGTGACGAGTGCGCGTTCATGTGTTTGATGTGTCATCAGCGCTTTTTTTTTCTACACACAAACTTACTATTCAGGATTCATGATGGACAACACACGGAAACTCCCGCTTTATCTGCCGTTTTCTTCCCCGCGATGAGTGCAGTTAAGGTTCGAGACTCGTTTGCCGGTGATATCCGTTAATGTTCGTTGTTAAAAGCGGTTTTAGGAGAGAAACGAGCGGAACCGGGATCCGGACACAGAAAAATGGCCACTCGACAGTGAAGCTGGAATAACAAGACAAGATGCTCGGTCACTTTCGCTGTACGACCCGCCAAAATAAAAGTCCTTTCAAATTAGCTACGAATGACACATTCTTCTTATTATATATTTTTTTTATATATAAATGAGATTTTTAAAATATCATGATTCATTATTTACATTTTATATTTCCGGAAATATGTTTTGGTGAAAATATTTTATTATACATGGCATATTATGGAGTAAATTTGGATTAATGTTTTTGGAGAGTTTACAAATGGCCTTTATTCTGCCAGAAAACGCAAAAAGTTTATTTAAAGGCCCAACTGAAGTGCCTTAAAACAAATGTGTTGATATAATTTCACACTGACACAGGAAGACAGGGCGGGGCATATCAAACAGCCCCACCCCTTTTTTAATTAGCCAATAGCGTTTACTTTATATCACAGCTCAGAGCTGTTGAGCTTGATAAAGTCGCAGTTTCCTCCTGATCTGTAACCGTTTCTCCTCCTAATCTCCTCCATGTCGCTTTAAAATACAGCATTCTGTGTTGAATTCACTTTATAGTCTGATACGTTTTCTAGTCTGCTGTGATTTGATCATATGATCCGCTCTGTGTGACCGGAGCTGCGCGGTTCGCGTGACGCTAATGTGAAACCAGACTTCATGTGCCCCGATGGAAAGCATATTATTTACACTGTCTGAATAGTTCCCTATCCCCTATAGTGCACTACTTGCAAGCTTTAATCGTGTAGAAAATAGTAAATGTGTGAAGTCAAGTGACGATATCAGCCTTGAGCATCTATTTATAATGCAGGGGGCGGAGCTTCAGATTCAAGAGAGCATTGGATTGGACAGATAATCTTTTTATTTTTATTTATTATTGGACAGATGAGAAGCTGAAGTGCAGAGTGATGTCATCAAAATCATTGATCCATAATGGCGGAAGTGAGAGTCTGTAAGTTTTGAACGTTTTTATCATTTAAATGTGAATTTTGTTATTGTTTAGGACACACAAGCTTATAGATAACACTACAAATTCATACTAAAAGCCAAAAATAAATAAAAATAAAATAAATTGTTTAGCTTTCAAAGGTTTTTGGTTGACCTAACCAGTATCTGTGTGCCAAAAAAAAGAAGTGTTCGTCGCAAAAATTTCCGGCCAAATTTTGAATATTTAAATCGACCATACGCTATAGATAAGCCCCCTGATTATCCTTGTCGTCATTATTAGCCCCCTGATTATCCATAAATACACAAACGGACGTATTGTGAAGCACAACAACAGTTTCATCCTCTAGATGGCGCTACAATCCAGCCAAAAACAATGAAGTCCGAGTCATTATCATTAATCTCCCTGAACTCTCGGACTAATGAAGGGTGTGAGAGTTGCCGAAGACTATATTCTTTCTGTTTTGCTTTTTTGGTGATTTCACCATAACAGTTCAACAACCTTTACCTCATGAAATGGTCTGAAGTTAAGAGTTAATGCTAATGTATTCATGCTAATGTGTTTAACTCGTCATTTAGTTTGGCAGTGGATGCTGATCTTGACCCGTCTTTGAACCGGTTTCAATGGAGGGGAAAGGCTTTCCCTTATCCAAACACACACACACTACGACTCTATAAATACTATTTATACACCATGTGACCTGTCTGGTGACTGCTGAAGACAGAATGAGTGCAGATATGGACAATGTCGATAGAGCGATGGCTCTGTGCAGCGTTTATTGCTTTATTGTCCATATTTTATATATAAAAGCTTGAGGTTAAGTGCTGTTTTCCTGTGTTTGATTGCACACGTGCCGGTCATTGTTTTGTTTCCCCTGAACCATACACACACACACACACTCACAGACACACACACACACACTCACAGCCAAGCAAACCCGCAGGCTCCTCCTCTTCCACCATGAGCCCACAGATGATGAAGCTGATCCAGACCTGAGGAGAAACTCTTCATCGTCCCAGAATGGCTTTTTAAAGGCCATGGTGCAGGTTAAACACTACGGTCGATTAATGAGTGACTAGTGTGTTGCACAGGTGAGCAAGTGTGTGTGTGTTCTGGTGTTCGAGGAATACAGTGATGGAATCAGAGCATCTCAAATGGCTTCTGTTGCAGAGCCAGGTGTGTGTGTGTGTGTGTGTGTGTGTGTGAGAGAGAGAGAGAGAGAGAGAGTGCGTGTATGTGAGAGGGGGTGTGTGTGAGTGAGAGTCTGAGTGTCTGTGTGTGAGAGAGAGAGGAGGGGTGTTGGTGTGTATGTGTGTGTGAGAGAGAGAGTGAGTGAGTGAGTGAGTCTGAGTGTGTGTGTGTATGTGAGAGTGAGTGAGTGAGTGTGTGAGAGAGGGTGTGTGTATGTGAGAGCGAGTTAGTGTGTCAGAGAGAGGGTATGTGTGTGTGTGTGAGGGAGAGAGTGTGTATGTTTGAGAGAGTGTGAGAGAGAGTCTGAGTGTGTGTGTATGTGAGAGCGAGGGTGTGTGTGTGTGTATGGGAGAGTGAGTGAGTGAGTGTGTCAGAGAGAGGGTGTGTGTGTGTGTGAGGGAGGAAGAGAGTGTGTATGTTCGAGAGAGAGTCTGAGTGTGTGTGTATGTGAGAGCAAGTGCGTGTGTGTGTGTTTGAGAGAGTGAGAGAGAGGGTGTGTGTGTGTGTGTGTGTGTGTTTTCTGGTGGGGAAATTAGAGGGGTGTGTTTAACATTTCAAGTCTAGGAGAGAGACAGTGTGATTGACAGGTGAGGCTGATGATGTCATAAAATCGCAGTATAAAAGGTAAATGTGCGGCGAAACTGATAATCTGAGCTTATTTGGGGAGTTTTCCAGTCACACACTCTTCAGAAGCAGACGCTGATATCGGTAAGAGCTGCACTGGACTCTAGAACGCTTTGAGCAAGAGTTAAGATGTAAACGACTGCATTTGTCATTATTCTAACTCTTAAAATGATTAAAAAGCAACACGATCAAGTCTACAGTGAGATTTCACAGTATAATATACTCTTTTATTCTTAGAATTTGACTGAGAGGGCAAACCATAATCTAAAAGTTAATATTAAGTTTATAAAGTGTAGTTTTGAAGCACAATTCATTGAGACAATGTAAAATTAAACTCAATAGTTTGTTACAGAATTTGATGAGAAAGAGGAAACTAGTGAAAAATAAATTAAAAGTAAAAATTACATAGAATTTCAATGCAGTTTTTATTTTACAAAAGATGAAAGAAAACTGCACGTAAAAGTCCAAATTGAATTAAAATAGCAGAATTAGTTTGAGAAGGGGACATTAAAGTTAAACTCTAATTTTAAGCAGAATTCAGTGAGACATAAACAGTCACAATAAAACTAACTTTCAAATAACAAAGTTAAGATTAAACTCAAAAGTAAAATTATAGTTTCTGACAGAATTTGTTTTGAAAGTGAAAACTAGTAAAAAAAAAATAACATTAAAAATTCAGTGATGATGTCACAGCAGACACGCACAAAACCCAAACTGAATTTGAAAGAGCAGAATTAGAGAAAATAGAGTTGATTTATTAATGGATCTACAAGCTAAATGCAGACCAAATGTGCAAAATGTTGACTAAAATTTACTTATTTTTAATTAAACATTTTATGTGTACAACTATTCATAACAAAGCCCACGATCCACTCAATCATAAGACTAAATCAAACAAATATGACCAGAAAATAAAATAAAGACACTAGAAGAATCTCTCAGATCGTGTGTGTGCGCGCAGGATAAAGAACAGTGTCTAACACTCATATAACCTCCCATGTGTAATGTATTAACATTTATAATAATATGTGGCTTATAGACATGAATGTGTATGTTTTTGTTGTGAGTTATTTGTGTGTGTGGGTTTGTCATGAAAATGTCTCGTTAAAGGGATAGTTCACTTTGAAATTAATTTTTGAAATGTTTTAGCTTACCTCAAGGGCATCCAAGATGTAGGTGTCTTTGTTTCCATTTGTTGTATTTTTTAGGTCAAAGTGTTCTTGTCTGTCAGTCATATAATGGAGGTCTATGGTCACCACCTCAAAGAGCAGCACAGAGAAGTCCAAATTAAACATGATTTAATGACTCGTAAATGTAAGTACACATTGATGGCCTGAGACACGAAACGAGCGGTTTGTGTGAGAAAACCAACAGTATTTATATCGTTACCCTTGAGGTAAGCTAAAACATACCAAAAATTAATTTCAGTGAACAGTGAAATTAAAAAGTGAACTATCCCTTTAAGCAAATCAAGGACCCCAATGGAAATAACGGTTATCCTTGTGATAATGCTGCATTTCTAATTTTATGTCAAATAAACTGAAGATTAATGCATAAACACAAGCGCTTTTGTTTAACGATGCGAACGCCTGAAATTCTCCAGGACAGGTGTGTGTGTGTATGTGTGTGTTTCACTTGTCTTGTGTTGCGCAGACGATGTCCGATCATGAGCTGGTCCTGAAGTGCTGGGGAGCCGTGGAGGCCGATTACACAGGTCACGGGGCGGAGGTTCTGACCCGGTGAGTCCCTGACTCGAAACACACTCACACACACACACCCGGGTTTGGCTAATGTTCTCTCTCTCTCCAGCTTGTTTACGGAGTACCCGGACACACTGAAGCTGTTCCCGAAGTTCGCGGGCATCGCCCAGCCGGATCTGGCGGGCAGCGCGGCGGTGGCGGCCCACGGGGCGACCGTCCTGCGGAAACTGGGCGAGCTCCTGCAGGCCAAAGGGGACCACGCTGCCCTCCTCAAACCCCTGGCCAACACACACGCCAAAACACACAAGATCGCCCTCAACAACTTCAGGGTAACGCAGGACACCTGCACTCCCCGCCTCATCTGTGGGTCCGGCCCAGCATACTGTACAATATTAATAATATCATAATCATAATAGTATTTATTATGTATATTTAGATCATATTTAGATCACAATAATAAATAAGTAATACAAATCTATAAATATAATATATTTTAAATATTTGTTCAAGTGAAATGATCTTAAAATAAATTATATATATATATACCTATGAGGTTATAGTTCAGTCAGTTGCCAGTTTTCCCTCTCTAAAAAAAACATTCTGCTCCAAAATATAATTGTATGTTTTTAATATGTTTAATTTTAAATATAAAAATATGTTTAAATATAAAATGTTTAATTTTAAGTTTAAAAATATAATAGGCCTATACATATCATTAAATATATATATATATATATATATATATATTAATTATGTATATAGGCCTATTATATTTTTTTATTATATATATATATATATATAAATATATATATATATATACACACACACATATATAAATTGTTAGATATATATTATATATTTATTTGTATATTGTAAACTTAAAATTAAACATATTTTATATTTAAACATATTTTTATATTTAAAATTAAACATAAAATTTAAACATATTAAATTTAAACATATTAAAAACATAAAATTATATTGTGGAGCAGAATGTTTTTTTAGAGAGGGAAAACTGGCAACTGACTGAACTATAACCTCATAGGTGACTGACATAGAGCGCTGTACATTATTTATATATATAGTAAACTAACTCTCTCTCTCTCTCTCAGCTGATCACTGAGGTGCTGGTGAAGGTGCTGGAGGAGAAGGCCGGTCTCAACCCCGCGGGCCAGGGCGCGTTCAGGAAGGTCATGGACGTCATCATCGGCGACATCGACGGGTACTATAAGGAGGTCGGATTCGCCGGTTAAAGAAGATCTCGAGGGCCGACTCGAGCACTCAGCATGATATCGCCACTAGTGAATAAAAGTTATATGCAGATAATCAGATTAAAGACCATCCACACAGAACCAATCATGTTCAGACCCAAACACACGTGCAGCTGTAGTTGTATGTAAATGCACTTCGAAGTGAACAGAGCCAATCACACCAGGTTTAGAACGACACCTGATCTGATGATGTCATCATAACACTAACTGTGACTCTATAATAATAATAATAATAATAACTCCTTACACTTATATAGGCACTCAAAGTGCTTTACATACTTTAGGTGTGTTTGGGTCTCAGGAGGATCTTAAATTGTGAGTGACGGTACATTAAAAAAATTAAAAATTAAAATTGAATACGAAATTGTATTCCAATGATGCTTCTCTTGTTTTTAAAGGCCATATAAACATGTAAGTGTTTTGTTTGTCTACACTCGCTTTGTCTTACTTATTAACCTGCATAATAATTCATATTCAAGACTCCGCTTTTGTAATGCAACACTTATCAATAAACATCACTTCTCCTGCTGAAAAACTGATTCATGTGTCTTTATTTGGCATTCCTGCACAGGGTCGTGCAGAGACCTCTGTAGGGGCAGGTGCTCAAAGTATAAAATGGGGCACATGGAAACAAGGCTTTATAGGGCTGTGCTCAAAATATCAATACAGATGATTCTGCATCGATACAGCAGCAAATGCATTGATGGAGTTTTGAAAAAGAACCAGAACAGAAAAGACAAATTTAAAGTTTAAAATTAAAAAAATAATAATTGATGTGCTCTATATATAACTCTGGGATTAGAAACTGAAGCATCTTAAGTTGTCCCAACCTGATGGCTTTTTCTTCTCTGTTATACAGAATAATAAAGAACAGCTGTTATAGTGAACTGTATAGGACAAAATCAACCTGGCCCATGTTTCGTGCAGTACAGTATAGTTTTATTTAATGGCATATCAGCATCTGTGGCTATTTTCATGGCAAAAACTGATTTACAAAAATACAAGAGCACCAAATTCTGGGCCCTGTACACTCTCAATGTCAATGGGCCCCCTACACATGGCATTTTACGATGCGGGTTAGCAAAGTGAAAATTCAATTTTGAATGAAATGTATTTTTTTAATTATTTGAATATAAACAAATATAAACAGTGTTTAAATAATAAAATCAGATTATAGTAATGACTGGTTCTTTCATTCACCACCTGAATTGATGCATTTGGCCTACTTGTGCTCAAATACCTTTAAACCTTAGGCTACATCGGTTTTGTGTACTAACATTTTGATCCATGATACTGATGCAAGTTTTAAATGAAAAACATTTATTTTTAAATAGGAGAACACAAGAACACGAGAGACAACTGTACCCTCAGAAACCAGGTTAAACTGATGCTACCAACTTTCTCAGTTGGTCGCATCAGCATTTGATTTCGTCGCGGTTATTTTTTATTTTTTTTGCTACATGCCATGGGATTAATCAATGCATGCCGATGAATAGTGGTTTTAATGGACCAAAGCCAGCAAAGGCTTACCATAAATACCTGTAATATATTAATTATCATTGCCAAATTTCAGGATTTTCATGGATTTTGGACAGTAATTTTAATCTGTAATTTTAAGAATTTTACATTTGAATTACATTCAATCTATCTATTTACATTTGAATCATAATCTTCTGTGTCTGTCATTTTTCTATTAGCATCATATTTCTATCTTTTAAAAATCATTAAACATTCAAATGTACATTACATTTTAAAAGATTAGAGTATTACAACAAGCTAAAACAGATTTTTCGTTATCAAATTTTATAAGTTAGTTCAAAAATCAGAAATCTCACACTCCTTACCTCCTGCATTTTGTAATAATTTGTTTCCTGAGACATTTTAATTTTTATATTTTTATTCATGAATTTGTAATTGGCGTGTTCCACCATCAGTGTGCAATGCGCGCGTGATGTGTCTATGTGTCTTGCGGAAGAACACTGTTGCCGGAGCTACTTCTCTCCATTAATGTCTATGGCGAGTCACGCAGTCACTGGGCAACTTCGCATCCGAGTCAACCCCGGGAATCCGGGATAAAAAAAATAGTCCGAATATAAACACTTATAACAGGCGTAGTGATTCAGGATAAGTCAAAAACACGGTTTGGAAAATTGATTCATGATGTAGCCTACTCGTTCGTTTTGAACATAAGTTACGGACTGCAGTCTGCAGCAGCTGATACGGGTCGGTGTTCTTTTGCGCGAGCAAAGAAATTTCTCAAAATTCTCAAAAATCTCAAAATCCTCAAAAATTTGATCTCAAAAATCAAATTCTCAAAAAAATGGTCGCATATGAGACCAATTTGGTCGCAGTCTGGAACCCTGCATTAGCAGCAGCTGTCTGGAGTTGACTAAGTTACGTTAACTTTAATTGGATGTAACGTTAGGTGCATATAGCAAACTCAGTTCACCTTTTGGGAAGAAAGCAGTCATCAGCTGCTTCCCCGCATTCTGCCTCCCATCTTTTTCTTTCCTCTCTTTCTTTTTTTTTAAAGCCCGATTTGGGCTTTTTGCACAGCATGATCAGATCAGGCTCCCGTTACAGGCTCTAGGCTCACTGCGTTATTACTTGTTTGCCGCCCGCTGCGTCTATGGGCGGTCGACGCGTTGCGGACTAAACCATTTGGAAGGGGGTCCAGAGTGTCTGGCACTGAGTTCATTTTGGTCAATATTTTTTTTTTAATTATTATTAATGACATCAATTGGAGGGCCCAATTAATTCTAATTAGGTTTAAAAAAAATTTTTAAAAAAATTGGTGGGATTTCAAAGGGCCCTCTCCCTAGACGGGGCCCTGGGTAGTCAGGTCCACTTTTCCCCCCACTACCACGCCCCTGCCAGCAGCCGCAAGAGTTGAAGATATCCTCTGGGAATGCGCGATTGCGCGTAGCCGCGCGAAATTATAAAATGCGCGTGCAGCGTGAGGAATCAGGTGAAAGGTCATCATGTGGGTCATTTTATTTACGGCTAAATTATTATTCATTCATTTTACTACTAGTTAGATGGGGCAGGCATCCACAAAAGTGCCTTTAAATACAAAAAAAAAGGAGAGGAAATTTTGTCTTGACAAAAGGGCACTTTGGGCACCAAGGGGCAAAAGGGCAGGTGCTCGACCACCCAACGCCCCCCCCCCTCTGCAAGTGCCTGTTCCTGCATTAAACATGCATTTCTGAATTATTATACTGCCTTTCCAGACAGAAACATGGTGTCGGCCCAGATCCGGATCACGGACACGAACCTGATCTGGGCCGACACTGTGTTGCCATATGTGGGCCGGATATGATTAAATTCGTGCTGTTTTATGGTTAATGAGCAAATTAAATCAAATATCAAATATAATCAAATATGGTAAAAGTGTTTGACAGGTGCTTTATTCTACTCTGGTGTGTCAGTCACATGGTTAAGTGTTTTGGCCTGATCCCGGGATCTGGAGTGGGATTTTGTTTCTTAACAAAACACTTTGTTAAGAGCATGTGCTAGATCTCAGCCTTTTGTTTGTGACCTGAGTAATCTTAGAAACAGTGCTCCTATTGTCCTTCAGTCCTGGCCATTGTGGACGTGCCTGAGGACACAGAGGTTTCCTGTGGAGATTTACTTTACCGCTGAGCCGAGAGACGCGTGTGAGCATGTGTGAAGTTCCAACAGTCTCGTTGTCACACTGGACGTGACAACAGTCACTCTCTCTCACACACATGCGCACACACACATACACAGAGACAAACATGCACACAGACATGCACACACACCGCACAGTCTCTCTCTCACTCACTCACTCATTCACTTACATGTTACACTTACATGTTACATGGTAAGTCCATGTAACATGGACACTGTAAAATAAAGTGTTACTGATGTGAATAACGTATAAAGTGCATCAGTTTGAGCTCTAATATCACAGTTAATATCTGTTATTTCTCACTTAATATCTCAGTTAATATCTGTTATTTCTCACTTAATATCACAGTTAATATCTGTTATTTCTCACTTAATATCTCAGTTAATATCTCAGTTAATATCTGTTATTTTTCACTTAATATCTCAGTTAATATCTCAGTTATTATCTCAGTTATTTCTCAGTTAATATCTGTTATTTCTCACTTAATATCTCAGTTATTTCTCAGTTAATATCTGTTATTTCTCACTTAATATCTCAGTTATTTCTCAGTTAATATCTGTTATTTTTCACTTAATATCTCAGTTATTTCTCAGTTAATATCTCAGTTATTATCTCAGTTATTTCTCACTTAATATCTCAGTTAATATCTGTTATTTCTCACTTAATATCTCAGTTATTTCTCAGTTAATATCTCAGTTATTTCTCACTTAATATCTCAGTTATTATCTCAGTTAATATCTCAGTTATTTCTCACTTAATATCTGTTATTTCTCACTTAATATCTCAGTTATTTCTCAGTTAATATCTCAGTTAATATCACAGTTAATATCTCAGTTATTTCTCACTTAATATCTCAGTTATTTCTCAGTTAATATCGCAGTTATTTCTCACTTAATATCTCAGTTATTTCTCAGTTAATATCTCAGTTAATATCTCAGTTATTTCTCCGTTAATATCTCAGTTATTTCTCAGTTATTTCTCCGTTAATATCTCAGTTATTTCTCAGTTAATATCTCAGTTAATATCTCAGTTATTTCTCAGTTAATATCTCAGTTATTTCTCAGTTAATATCTATACTCGTGCATGTCTATTATTGACACATCTGTTTATTTCTCAATATCAATAAAGTCACAATCTGAGACAAAGCTGACAGATGAGTGAAAGTCCCCAAGCACTAAAGGAGCAACTCGTGAGCACGAACAGTTTAAGCTCTGATCGCTGGTTTGATGCCTCTCCTCAATACCAGCATTGTTCCAGAGGTCCGCTGAAAGGGAGCATCTGGTTTCTAGGACTTTTTGAGAGAGAGTGTGTGTGTGTGTGTGTTTTGTAAGGAAGCTAAGTGTCATCCTGTATTATCTGCTGTGGGAGAAAGAGGCAGGACAGGAACACTGGGGGATCCTGATCTCTCCTGAGACGTGAACACACACACACACACACACACACACACTATTGACATCTAACTCAAAGCTCACAAATAGCTTATTTCTAAGTGGTTCCTGTGCAGTTTCAGGGGTTCTGGATGGTTTAGCAGTTGTGTGTTGTCTAATGTGTTTTGAGTGTAACTTTTAACAATCCGCAATCCGGTTGCTAGGTGCCCTGAGTGTCAAGTTTTTGTATAGAGCATTTTACTATATCATGACTAAACTGTTGTTATGCGGTTGCTAGGGTGTTGCTACGCTGTTGCTAAAGTGTTCCAGGTGGTTGCCAGGACAGTGCTATGGGGTTGCTAGGTGCTCTGAGTGTCAAGTTTTTGTATAGAGCAGTTTACTATATCATGACTAAACTGTTGTTATGCGGTTACCAGGGTGTTGCTAGGCTGTTGCTAAAGTGTTCCAGGTGGTTGCCAGGACAGTGTTATGGGGTTGTTAGCTGCTCTGAGTGTCAATTTTTTGTATAGAGCATTTTATTACACATCATGACTTTAACCTGTTGTTAGGCTATTGCAAATGGTTGTTAGGGCGTTGCTATGCAGTTTCTTGGTGTTCTAAGTGCTTTATCATGCTGCTATGTCATTGGTAAATGACAGTTTTCTGGGTAGTTGCTTGGTGTGTTGAGTAGTTTAACTTTTTAACATGTTGTTATGTGGTTGCTAGGGAGTTTCTATGCTGTGGTTAAAGAGTTCTAAGTGGTTGCCAGGACAGTGCTATAAGGTTGCTAGGTGTCAAGTTTTTGTATAGAGTATTTTACAATATATAGAGTATTTTCATTGCTAGAATTTTCTGGGTAGTTGCTTGGTTTTACAGTTAACATGTTGTTGTGTGGTTGCTAGGGTGTTGCTATGCTGTGGCTAAAGTGTTCTAGGTGGTTGCAAGGAGAGTGCTTTATGGTTACAAGTTGCTCTGAGTGTCAAGTTTTTGTATAGAGTATTTTACAATATAAAACTTTAACCTGTTGTAATGCCATTGCTATGTGGTTGCTAGGGTGTTGCTAAGCAGTTTCTATGTGTTCTAAGTGTTTTATTATGTTCCTATATCATTGCTAGAATTTTCTGGGTAGTTGCTTGGTGTGTTGGGTGGTTTTACTGTTAACATGTTGTTGTGTTGTTGCTAGGGTGTTGCTATGCTGTGGCTAAAGTTGGTTGCCAGGACAGTGCTATGCTGCTATGGTTGGTTGCTAGCTGTGCTGAACTCTTTTAAAGAAGTTGCTATGTGTTTTCTGCGATGATGCTAGGGTGTTGCTTTACAGTCAAATGTAAAGTTTAGCATTTAGCATCAGGGGTTTGGATCGCTAACTATGAGCACCATTAGTGATGCTTGATTTAGCAAACACACACTTTACCTGGCCATAAATAAAGGCAGGAATGTGTGTGAAAGTGGTACGTGCGGGCAGAAACGCATCCAGTGCCGTCCTGCTCTGCCAATCTCTCAGCATGTGAACACACACACACACACACACACACACACACACACACACACACACACACTGCATTACTCAGTAACAGAATGTTGAGTGGGACAAAGGCAAGTCTCTTGAGAGACAGCTGCACTGTAGATGTGTTTGTGAAGGACCCAAACAGAGCAGATCATGGAACAATATCACACAAACATAGACTGAACTAAAGCACCATTTCAATGCAGTGTGTGTGTGTGTGTAGCCATAGCAGACTAATCATTTGGGACAATACTTGACTAATAAACGTCTTTCTGGAAAGAAAGCCAAAATTTGACGATTGCTCTCAGGTTGGAAAGGTTGTAGATTTAAGGTAGGTTAAGTGAAAGTGTGGTATGTCAGAGGGGCTGTGACCCTGTGCATGAAGAGGTCAGGGAAGAGATGGTCAAACGAGGTCAGTCACGAGGGGGCGAGCGGGAAGTTAAGAGAGAGAGAGACGGTGCCACAGGTAAGATGCCAGCAAGCCTTTTTGCGATTTCTTCGCAGAGCGCCCAGTATTCAGGACTCGGGTTACTGATAGGATTGGTTTCCAACAGGTGAGGTTGTCATGGAAACGCAAAAGAGGAAAGGAGTTGGGGGAAACACGGGAGCTTTTGGGATGAGGTTACTATCGTGCAGCAAACGGCCCGTATTCAGAGCAGACCAGGGTTATTATAGGCCACTAAACGAAGAGTTCAGATGCAAAAGCCTCTAAATGCCATTTAAATTTTTTTCTTTGATGATGATTTTTATCAAACGTGTATATTCAAGTTCAGTAATTTCACTTAAATAACAATTAATAGGTAATTATCATTGCCATTTAAGTGAAATCACTGAACTTCAATATACAAGTTTGATAAAAATGATCATTAAAGAAGAAAATTTCAAATGGCATTTAGAGGCTTTTGCATCTGAACTCTTCAAACACATAAACATACTTTTTTTTGTTACCGACGCGTCACCCCCCTTATTGAGGTTTGGATATTTCACATCTAATTTCAATGAATGCTTTGGAATACAGCCCTACGGTTGGTCAATTAATAGGTTATAGAAGTTTAAGTTTATTCAAAATATACATTTTACAAAATAACTTTACTCTAAAATTGCAATAGAATCAAAGCCATATGTCTAACAAAGATGTGTTCCAAATTTGAAGTTGATATCACAAAAATTAAAGATTGTGTTTAGGCGTAATACCAAAAATAGCCACTGGGTGAAACCCATAATCCATTGAAATTGTTTTTATGCGTTGACCTGTAACATATTAATACATTTCTGTCACAATATCACATTTATCACAAAACAGCGTACACATATGGAACCTTGAGACTGTGACCTTTCCATTGATATGTGATTTGTCAAAATTAGAAAACGTGTTGATTATAAAATAGTTATAAATTGAAATATGACTCCGCCCACTAGGGGGAGGAGCCCACGAAAAAGATTTAAAGTACCGTTTCCATGATAACGCAACATCTGATTTCAAAACACGATGAATTGAGTATTTAAGCTTACGAATGAGACTCAAGTTATGATGATTACACAATTATGGGATGATTCTGTGAAAAGAAAAGAGCTAGCGAATTGGTGACCTTATTTTATTTTAGCTAGTTATCAACAAAGCGTTTCATTTTCATTCAGTTTAACTTTAAGTACTAAAACTAAAATTAATAAAAAACAAGACATTCAAAAATGACTTATAAAAATGTCAAAAAACATAATAAAAATGCACTAACATTTTAATAAAATAGGAATTACTATATGAAAAGTAATAGAAAATTATCCAACCTAATAAAAATCTATTATAGCATCTCAGTGACACTGAAATAACATATTTAATTACGCAACTTTTAGACGTCAAAATATTAGGGAAAATTTCGAAAGTCAAAAGTATTTTCAGTAACATAATTATTGGATATGAAGACGTTTCCGGTCAAGAATAATACTGATTTCTATGTTCACTTCCAGTCAAAGGTTTGGACTCATCTACTCTTTCTTTATCATTATCATCATCAGCTACAATTGAGAATAATATAATAATATAAAAAAAAAAAACGTATACTAGTAGTGTGTAAATATATGACAAATATTTATTTAACTGTAAAAACATCAAACTGAGATAGCACATTAAAACAGGAGAGTCATTTAGTTAAAATCTGAAATATTTATAAATATTGTAAAGGTATAATTGTTCAGGAGAGAGACATTAGCTACCCAATGGCTCCCCCTGCTGGTTTGGAGGTTTGCGAGTGAATATGAGTGAGCACAGCAGACAGAGGTCACATGGGGAAGAGCAACACCTCAGTCTAAATCTTACTGCAGTTCACAGAGTAACGGACTGATCTGGTCAGAGGTCAGTCCTCCTCGAGGTCAGAGGTCGCAGAGCAGCGGGTCAGAGAGGACAGGTAGAGGGCAGTCGTTGCTATGGGAGACATTCCCGCCGAAACCTTCAGGATGTTGAGGATCCGCACGGATGCTGCGATCACACCATCTGCAGTCTGATGGAGAGAGTGTGTGTGAGAGAGAGAGTGTGTTTGTGTGTGTGTGTGTGTGTGTGTGAACACTTACCCTGTGCTCAGCGCAGAGGACGGGACACTGATGTGAAGCAGCCAGTTTTCTCACGCTGACCAAACGCTCCTGAGTGCGAGAGCCACAGCGAGCTGCAAACACACACACACACACACACACTGATCACTAACTCTTCTGACAATCATCAGAGACGATTCAACCTTTGTTACAGAAAGTGAGTGTAGACATATATAATGTTACAGAAATAAATAAATGCTGTTCTTTTGAACTTTCTGTTCGTCAACGAATCCTGAAACATAAACTGTATCAGTTTCCACAGAAATATTAATCAGCACGACTGTGTTCAACACCGATAATAATCATAAATGTTTCCTGATCATCATATCCTCATATTATTCATGATTTCTGAAGGATCAAGACTGTAGTAATGATGATGAACATTCAGCTTTAACACAGCAGAATAAACTACACTTTATATTCACAATATCGTTATAGTTAAGTTGAGAAAGGGCCTTTAAGGCTCTCACTCAGACTCACCATCAGTGACCAGGAAACACACCTTCCCCAGGAAACAGTCTGAGTGCAGATGAGCGAGAGAGCTCTCCACTGACTGAAGACTACAGAGAGAGAGAGTTCAGTTGTTACTTTCTTTTCTGTGTTATAATGTGTTTTTATGTATCATTATTATTCTTAATTAAGTTTATTATTGCTATATCCATATAATATTGTATGTTTTGATTTCTTTATTAATTTCTGTACATGCGCTTTACTAAACATTCATGTTCTAAATCATTTTCTATGTTGTTTTAATGCTGATAAATGGGAATAAAGCTTTCTGAATTGAATTAGGAGAGAGAGAGAGAGATCAGTGTACCTGCGCTCGGACAGTAGACTGATTATGAAAACTATTAAATCGATGCGTGGTCGAGTGTCCTTGTTCTCCACAGGCAGAGGCAGTTTTCTGGCCAGCCGACTGAAACACAGGAACAGTTACACTCGTCTGTGTCCCAAACCACAGCTCATACACACACTCAACATCACACATCATCACCGTCTATTGGTTTGTCCGTCCTTCTGTTAGACTCTCACACATGAATTATGTTGAATATCTGTCAGCTGTTAAATTTAACTACACACTTATATAAAACCAGTTTAGCTCAAATACTAACCAAGCAATGCGAATGTTGTTCAGAAAGTGTGTAAAAAGACATTAGCATTTAGAAAAAATATTTTAGGTATAATATGTCAGTTTACTTTATTTTGCTTTCCTCACTTGAACATACTAGTAAAAACATATAAAAATATATATGAATAATTACATTAAAAACAGTCACATTATATTAACAATCTCAGTTTACATTACAATGTTAATTAGAAGTCTATATACCATCAATTTAAGCAGAAATTGTAATGAATATCATTAATAAATGATAATATTTTAAAATAAAATATAATTGTTTTGATATGTGTGTCACTCACACATTGACGTTGAACTCTTTCTCATACTGTACAATGGCGTCGGCTAGTTTGGTCTGAAGCTCCTCTTCATTCTCAACCAACTATCATAAGAAACAGTAACGTAGAATATGAATATTAAAACTAGTCAAAAGATGAATAAACTATCAACGGCATCAATGTAACGTTATTACTCACGAGGACAGTAGCGGTGTTCAGCTCGGGGACTTTACTGAACGGTCTCAGGAGCGACATGATGAGGACTACGCGTTTAGTTAATATGAAATATGAATTTACTTGTTTGTTTATCTTAATAAAAATAGCGAAAGCTCCTGAATCGCTGCTTCCTGCTCGCGCCCATTTTTCAAAGTTCACGCGCTTGACGTCACATAGACGCGACCCGCCATTTTGCACACGGTGCTGCCCTCGCGCGTTCATAAACCACCTCACAGTCATAAATAAATACAAAATTAATTATATTATTTAATAATATCCATTGAGAAAACGCTTTATATCTTTTAAACTATTTTTTAAAAATATCTTTCTTTTAAATGTATCTCTCTCTCACACACACGTGTGTGTATACAGTAGTTAACATGTGTATCACATCCTTGCATCAATTATACAAATAAAGTTAGCGTTTGTCTTGGGACTTTTTTGATCCACTTAAAATTTTGACTACTATACATTTATATACACACACGCGTAAGCTAGTTTGACATTAATTATATATATATATATGATTTCAGATACTGTCAAATGTAGTACATGGATCCTTACGTTTAGTTTGGTTGGTGTACCAATCTATTCAAGTTGATTCAGTGAAGATAAATGCATTTTTGACTTAAAAATAAATAAGAATGAAATAAATATAGATGTGATCACATGCCACACATTTTTAGGTTAACAAACATAGTGGACTTTACACATTTAACACTTTTCTTGCATTATACAAACTGCAATTCCACACAAATCTACTATTAATATCGCCATTGATTTAAACAGAAGCCGAAAATCAACTTTCAAGAAGATGAGAAGCCCGAAACACGTAAACAACGAAAGCAACAGATTTATTGTTTCATAGCATAATGACAAGGCAAGATGAAGTTTCAAGACAACGTCTCAACAGCGCAAAACCAAAGAGTGATAAAAAGGGGAAAAGAGAAACTCCGGAAACATCCTGGTACCATGAGAAACAAGGAAAGCCGAGCTATAAACGTGTGCGGTTACGTGTGAAAACTTGGTCTGGTTTATGTGTGTGTGTGGGGGGGGATGAAACTCAAAATCACCAGGTTAAGAAAGATCTCCGTTCAGCCGAGTTTATAATCCATGACAAAATGAAACCAGAGGGGGGGAAACATGAGAAAATAACATCCACATCAAAATCATTTCAGCCATTCAACGACCTTTAATTATTAAAAAAGGGGAAAAATAACCAGTTTAAAATGCTGAAAAAAAAAAAAAAAAAAACACACGTTATCTTCAGTGTTGGTTTATATTCCCGCAGGCGTTTCCTTCATCCGCCCGCCCTTATTTTCCAAGATAAAAAATAACCTACTTCTAAACACACTCCTTCCCCTAAACACACTTCCATCAAATGTTCTTTTGGTTTTGCTGACTAGATCACGGTGCGTAACTCTTGCTGTCTGAGGCGTTGTTTGTATCTCAAATAATGATGCTGGTCTCACACTCACACACACACACACACACACACACACACACATCTGCGACTGGCTTCCTCTCTGTAGCCGCCGAGCTTCTACTGATGTGTAAGTAACCGGATGAAGCGGTCACTCAGGTATTGACGGATCAGTGTGGGCGACTGCCGGCTGCAGGACGCGACGGGATCGCTGTAAAGTGTCTGGTTCTCGTGTGCTAGATCTCCCCGGACTCTCTCTCCTCGGAGCTGGAGCGCTGGTCCCGCTCCAGAGACACGGACCGCTCCCGCTCCCCCATCTGGCCGACGTCCGGGGAGGCCGGGGAGCGTTCTCGCTCCGGGTCGCGGCGCCCGTTGTCCCGCCATCTCTCGTCCGCGGGGGTCTCCCGCCACCGCTCCTGAGGGACAGGCTGTTCCGGGTCTCTGGCGTGGGAAGACCTGGAGAAATCCGCGTCAGAGCCAGTACTCAAGAGTGCGACAGAGGAAACAGTCTGTTAAACACTAGTTTGCTCTTTTCTGTTTACAACACAAGGATTCTTTTAGTTGTCAAATCATTTAATTTCCACAAAATAAAAGTTCTTTCAAATTACTTAAAATATTTTCAGATCATTTAAAATGATTGTTTCAAATTTAAATTATTTTTTTTTTTATTTTTTTTTAATATAAATTAGTACATTTTCAAATAATTTAAATTTTCATTATAAATAATTTAAATGAAGTTATTTCATACTTAAATTCCAAATAAATAACTTTAAATAAATAGTTTTAGATTTTGATTCCAAATGTAAAACACTTAATTTAAAAATAACAATTACTTCATATTGTTTGAAACTCCAAATTTAAATTAAATTCGATTAATTTAAAAGTACTTTAAATAGTTTAAAGTTAAATAATATATATTTGGATTTTAAATTATTTAATAGTAATTAAAAAAAATCCAATATAAATGATTTAAGTAAATATAATAAAAATCTAAAAATAAAGTTAATTTAAAAATAATTTAGAATTATTGAAAATAGTTTAAAAGTTTCATTCCAAATATTATTTGTTTAAAAATTTCCTTTATTTAATCAAATTATTTAACACATTGGTATTGTGTCATAATGCCACTGTTTACACTGATTTACACCACATGACCACACCTTGACTGTGGTATAATCAGTGTAACTCATGCCAAATATTATTTGTTTAATAATTAAATAATTACCTTTATTTAATCAAATTGTTTCGCACATTGGTATCGTGTCATAATGCGGTTGTTTACACCACATGACCACACCTTGACTGTGGTATAATCGGTGTAACTCATGCCTTAGTGCTCAATGCGATGTAATCTGGTACCTCTTCCTTTTGCTCCTGTGCGAGTGGGAGCGAGAGCGATGGCGGTCTTTGTGTCTGTGTTTCCTCTCGCGCTCTCGTTCCCGCTCTCCATCCTCACGGTGCCGACGAGAGCGATGGGAGGACGAGCTTCCTCCTTCCCTGAAACCAGAGGGAAAGATGCAGAAACAGGAGATTTCCTCGCAGACGTTATGAGAAATAAAGAACGATCCTCACCGATATCGCTCGCCACTCCTGGATCTGGACCTGAAACCAGAGGGATAGAGCCATGATGACAACTAAAGCAACACCAAGTGACTTAAACCGTTAAAGGGATACTCCACTTTTTTTTGGAAATAGGCCCATTTTACCACTCCCCTCAGAGTTAAACAGTTGAATTTGACCATTTTCGAATCCATTCAGCCGATTTTCTGATATTTAGAAGAATATCAGTAACCAGACAGTTTCTGGTCTCATTGACTTCCATAGTATATATGAGACCAGAAACTGTCTGGTTACTGATATTCTTCTAAATATCAGAAAATCGGCTGAATGGATTTGAAAACGGTAAAATGGGCCTATTTCCAAAAAAAGTGGAAAATTCAGACGGTTCCCGACTCGACTGGCGTGAGTGAGGGCGATCCGCACAGAAACACACCTCCTGCGTTCTCTCTCTCTCCCGCTCTCTCTCTCGCGCTCCCTCTCACGCTCCCTCTCGCGCTCCCGCTCTTTCTCCAGCTCCCACTCTCTGGCTCGCTCCTCTTCCCTGTCGCGCTCCTCTCTCCTCTTCGTGCGCATGCGCTCCTGTTTCTCCGTCACAGCTTTCTGGAAAGCAGAGCGGTTGGTCAGTGAGGCGCAGACCGACACCAGGGGGATTGAGCTCGCTCGCTGCCATCTTACCCGCAGTTTGTCCAGTTTCTCACGGATTTCGATGAACCCTAGATGTAGTTTCCCTCCAAAGTGGTCGGCGAGTCTGCGGTCGTTGTCGTGGAGGCCGAGGTAGGCGGAGCAAACCTCACACACTCGCAGCTTCTGCTGCTGGAAGCTGGAGGCCGGCATTGAGTTGCGGTATATGTCCTAAACATCAACACAGTTAAAGGATTAGTTCACTTTTTTCCAAAAATGTAACTTTTGCGCGTTTGTAACGTCACGTAATTACGTTCAAAAGGTCACGGGCGACGTAGCCAGAAGTACAGAGTCAGAGTGTTTACAAGTTGAACGCATAGGTTGAACGTGCAAACTAACTCAAACGCCGTTTACAAAAAAAATTAATTAAATGGTAAAACAACGATGTCGGACGATTTTGATTCTGTACTTACGGCTAAGTCGCCCGTGACCTTTTGAACGTAATTACGTATTACGTGACGTCGCAAACGCACCTCACAGAATAGAGCAAGGCTAGCATTTGTCCTTAGAAAAGTTACATTTTTGGGAATAAGTTTTGAAATAAGCGATCGTTTCGCATGATAAGACCCTTATTCATCGTCTGGTGTCGTTTAAAGACATTTGAAGCTGCATCTGAAACTGTTATTAACCGTCTTTTGGACCTTTGGTTCCCATTGAAGTCCATTATATGGAGAAAAATCCTGGAATGTTTTCATCAAAAACCTTAATTTCTTTTCGACTGAGGAAAGAAAGACATGGACATCTTGGATGACATGGGGGTGAGTAAATTATCAGCAAAAGTTTTTCAAAAGTGAACTACTCCTTTAACTGTAAGGGCTGTCACTTTACACTCGTAAATCGATTGCACAATCACAAGTATCTATTTTAACTGCCTTTTTTTTAGGTGTACAGATCAATACAGCACACAGAACATGTAGGATGCTTTTTAATATTTGCTATTACTTTAATGCAAGTGAAGTGCAGTGAAGGTGTTATTTGTCGAGTAGTGACGTGTGTGTTCAAGTAAGCAGATTCTGCGCTGTACGCTGTATTTAACAAATCATGAGGACAAATACGAGTTGCGTATTTGTGCTAAATCAGCGCAGATTTGGCTAACACAAACTTCCCCAGCAAAGAAAGCGAGTAAACATTGAAGCACGCCAGATTGGCTCGTGATTAGACGGTGTTTCCCAAAATGGAAAACGTCTTTACGTTTAAGTAAAAAGTTTCATAGACACTGTTTAGATGAACACAATTAACTATTAACGATAATTACAAAAATCATATAATGGTCAATTATTCCCAATTGGGAGTATTAATTGCGATTATCACAATCTACATTGAATGATGTTTTGAATGGCTTTATGCCGTTGTTTAAAGCGACAGCATAAACACGCTGTAAACACTCGTCCCGAAAGACTTTGCTTTTCTATCACATTAAGCCTAAAATATACTTTTTTATACATTTAAAAGAAACAAATGGGGAAAAATCCTAAAGATAAGCTGTAGAAAGGAAAAACACATCTTAAGCACACAGAATAATGTAAGCGGACATAATTGTGGCATCCGTAACTGTAATCACGATTACAAAAATCGATTAATTGTGCAGCCGTACAATTAACTGTAATAGCGCCATTGCAAGCATGAGCAGCTTTGATGTGTGATTGGAGTCACTGCAGGGATATTTCCAGCTGACCCCACACTGACCTCTGCCTCCTTCTTTAGGGTGCGCGTCTTCTCCACCTTCTCCAGCACCTGTTGAGCCTCGTCCACGTTCCCCTCGCCACCCAGTTGCTCCGCACGCGCCAGCAGCTTCCCGATCTCCTCGTTCAGCTCGTGCACACGCTCCGCCTGCAATACACACACAGACACACACTCTCAGAGCACAGCCAGAAACCTTAAAGCTGGAGGAGTGAAAACTGGCTGGTTCATACTGAGGGCCAGAGAGGGACGGAAATGCTCATGGAAAACAAAAGACTTGAATAATGTTATAAACTGATCTCAAGCTAAATTAAATAAAAACTATGAAATGGTAAGATATTACGGAGGTCTGTTTCTACCATGGGTTAAAAGTCATGGGATCAAAGTTCTTTCTCCTCACATTTATAAGATTATGTCTCAGAATACCAAGTTTACATCTCGCAATTCCGACTTTTGTTTTCAGAATTTTGACTTTTGTTTTTTGACAATTCCGAGTTCTCACAATTCCGACTTTTGTTCTCAGAATTCCGAGTTTTTATCTCACAATTCCGACTTTTATTCTCAGAATTCCACATTTTTATCTCACAATTCCGACTTTTGTTCTCAGAATTCCGAGTTTTTATCTCACAATTCCGACTTTTATTCTCAGAATTCCACATTTTTATCTCACAATTCCGACTTTTGTTCTCAGAATTCCGAGTTTTTATCTCACAATTCCGACTTTTGTTCTCAGAATTCCAAATTTTTATCTCACAATTCAGACTTTTGTTCTCAGAATTCCAAATTTTTATCTCACAATTCCGATTTTTGTTCTCAGAATTCCGAACTTTTATCTCACAATTCCGACTTTTGTTCTCAGAATTCCAACTTTTTATAATTCTCTCACAATTCCGACTTTTGTTCTCAGAATTCCAAGTTTTAATCTCACAATTCAGACTTTTGTTCTCAGAATTCCAAGTTTTTAATCTCACAATTCAGACTTTTGTTCTCAGAATTCCAAGTTTTTAATCTCACAATTCAGACTTTTGTTCTCAGTATTCTGACTTTTGTTTTTCGATAATTCAGAGTTCTCACAATTCAGACTTTTGTTCTCAGAATTCTGAGTTTTTAATCTCACAATTCAGACTTTTGTTCTCATAATTCTGACCTTTGTTCTCAGAATTCCAAATTTTTATCTCACAATTCCGACTTTTGTTCTCTGGATTTAAAGAACAAAAGTCTGAATTGTGAGATAAAAATTCAGAATTCTGAGTTCACAACCTAGAATTTCAGAGTTTTGTCTTCAGAATTGTGCAATTGCTTCCATAAGACATGGTCCCTCTAAAAAAAACAACCAAAAAAAAAAACACCCATATCGAGTTCCTCTGTTTGTATGCATTTCCTATTGAAACAGGAAGTTGGAACGGGACACATTGAAGCGCTCATCGTCTTTTTTCTTCCTCTCATTAAAAGACATTTATATGACGGCTGTGGACCATGATTGACTACGTGCTGGACTGTAGATAAAAAGCAGGTGTGTGAAACTTCAATATGAAAATGATCTGAGAGTGAAACTGCGGAGAAGCAATGATTCAGAGACTCCCCCGTCGTTACAGGGAGATCAGCTCGTCGGCGCTTTACCTTGGCTGCCACTTCAGCGCTGATTTCTTCCTGCGTTTCGGCCAGACGCTTCTTGGCCAGTTCAGTTCTTCGGTCACAGTCTGCGATGAAGGACTGCAGGTGCTCTGAGGCCTGAGAAAAACACACCACAATTAGACATTTAAGAGCGGTTTCCACACACACAGCATTATGAAGATGATCGGAAATGGTTTATACTCACATCCAGCTCAAAGAAAAACTCCTGCTGTTTAGCTGCGATCTCATAATCCGCTCTCAGAGCCAGGTCGTGAATCTTCACACACTCGCCCAGATCCATGCGCTGCACAAACACAAAGCAGGGTGTCATAATGTAACAGATGTGGCGAGGCATAAAACGAGTATGCAATTATCCAACAGGTTTTTAGATGAGTGAAGTCATAACCACTGATTGAGACACTTACAGTTCCAGACAGTATATCGTGAGGACAGGACTCCAGAAGATGACTCTTACACACACGCTCATCCGTGAACTTGATCCTCTGTCGCATCGTGTCGCCTGTGGGAAAACACATCAGACACATCACGAGATCATGTCAAACAAATAATGATAGTGACACAAATAAAATTATGATTCTCACTGCTAAAGAAAATTCAATAAAACAATGACAGAGAATAATGAAGACCAAGTCACAATTTTGGTCAACATCAAGATATAACATTATATCTACACAGAAATTGCCTAAAATCACGATACTCAACAGGGCAAACGAATCATCATAATCAGGATACTCATTAGATCACATCAATTAAATAATAGACTGATACAAAATCCTTGCAGACTAACCTGAAAATAAAAAATAAGAGAATAACACTGATTATAGTCATGATGATTTCACGAACCAGTGTTTATCAAATTAGTTTGTACTACAAAGCAAAAATTAGAATAAGGGAATACAAAAAATTATGACCATGTTTTGATTCACGATTTGCCTCAATTCATTATTCATGAATCATAACAATCATGATTCTCGATATGAAATAATTACAGACAAATCATACGATTCTTGATCAAATCAAGTGAATGAAATAACGGTTTTTACCAAATAATGGCAATTGAATAGAAGAATAACATCAATCATAAAACCATTCTGAAATGATTTTCGTCAATCAAACTTTTTAATCTACCATCTAATAATTAAATCAAATCCCGAGAGCCATGAATCATATGAAAAAGTGACTTTTTACCACGACCGGTCAAGCAAATCACGAGAAACTCAATAGTTGAGCATCGATTACAGTAAGGAATCAAATCTGAATCAAATTCCTGGTTTAGTTTCGCTTTGCTGTGAATGAAAGAAACACTCACCATCTCTGCTGGTTCCCATGAGCTGGTCCAGCATGGCCCGCATCTGCGCCTGGGCCGACATCTCCTCTCCAGACACGTGTGTATGAGATAAATAGCGCGTTTAACAGTTAAACCAGGGCTCTGTTTATCTAACCTGAGAAACTAACTCCTCACACAGCAGGCCTCAAAACCACCGGCCGCCGAAAACAAGACTAAACACCTCCGCTAACACGCTTTCCGGTCACTTCTCTGTGTTAAACCCCTCAGTTTGTACAGTTTATAGTTGAGATTGCGCTTAAATCTGTCAGATCATAAATCAGTGAGTTAGTCTAGACTCTCAATAGTCTCGTGCGTTAGCATTAGCGGCTAACTCTTCCCCCAACGCCCCTGAATCCGCCTTATATGCGCTTTTTATCAGTCCTGGCGCTGCTTAATCAGTCCGCAGATCAATATTTTGTGTAGTGATCCATATTCGCAAAGTTTTGACAGTGTTTGTTTTTTGTTGTTTTATTGTTTTATTTCTTTTTTTCCCCCTCTCGGAATGAGACTTCCGACCCGCGCGCGCGCAGCTCCCGCTCGGTACGCGGCCTCGAGGAAGTGCCGAGGAGCTCGCGCGCTGATTGGTCAACGGGCGGGTGACGTCACAGTGGCCGCGCGGCTCAGCGAGTGTAGTTCGAGCCGTGGAGCAACATGGACACAAAAAACTCATGTTGAACTGGTTAAATCGTTTTAAACGTACATATTTCGCACATAACAGCTAATTTAATAACAACAACTTGAATATTTACCCCTAATTTCTCTAAAATTACTTTCTTGAAGAATATATATATACACACACACACACGTATATATAAATATATGTGTATAATTTTCTGATGTTTTATAATACTAACCCTAACCCTAATTTATAAATAAGATATTTACATAAAATATTAATGATATATAATTTACACATAATCTTGTTGTATAATGTATTCGTTTAACATAATATATTATTAATGATATATAATTTACACACACATACTGTATATAAATATATGATGTTGTTGAATAATGATGCATTTAATAAATAATATATTTACATAATATGTGTGTGTGTTCTTGATATTTATCTCTATACAAGTTTAAATATAAACTTAAAATCTACCCAGTGTCTCAAAGTGTAATACAAATATTAGTAGTATGATAAATGTCAAGACATGTAATTTAACTTATTAGTACATATGAAGAGTTCAGATGCAAAAGCCTCTAAATGCCATTTGAAATTTTCTTCTTTAATGATGATTTTTATCAAACTTGTATAGTAATTTCACTTAAATAACAATTAATAGGTAATTATCATTGCCATTTAAGTGAAATCACTGAACTTAAATATACAAGCTTGATAAAAATCATCATTAAAGAAGAAAATTTCAAATGGCATTTAGAGGCTTTTGCATCTGAACTCTTCATATATATTTATTATAATGATAAAATATTAAGGACTAAGGTATATGACTGCTCTAATCTCTCAGTTCATTCAATAATGACCATAAATAATTACACAATTACACGGTATTGGTTCTCTCTGTTTATTGTACTGATGTGGAACAGACATCTCTTAATTTATGCATGTTGTATATTATATTCATATGTATAAAAAAACATCCAGTCTAATAGTTTTTTTCTCCAACTACTTCCACAGAATACAAAATCAAACCCAGCAGTGATTATCAATCAGAAGAACGAGAACGAACAGAAACACAGAGAGGTCCTCTCAGACAGCGTCCGTCCCGCACTACAGAAACACTTGTTTTGGCACCAGAGAAGCTCCTCGCTCTCTCTCTCACACACACACACACGTTACAGACTCGTCTTCACACACACAACCACCGTCCTGTGTTCAGACGTCTGCTGGAGGAGAGAACGGCCCATCCACCGGCTCTCGCTCAAGTGTGAGGTTATCATTCGAATGAATGTCCGAATTTAAGAGAGAGAAGAATAAATGAACATTGAGTTTGTACGAGAGCCAGGCCGTGTGTGTGTGAAGCGCTTCAAAGCCGAGAGCGAAATCTGAGATTTTTAACAGATTCAATTGCTAATATTTTTTGTTAATAGTTGTCGAGCGGGGAGTCGAATCTATAGAGGACCTCTCAATGAAAGCTTTTAAACAACAGTTTCATCACCAAGAATCACAATTCATGGATATACAGTGTATAGATACATATAAAACAAATAATCAGCTTACACAGCCCCCCCCCACAAATAAAATAAAAAATAAATTTGATGTGAAAACAAAATTTGTACCACCAGAACAACACAAATCCACACACATATGACCTCGAATTATGCTACATTTGACTTTATTATGACTATTATCTCCACATCTCTGGTTTATAGTTCTGATCTTAAAAATCAAAGAAATTAAATTAGCCAAAAACAACAACAAAACCCCCCCAAAGCAAAACAGATTTTCCTTTGAGCCGTTTTATATGATAATTTGAGTTTCTTAAAAGAGAAAAAAACTAGATGACCACATTTACAGCTGCTCTACGTGTTTTGATGCTACATTTTTTGATTTAAACAGATGAAATGTACAAAAATAAAATGTGCAATCATTACCATACCAATGTGTGATTTGAAGTTATTATCTAAATAAATGTGACGCTGATGGTGGAGAAAAACAAAAAAAATGCAGGAAATGATTCATTCTTTTGATTTATACATGACCGTTACATGCGCTCTGAGAAGTGGGCGTGGCTCCGTCTCATTCAGCCAATCGGACATCAGTGGGCGGGGTGTTTTTGCAGGTCCCGTAAGGCAGTGAGGATTTTAGGCCTCGTTACATTCGGTAACACGGAGCCGAAGCCCTGACCGACTCGCGGTGCTGATCCCGGATCAGATCTAAACCCGAACACATAGCGGCCCGCGCCGAATTTTGACCCGAGATCAGCTGTGCGCATGTGTGTGAGAATAAATACAACACAGAACTACAATAAAAACCAAAGCGGAAGTACTAGAGAAGTTTGGGATCTCTTCTGAGGTATAGTCTATAGTCTCGCTCCATAGCACCATTTCCCCAACCCTGATCAGATTCATCCATCCAACGACCACAGGATTAACTCAAGCATCTGTGTGTGACATCGTCATTATGAGTGAAAATCATTTTTTTTTTCGCCATAGGATGTCACAAACACAGTCCACAGAGCTTGAGATGAAGCATTGACCTCTTAAAATCACTGACCGGTTATTGACCATTCGGGTCGAAATTAAATACACACTTGCGAAACTCACCGTTAAAAATCGTCCGTGCACGAATGTTCGTAATCTCTGTATCCGTTTTATTTGTTCGACTGCAGGATTCAAATCTCTCGAAATGTTAATATAACATTTTGATTCAGTAACGTGTGATTCGATTGGCATTCCCTGTAAAAGGACTGGCGCTCAGATTGGCATTATGCTGATAAATCGTACATATGTACATTTAAAGTACAGCCCTTATCTAAACTGGGCTTACATTTTTACACATCTATCATTCTAACTAATACACAGTTGGACCTGGAAGTCTCACGGAAACACTTCAGCTCAAAATCAAAAGAAAACGCATGGTGTTATGATCAGCAATAACAAGCTTTGCAAAGACTTGAGGATCGTGAAGATGACAATTAAATACATTTTCCCGCCAAAATTCTCATTGTAATGCAAAAAAAAAAAAAAAGATTGGGGTCGGTAAGATTTAGTTTTAGAGAGAAAAAAATTCATTCAAAATTTTAAAAACATCAATTTAAATTAGTTAAGGTTGAGACGCGTCATACTAGCAAGATTTGAGGTTGACGCAACAAGGAAAAAGACATTTACAGCACATCCTTAAGGCCTGTTCACACCGGGACGAATTTCGCACGTGATATTCGCCGACGTTTAACGCCTCATGACTAAGCAAAGTGTGCCAATGTGAGTGTGCACACCAACACGAAAGACGCCATGCGTAAAAGCGCCATTTAAAAAAAACGCCTCGGGGTTTTTTTTTTTTTTTGGTCTGACGCACCGCGTCAAAATCCTTCCGACCAATGAGAGTCTCGTGCTTCTGGGGTTACAGTAAAACACAACTTGGGGGCGCCAAAAACACAAAACGGTCATACCGAACACACATACGTAACAGCAAAAAAGATATACACCACCATCTACACTGCCGGAAGACAAGATATCATTACATTAAGCGCCATCTACTGTCAGGGAATGAATTTGCATGTTCACTCGGCTCATCATCAGCGAAAATCGATTGGGTGTGAATACAAAAAACGTGTTGGAAAAAAAGAGGATCTCTGAAAGTGTCTAAAGAGATACGCCAATGCCCGTCCCTCCGAACCGCACCCCCACGACATCACTAACATCTTTCCCTCATTAACAATCTGGTGATTATATTGCCATCTCTCGCCATACAAAAGACTCTTTTTCAGACTCTCCATGAATTTTTTTGGCGATGTTTTTTTTGGAGTACGTCGACAAGTGTTTCCCCAACAGTCCTCGGGACTCGCACACTCTTTCACACCTACGGACAAGTAGGCATGAACCTGCTTTTCTTTGGACACGTCCTTGTCGGGGAATCCGGAGACATTAGGAGAAAACCGACCTGAGAACATGCAAACAAGAGCGGCAGTATATGCCCTGGAGGTTATGACATTTCTTTGGAGAAACATACGGATAGTCTGGGAAATGCAAATGATTCCCAAAGCCTGGTGAAGAGCAAGGGGAGTGCTGATCCCAAAACACAAAAACTCATTCACCATCGAACAGCTTCGCTAAATAACCCTTCTGAATATATCGATATCTTCAGTGTTGGCGCACTTTTAGATACAGTTGTAGAAAAGGCTGGAAATTGGATGCCTTGAACATAACAGTGTTAAATGGCATCTAATTCAGGAAAGGAACTGCACGTCTGGTTCCTCAATCTGGCCAACGGCTTTGAGCAAGTTCCTCATTCCCTCCTGAGGACGGCTTTTGAGTCGAGTTTTTACAGGTGCCTCTCGGGTAAAACATTACTTCCAAGATGCAAAATTTTGCCTCAACACCCAACTGTCAATGGAGCTCATTATCGGAGCCATGAAATGGGTTTCAGTAAACGACTACAGTTTGGTTAGCGTTCCTTGTTTCACCAATATGAGCCTATATGGATGATAGGTCACCATGATTTTACCAAGTAATATCTGCAATATTCTGTTGATCCTGGAAGAATATTCCAATCTGAAAACGTCGCCTACACCTAAGCCTACCCATAAGTTATCCCTAAAATCAAAGGGGAAGGATAGGCGAATAACTCTGAAGTAGAAGCAGCAAACCCTGATTGCAAGCCTCAACTTGATGAGATAAACTGTAAACTCGTCCCTCAAATCTGATTGGTTGATTGGAATGTTGTTCCAGGATCAAAAAAAGATGTTGATCCAGGAACATGTTGCGCTTGGTGAAATCACAGCTTCATCACATGGGCGAGGATGAAAATCAAGCCCAGTAATTGAAAAGCTCCATTGAAAAGGTCAAAGATTTCATTTTGATGGAACACTTGTACAAAACTGTGTTTGGGCAGATCGTATGAGCAAACCGGGACACCAAAAAGGACACCATCATGTGCATAAATGACACCATCAAGACCAGGAACACTCAAGGTGTGGATTGGCAAACTCCCAAGACTCACATGTCCAAAGATCCCCCTCAGAAAAGTGGAAAAGCTGGAAACGGTGCTAAATGCACAGGTGAAACCATGGGACTGGCAAATGAAATGACCTATTACAAGTCTGGTGTAAGAATTAAAAATGCATCAAAGCAAGTTCTGGTCATGACCCTCGCCGACTCTCAGCACGGACAGCGGCCCCTCGGGGAGCAAGCGGACACCGTCTGAAGCCGTGCGACGTCAGCACTTCAGTCCCAAAGCTCCTCAATGGCACAAGGACACGTCAAGCCAGAAGAGATGAGGCGGTGGGACACGCTTAGGCAATCTCAATGCCCAAGAAAGGTCAATATGGACTAACCGGGAGAACGTAGAACAGGGAAAACTCAGATTTGGAGCGAAGCTTTCACTCCCCTGGGAGGATGGACGGGAGGAAGCGTTTGAGAGAAAATGCTGGCAAAAACTGGCAACCGAAGTTACAAAAAATGGCTGGAAGGTGAGGGTTTGGGGATTGGGATGCAGGGTTTGAGTCGCCACAACCAGTCTACTGAGGTGAACAAGGGGTTAGGAGTCGCCCTGTCCAACAAGCAATCGAGTCCACGTCGAAACGCAGCGGGAATCGGCTATGGATGATTCGGAAGGACATCAGCGGAGCGCCGAGATCAAGATGTGATGCCAGGGGGCACTTTTGAGTCCTCTTGAGTCGTTGTTGGACCATAATATTATATATTTCTACCACTGAAATCTTACTACTGACATTAGATGAACCAACTTTCCCCAGGGATTGAAGCATCAAGTCCAGAAAGCTCTACAATATTTGATAAAAAAGTTATACTGTGAAATATTACCACTTATACCACCCCTTTTTTTTTCAATATATACTATAGTAATAATATTGTAATAAGAGAAATGCTACTATGATATTACTTTTTTTAATTGAATGCATATTATACATTTACAATATAAATAGAAATGTTTTTGTATTACAGAACTGAGAATATGGAGGGAAAATCTGCATAACCGTCAAATGGTCCGAAAAATAGGCTTTGTTTACGTTTCCATTTGATTTTGGGGTGAAATATGACCCGGACCCTCAAAGGACATCAGTTCGACCCGTATTAAACCTAAGACTTTTATTTTGAAATACTCTGAATGTTCCCAATGCCTGCCCACTGTTTGCCATCTCTGAAACACTTCCTGTTATAAACACTGGAGCTGAGCCAGAAAGAGGGGAAGAAACGAGTGGAAAAAAAGGAACAGGTGAATGAGGCTTTCACAAAAGACATGAGATGGTGTGTCATGAGCTGTACACAGAGAGAAGGAGAAGGTGTGTGTTTGCATGTGTGTGTGTGTGTTTACAAGCATCCCTGGGTTGAACAATTGTGTGTCACATGGTGTTATTCCACTTCACTTTGTAAGTGTTGAATTGAACGGAACGTGCGTGTGTGAACACCTCGGTGCCGATGCTTGTGTGTGTGATTAAAGGTGCAGCTTCCACCACAGTGAGGTGAGAACACTAGGAGAGAGAGAGAGAGAGAGGCGAGAGGTGTGTGAGGTGCACCCGTGCCTCACAGCGCAGTGAGTCTCCCCGTCAGAGCGGCCTGCAGTTCGGACGGCAGGAACACGCCGAGCTCGGTGATGATGCCGCCCGTGATCAGCTGGTGCGGGGTGACGTCGAACGCCGGGTTCCACACGTCGATCCCTGCAACCACACACACACACACACACACACAACCAACAGCGCTGTTTAGTGTCACTGATGTATCGTCTGAGCTTTTGTTGATATTTAGAGCTGGATATTTTCAGAAGTTGGATAAAACATACTCCTAATTTTGTTATGGAGTCTCCCACAGTACTTCTATTTTAGGATTGGTTGGTCTACTCTGCTCTGATTGGTCGGAAGACCCAGTCTGTTGTGATTGGTCTACTCTGCTCTGATTGGTCAGATGGCCCAGTCTGTTGTGATTTGTCTACTCTCCTCTGATTGGTTAGATGGCCCAGTCTGTTGTGATTGGTCTACTCTGCTCTGATTGGTCAGATGGCCGAGTCTGTTGTGATTGGTCTACTCTGCTTTGATTGGTCAGATGGTCCAGTCTGTTGTGATTGGTCAACTCTGATTGGTCAGATGACCCAATCTGTTGTGATTGGTCTACTCCGATTGGTCAGATGACCCAGTCTGTTGTGATTGGTCAACTCTGCTCTGATTGGTCAGATGGTCCAATCTGTTGTGATTGGTCTACTCTGCTCTGATTGGTCGGATGACCCAATCTGTTGTGATTGGTCTACTCTGCTCTGATTGGTCAGATGACCCAGTCTGTTGTGATTGGTCTACTCTGATTGGTCAGATGACCCAGTCTGTTGTGATTGGTCAACTCTGCTCTGATTGGTCAGATGGTCCAATCTGTTGTGATTGGTCTACTCTGCTCTGATTGGTCGGATGACCCAATCTGTTGTGATTGGTCTACTCTGCTCTGATTGGTCAGATGACCCAGTCTGTTGTGATTGGTCAACTCTGATTGGTCAGATGGTCCAATCTGTTGTGATTGGTCTACTCCGCTCTGATTGGTCAGGTGGCCCAGTCTGTTGTGATTGGTCTACTCCACTCTGATTGGTCAGATGGCCCAGTCTGTTATGATTGGTCAACTCTGATTGGTTAGATGAGATGGCCCAATCTGTTGTGATTGATCGACCGCTTTCAGTGCATGTCAGAAACCAAACCACCTTTATCCAATCTGAATTTCAGCTTCGGATCTTTCTCAGCACTTGACACACAGCGATATGAGCAGTAATGATCACATTGTTGTTCGCAGGCAGCAAATGAAGACCGTAGGCTGGCCTCATGCAAATGATGTGTAATATATATAAGAAAATAAAAGGTTTATGGACCTCGGATTACATGTAACTATTATAGGAGACTTCAAAACTAAATTAGGAGCCTTTACAATGAGACAGTTGACATTATACTAATCGAGTCTGTTGTTAGATGTCTAGTAGTAATAACACTGGATTAATAATAATAATAATAACTAGCTTCTCTAATAATAACACTATATAATTTCACTCCGCAGAGAGCACTCTAGCTCATATTGAAACTTTGTGCTTCTCTTCAAATATAAGGCAGTTCCAGATAACGAGTTAATGAATAAACGAGGGGTGCGCAACTACTGTGAACCTCCTGGTCCGGTCCACAGTGCGTCAGAGAGTTCATGAGAGCTGTGCAGTAATCTGTCCTCCCCCCCGAGACGCCGGCAGCTATTAAACGCTGCAGCTTTAATTAATCTGATGCTTCCGACTCGTCTCTCTCTCTTCTATTCTCACACGTATGTAGGATCATTCCTCTCTCGCTCTCATATCACAACCGTTTAATTAAAAGCAGCTCCGCTCTGTTTCAAATCTCACTTAAGCCCTGCGGTCTCACACACACACACACATTCAGTGTCTCTCTCTCGCTCTCTCTAACTCTCTTTCTCTCTCACATTCATACACGCACACCTTTCTCACCCTTTGTTCACTAAAATAACCTACTGCTTTGAAAATAGAGGTTTACAGAACATAAATGCAAACACACAATGGCAGGGGAAAATGCACCACACTCACACTAGAGACACACAATGTGTCGCCAGGCATAACACTGATGCACAAAAAGCTTGATAACAAGAAATACTGCAATTATATTGTATTACTCATTTAATTTCTACATTAATAATATAATACATTAACACCATATTCCCATGGTTTCAGTGTTTCAGTAGATCATGGAAATGTTGGCAACCTGAGGATTGAAAAGTGAGTCTTGTGCCTTTTTACTTCTCGTTTCTCATTTCACACACACACACACACACTCACCAGGTGCGGCTACAGGAACCCCGTTGATGCTGGTGAGCTCCACGGCGGGACGTTCCTCGATCACGATGTCTCGCCCGCTCTCCAGACTCAGGTCGCAGGACGTGCTCGGCGCCGCCACGTAGAACGGCACCCCGTGGTGTTTGGCGGCGATGGCCAGCTGATACGTGCCCACCTTATTCGCCGTGTCACCGTTCGCAACGACCCTGTCCGCTCCGACGACGACAGCTGTGTGCGCACAAGAACGTTACAGGGGTCCTATAATGCCCTTAAAAGATGTCTCACAGAGTGTGTGTGTGTGTGTGTGTGTGTGTGTGTGTGTGTGTGAAGTTTTAGCTTAAAATACCACATAACATGCTATTTTTTGATAGCATGTTAAAACCACTTAACTGTCACCGTCCCACAGGTGGGACGTTTGCCACTATATTTTTAAAACAATAATATCTTAGTAAATACCTTAAATAATATTGACAAACTATATATCATTTGAAAGCTTATCTCTAGTTTCCATATTTTGACTGAATTTCAAAATATATTACAGAGGAGCCATAATTTATCAATATAAAACAAGAATATTTTCATACTCATAAGGCGTGTTCAGACCTTTATTTTAAAATAGCAGTAAACATGAAAAATCATGAAAAAATGGTAGATACCTCAGTTTGTTTTCATGCCAAAAGTTCAAAAGATAGAATCCATTCAATTATTTTGGAAAAAAAGGTCTGAAAAGTTTGAAATATCAAGAAAAAAATAATAAATTCATCATTTGTGACGTGTCAGCTTGCTATGACTTACATGCGTGTTCTTTGTATGTGTTTCTTAGAGGTTCAATTCATATCAAAATCTGCCAAACTTCCCATACTACTTCTGAATAGGATCTCTACTTCAGAAATTGTATGAAAATTGTGAAAATAATGGTTCATATCACTCAAAACACGAATGGAAATGCAGGCGCCCTTATATGGGCAGTAATGGAGTCTGGTTGTGCCCTAGTGAAAAAGTTTGGTACTGCGCTCAAACAAAATCTTACTGAAAGCTCATTTTTTGAGATATCAACCTAAAATTTGAAACACAACTTGTTCAGATTTTTGGCTTTGATTTTTCTGCCATTTTAGAGTAGCCCAGGTTTTGAAAATATATATTTTTTGTAAAATATGAATAATTAATATTTTTACATTGTACATTTCCATAAACTCAAACTTCAATAACTTTTTTTCTGTTTCACTTTCTTAATTTATTTCACTTCTACAAAAATCTGCCAAATGTCTTCTTTAAAACAAGACCAATCATATGTCTATATTCCAAAGCATTCTTGAATTACAACCATTTAAGTTCGAAATGTGCATTTTCATGTCTATTTAAAAAAGGGGGGGGTGACAGTTAACAGGTTAAAATTGTCACTTTTTGAGGGTGAGCAAAAACGCAGTTTGTGTGTGTCCCTTTAAATGCAAATGAGCTGCTGCTCCCGGCACAGAGGGCGGAGCTTCAAGAGCTTGTGTGTGTTGGCAGCTCCGATTACACTCTTCAAAAGCTTTTAGCCTTTTATGTTAAAACGGACAATGAAGGAGAGACTCAAGAAGTGACGACATGAAGAGCAACAGAGTGTGAACTATCGTGAGGAATATGCCAATCACTGACTAGAATATAATCTATAAAATCGAGGGGCGGGGTTTATGTAAATGTTAGGGTTAGTGATGTCACTTACTCATGAAGAAGCTCATCGTAGTCCCTACCGTAGATATGTATATAAAGGCTAGACGTGTTACGGCGGAGTTTCCATCGTCATCACCGGCGGCCATCTCGTCACAGACAGGCTTTCTGATGTAAGAAATACTCTTATCTCGTTGAAATCTTGACGGATTTACAAACGGTTTGGTTTCTTACAAACGTTATTAACGTGGCTATAGACCATTTCACAAGATGTCAACACTGGTCCAGAAGCACTTCCTGTTTCAGTTTTTTAACACTACATAACAGAACATTTAAAACTGAATCAAAAAGTTAAACATCTTTAAGATGTTTTCTTTACATGTGAAATAAAGAAAACAGTTACAAACTGAAACAGGAAGTGCTTCTGGACCAGTGTTGTTTACATCTTGTGAAGTGGTCTACATTTATTTATACACTTATTATTCATAAGTATGCAGTATCATAACTACATCTCTTCCGTTTCTAACAAACCAGACTGTTTGAAAATCGTTACGGTGATTTAAAAAGTACATGCACCATTAAAACAATGTTACCAATGAGCGAGCTGCCTGTGACAAGATGGCCGCCAGGTGCTGACGTCGACCTCCATTGACCAGCAGCGCGGACGACACATCTAGCCTTTATATACATATCTATGGTCCCTACTAGGGATCGACCGATATGGATTTTTTAGTGCCGATACCGATACCGATTTTTTCCCCATCAGCCTTAGCCGATGACCGATACGGGCTGCCGATTTTCTTGAGCCGATATTTGGAGCCGATACATTTTGCTCCCTCAATTTACATCTTAAAAATAACATGATGTTAACAAATGTTACAGGTCTCAATTTAATAAAAGTAACATTTAATTAACTTCAAAAATTAATATTTAACAAATAGTAAAAACATGTGAGGTAGAACAAGAAGAAGTAGATAAACAATTTAACAAATATTAAAAACATAAAGTAGAACAAAAAAAGTTCAGTGCTGAAAATAAATATTTAAGCATAAATTAAATAATTACACTATTGCACACAGTAGCAACCAGCATAATAAAGTGCACAGTGCACACTGTACTTCATTTTAAAAGAAACGAACTATATACTGCATGGTTTCAATTTTTCTACATAAAATAAAATGAGCATGTCTAGTCTCTTTATATCACTGCGATGAGGGAGACAAACTCCACACGCCCCAAACCTCAGCCAGGTGAGCGCTGAATAAATCTCCCACAAAAAACACTGAACAACGTTGGCATTACTTAATCCTATGACCAGTGTTCGTTACAGCACCCGTATGCATACTAGGGCTGTCAAAATTACTCAAATGGCGTTTGCATTTTCCCTCTAAAAAACATATTCGAACATCCCGTAGCGCGTTTTGTTGTTGACGCGCATTACGTCAATAACAGGACACATTAATAAAAAGAGACATAACTACTAGTATTAGATGGTTTATTTGAGTTTAAACATATTTAACAACGTATTAAAAAGCAAACTAAATCAACTAATGGCCAAGACCGCAGAGCTCACTCTGTCTCGCCCTGGACTTGCTCTGGCACTCTCTCTCTCTCTCTCTCGCCCTCACGCTCTCTGCGCGTCGGTTAAATGAACAACAAACAAATGTTGAGTGCTGATCAAGAGTTTTGTGCAAGCAATTTAAGGTTGCGAGTCGCGACTCGTGTCCCAAATATAGCAGGCTTCATTCAGTGATTGAAGTTTCACAGTATATAACCGACAGTGAGCGCTCCGAGCGAGCTGTGCAGCTGTGGTAACGTTATTAGTCTGCAACCGCGGGCGTGTTTTTCCATATTCAAATATTAATTTTCACCTTCAAAATTAATACATATTCGAATGTAGAATATTCATAGACAGTCCTAATGCATACTGAACGGATAGCCTACACCTTAGCTATTTGCAGCTCCCTAATACAATGGCAAGCAGTTTTATAGACGAGGCATTCGCGTTTTCCATTTGGACCCACAAACTTGCTTAGTTGCAAGCACATAACAGTTATAGGGCGACGTGTTTCCATTTTCAAAGTGTTTGACAATATTTCAGCAGTCAAACATTTAAAAGATCCTTTGAAAGTTTAAGTTACCATTCTCGTGAAGAGCAGGTTGCACTCTGCTAGTGGGGGAGGGCGGGGCACGTGAACTGCAGCGTCTCTAGCAGCACAGAGCTGCCCGTGGCCGCCTGTCTATAAATAACGCCGGGAGAAAAAAAACTATCGGCGAACGCGCAGCGGTGTATCGGCCGATTCCGATACACGTAAAAACTTCAAATATCGGCCCGATATATCGGCCGGCCGATATATCGGTCGATCACTAGTCCCTACTAGCCGTTTGTTTAGTTTTTTTAAACTTTTTTTTTTTTAATAATCAGATAAATTTAGTAGTACACAGGATCAACATGTTTTAAGCCGTTTTTTGTAGTCCTTTTGTAGTCCAATTGCAGTAATTTCTGTTAAAGAGTGTTGTAAGTTAGCAGATGTGGTTTCACAGAAGCGGGAGTCACCTGTGATGCCCTTCTCCCTCATGGCGAGCGCGGCCATGCTGTCTGTGATGAGGGTGGCGGGGAAGCCCTCAGCGACGGCCTCGTACGCCGTCAGTCGGGCGCCCTGGTTGTAGGGCCTCGTCTCTGTGCAGTACAAGCGCTTCAAGCGGCCCAGCGTGTGCAGCGACCGCACCACTCCTGCGTGATCACACACACACACTCAGTTCCAGCATTTCTACACCAGCGCACGATTTCAGGGGGGAACGCTGTTTGGATGTCTGAAATTTTCGGGGTTCGAGACCGACCCGGAGCAGGGCGGTTCGTTTTGGAGGCGGAGCAATGAAGAAGGGGTGTGTTTGATTTCAAAAATTGACATTGGCCAACATAATATTTCAAAAACGGTCAAAAAAGTCTGTGAGGAACAGAATGGAGAATAAAGTTGAACTGCCGCGCACTCACCGAGAGCTGTGCCGTATCCCGCGGTGGCGAGGCTGCCGGTGTTGCAGTGTGTGAGGATGGTGACCGAGTCTCGCGGGACTCCTGACAGGATGTGCTGGGCGCCGTAGTTGCCGATTTTTTTGTTGTCGTTCACGTCTCGCTCCAACATCTCCTCGATCCAGCCAATCACGCTGCAGCAGGGGAGAAACATTAATACGCTGCTCTGTTATGGTGATCAATCCTTTGCTGGAGATTAAAGTGTGGTTATCAATTGATTTGGACTCTGAATTGAATTATCTCTGTTGGATAAAAAGTGAATTTGAACACAACAGCAAAATATAATTTCCTTGAACGCTCTTTATTGATTATGTTGTTCAGTTAAAAAACAGTAATTATTTTATAAATAGAGTAAAAAAACAGAAATATTGTGAATTATCACAATTTAAGATGATAGTTTTAAATATACAATTTTTTTATTATATTATAATTGAAATAAATAGTTTTTAATTATTTAAATAATTTAAAACAAATTTAGATTTTATGTGGCTTTTTAACATCGTAACAATTTATTAGTAGAAAGATTTTAAACGATTCTTTTAATATTTCTAAATGTTTAAACTATTAAATTAATAATAACTAAATAACTAAAATATTTTTAAAAGCTAATAGCGTTATTTTGCTCAGTTTTAGTACTCTAGTCTTCATAACCAAGCTAGTCTCAAATTTTTGACAATCCTACGAATCTAACTGAACATATTCAGGTCAAAAACACCAGAAATAGCCTATAATGTGTGTTCAGAATTTCAATTCAACTTTAAGACAGATTTCACAGACATATAAAAGCTTGTTTCCGCCACAAAATAAAAAAATTAAAAATAATTAGGTTAAAAAAAAGGTAAAAAGGTTTTAACTAGGGCTGTCAAATGATTAATCGCGATTAATCGCATCCAAAATAAAAGTTTGTGTTTACATAATATATGTGGGTGCACTGTGTATAATTATTTTGTATATATATATATATATAAATACACACACATGCATGTATATTTAAGAAAAAAAATATTTATATATAAAATATTTATATATAATATAAATTATATATAAATCTATATACAGTATACATATGAAAATATTTCTTAAATATATACAAGAATGTTGGTGTATATATATATATATATATATATATATATAAATAATTATACACAGTGCACCCACATATATTATGTAAACACAAACTTTTATTTTGGATGCGAATAATCACGATTAATCGTTTGACAGCCCTAGTTCTAACCTTTCTCTGAACTGTGAGATATAAACTCGCAATTGTAAGCTATAAAGCCCAAATCGGAGAAAAAAACTAAAAACTAATTCACAATTACGTTTTTATTTTATATTCTGTGTCTGTCGGAAACAAGCGTCCACAGAGATAACTGAAGGAGACTAAGCCGAGTGTGTGATTCTGCTCTGGACTATCTTGCGATCAAACGTGCCTCCAGCGAGTCCCTGAAAGGTTTAACTTCTCGGGGTCACCTGTCTCTCAGCTGCTCTGTGTTTTTCTCCATGCTCTCGTTCTCCGTGAACTCCATGAGCTCGCGCGCGGCTCGGCCCATGTTGACCGCCGTGGGTCGGGCGGAGGTCAGGTGACACAGAGACTCCCTGATGAAGGACACGAGGTCGTCGGCCCCGGCGCCCCCCCGCAGCTCCACCGCCAGGCTCAGGCACCCCACGATGGCAATGGCGGGAGCGCCGCGCACCTGCGGGGTCAAAGGTCACACGCCAGAGAGTCAGGGCCAAACGCTCCACAATGTTTCCAAACCTGTATGAGTTTCTTTCTTCAGTTGAACAGGAAATTTAGAAGAATGTTGGTAACCATTGACTTCCATTGTAGAAAAATAAAAATGATGAAAGCATTCTTCAAAATATCATCTCTTGTGTTCAACAGAAGAAAGAATAATCAGGTTTGTTACAACACCAGGGTGAGTAAATGATGACAGAATTTATTTTTTTTGGGTGAACTGTCCCTTTAAGAGGAGGTTTATTCCTCTCACAGATCATCCATTTAAATTGATTTTCATTATTTTAACACTTCCATTCAGGTCTAAAATCAGCTCACTGATTATTAATTATTAAAATTACAGGGGGACTTAAATCAACAGTTAATTATACAGTAAAAAATAAATAAATACTGTGATGCATTACAATTTAAAATAACTTTTCAATATACAATATATTTTGAATATGTTGCAAAATGTATTTTATTCTTTTTATGGCAATTTGTTTTATTAATTATAATATTACAAATGAAAAAAAAAACAGTTTTTAAATCAATTTAATTATTAAAAAAATATATTTTGTGAGACTATTTAGCACAGAGACTTTTTTATTTTTATTTTAATATATATTGTAGGAAAAACTAAATTCTCAACATTTTTTGGGGTGAACTGTCCCTTTAAGAACAGGTTTCTTCCTTCACACATTCTCCTCTCATAGATCATCCATTTAAATTGATTTTCATGATTTTAACGCTTCCGTTCAGGTCTAAAATCAGCTCGCTGGAATGGAAAACTACATTATTACAGTGAAAAGCCGCATTAATTAATTAATTCACACTGATGTGAGAGATGAATAAGCTCACTGTTTTGAGTTTTTGTGGACACATTTTTACACAAAATTTTAAGAGTTTCAATGAAATTCTCAGTTCAGAGATTATTAAACAACTCCAGTAGAAATGACATCATGTGTGCAGTATGATGTCATCATTCCATTAGAACAACCCATTATGACAACAATAGAGAATAATGACATCATTCTAAAAGTGGTCATTCCTTTCAGTTCAAAGAGCTGATTACATGACTGTGATGTCATAGTGATTTTAATAACAGTATGACATCACCATTCTTAAAGGAGTAGTACACTTCAGAATTCAAATCTCCTGATATTTTACTCTCCTCCACGTCATCAAAGATATTCACGTCTTTCTTTCTTCAGTCGAAGTTAAGGTTTTTCACGAAAACATTCCAGATTTCACCCGACATCGTTGTTTTACCTTTATTTTTTTTTTAGTAAATGCCGTTTGACACTTGGTCGGTTCCTCCGCGTGAACTTTCAATGCGATTAGGTAATGTGTGGCGCATCGCAGCTAGTGGAAGGGGAGCATTAGTGGTTAAAAATTACATAAATGTTCATTTTATTTCAGGAAATGAGCGATGACTTGTCTAGATAAGACTCTTATTCCTCGGTTGGATCGTGTCGAGACTTTGAAGCTGCACTGAAACTCACATCTGCACCTTTAAACCGTTTGGACCCCATTGAAGTCCACTATATGGAGAAAAATCATGGATTGTCTTCCTCAAAAACATTAACTTCTTTTCGTCTGAGGAATCATTACAAAAAAAATCACATCTCGGATGTGTAAATTATCAGGAGATTTTATTTCTAAAGTGAACGACTCCTTTAACTGAAAACACACCACACACTCTTGGTGAAGCGTCAGAGTAGATGAATGGACAGTCTGGTGACCGTCACTGGATTGTCATTTCCTGTCGGTCCATTAGTAAATCTCTGTGACAGCGCCTGGCACACGACACGACCAAACCCCCCAACCCCTGATTGATCAATAATTCATGCGAGATATTTGCAGTAACGACTATTAATGAGGCGCAGACAAGGCTGCCGGAAAACCAGCACCCCAACACATTAATTATGCACTGCATTAATCAAGACTGGAACGGCGTGAGGAAGAAACAACACCTTTATTAAGGGGCGGTTCACACGGGTCCTAAAAGTTCAGAGCAGTTTTGAAAGGGACATGTAAATAAAAGCTCAAATTAAATCTGTTCATCAAATAAAGTGATCGAGAACTTTTGAACAAGTGGTAGTTGCGTAGCTGTCAATGGAGGGGCAGAACGCGCTCCGATAAATATCTTCATTTGAGCTTTGAAGAGTTAATTTTAGGGTGAATTAATCCTTTAAACTTGACATACCATCATAAAAACACAGCAGCCAAAAGAATATGTGCAAAATAGCGCAAGAAACAGTCGAGACAGAACGCAAGGGACGTTTCTTTTTAACTTAACACTTAGTTGAGATGCTGACAAAATTATGAACAATTTGTCTACCAAACAAACCACTAGAACATAAACAAAAGTGAACCGAGAACAGTCAGTAATACAGAACGGTCCAAGTTGATTTTCCTTTTAGGAACATTCCTGAATTTATTTTCAATATTTTTTTTTAAAACATAAACAAATTCTGGCGGAAAACAAAATAATGCGCATTATTCAAAAATAATCAGCGCGGACTGAACGCAAGAACGCGTCCTGATGCGCACAGCCGTTCATCGGGATTCATTCCCATAGATCTGAGAGGCCATTTCATGAATGACATTATTAATCCGGTTATGTTCTCTGGTATGAATATATTCACCGGGCTTACAGGGACTTTACATCAAGCGCAGGTTATGCAGATCGCACACATGCACACGCACGAACAAAGCGCGACCCCGTGCTCTGATCCGACACAAAGGATCCTCAGCCCGGCTTTGAGATGCTCGGATGTGTGTGAACGGAACCGGGCAGGGGATCCGCGCATCGGGCCTTCCGTACCTTCATGCTCTTGATGGCCTCATATCCGTCCCGCACCGAACGGATCTCGTCGAACACGGTCTCGTGCGGCAGCAGCAGCTGGTTGAGGATCTGCAGAGACCCGGACCGGTACCGGATCGCTTCCAGCGTCATGACCCGTATGAGATGCGGATGAAGGGATTCGGGAGCGCTGTCGCCGATGTGTGACGGTTCGGTTCGTCTCGAGTCCTGTGGATTCGGGGTGTGTTGAAGCAGGGTGAATCGCGAGCGAGGTGTGGGCGTAGTTTAAAGGCCTGCCCGGACTGGGGGAAAAAGCGCACGGCTCACGGAACCGCGTGTTCTCTCTCCGGTGAACGCAAGAAGCCCCGCCCATCTGGTCCCGCCCACATCTGTCAATCATCCTCCAGCAGAGACTGCGCGCTCCCGTGTGCTGCGTTTGACATTCAGCTGAAGCCTTGTTCTCGTAACTACGACGAGGCAACGAAATATCGATTAAAATGCACACTGTTGTTCCGTGATTTTGATATTTTAATAGCACAGGGCTTTTAATGTAAAGGAATGGTTCTTAAAATAAAATATCTGTAATATTTTAGATACCATCATGTTTTACGGTGTTTTAAACGATATGTTCACAGTTCACACACAGATCTTTTTTGTCTGTTGACTTTGAGCGCCAAAAAATAAACAAGTAAAAAAATAAATGTAAAATAAAAATTAACTATAAAGGCTTATTACTAATCAATAATTCTAATTCTATGATAAAATAAAAGTGTTTTACTATATATACACGATAGCGACACAGAGGAATGATATTGCTGGAATCACAGAACGATGTTTTTCAAGTTAACGATAAAAACTTTGACAGCCAATCAGAAGCTACTGAGCTCGAGGCTCGAGCATTTAAAGCGGCAGACACAATAAACAGAAGCTAAAATAGTTACGTTATTGAACGGGCCTTATGGGCGGTGGGCTGAAAAAAACAAGTTCTTGATATGCCTTTTTAAAAATGTGAAAAAATTTGTTCAAGACTCAGCAAAAAAAACAAACAAACAAAAAAAAAAGAAGAAAAGTAGCTAGACTTGGGCACAGCGTTTGCATGGAAATGGAAAAAATTTGTTGTATTGAAAAAAGTGCAGTCTCTAAAAGTATTAAAAAAATATGTGCACAATTTGTGAAAACTTCATCTCATTCATGGTTGCATACTTTTACATATTGCGTGTGAAGATGCCTCATGCCAAGTATGTATAATGAACAAGCTGACTATACATTTAAGTTGTTTTTAGTTTCTTGAGAATGAGTCCCAGTCCCCATTTTCTTTCACTATACGAAGCAGTCGGGACATTCTGCAAAACATCTCCTTTAGTGTCCTTTATTAAAATGTTCATTTTCATCACACAAGTCGTGTGAGTAAAGGCCAGTTCGACCAATAATTATAAAGATAGCGATAACTATAACTAGCATGCAGAGCAACGGAGGATGACGTCGTTCTGTTTCGTAGCCTGTCGCTTTAAATCCTCGGTGGATTCTGATTGGTTGTTGATGTTCAAAGTTGTTGTTAAAGCGATTCCAATGATATTGTGGCTTCCCTGCTCTCATACATGCAGTGATCGATCCTTAAATGAAGGCAGAATTCCCATTTTTAGCTCAACTTTTCTTTTTAATTATTAGCCATAAGACACATTAATGCAGCTTTTTAAAAATAGACCCATCATCAGAACGTCAGTTCATACATTAATACATTAGCAGTGATTGCCTTCGGTAATAAACCTCATCTGTACATACTGGAGTGAATGAGGACGATGATGATGATGAGAAGGCAGGCTAATGGGGTTCACACACACACACACACCATCCTAAAATAACGAGAGGTTTTCATGGAAACGAGGCAGATTTATGTCCTGCTCTTAAAATGAAAAAGATAGAAAGAAAGAAACACCCCCATAAAAGAGTTGATATAATGACTGACTGAATCACACACACACACACACACTCTGGGGTTAAAGTTGATGCCCTTTTGACTCTCAAATAGACAAGTGAAGAAAAAGAGGCGACGGCTTCCCTAAAACAAGCTGAATCGACACAACACGACACACACACAACCTCAAAATCACATTTCCTTCATTATCACCCAGATACGAAACCTCTCTCTCACACACACACACACACACACCATCCCCCACCCGAAACCCCTCACAATGAACCCCGTTTGAGTCTCTCTCACATCTGTTCTCCAGCGGGGTGCGGATAATCTGAGATTACGGGATATTATCCGCATCTCCTCCATCTCACACACACACACTTGAACATCTTCCCCGGAAAGCTGAGATTATTCCCGTATCACAGCTGTGCAGCGGCATTACCCTAATCTGGGAATATTGTTGGACGCAGATTACTGTAAAAACGCTATTATAGACCCAGATTAACAGCACTTGTACATGAGAGAGTGTGTGTGTGTGTAAATGATAGGAGATGGAAGACCAAAAAGAAAACTAGGATTCTAATAAACTGATTAGTGTGATGATCACTCCATCTGTAATGCTAACTGTGATTGCACTTATTTTATTTACAAAGTATTCAGAGGAGGAATCTCATATTTCACAACATATATCATTTTAAGACCATTTGAATTGAAAATGAAGCATAATTTCACCATAATACACATTAGTGTGTGCGTATATATTCTTATTCCTTATTATATCACTGAATATTTGTAATTAATGTCAAATTTGAATGAAAAAAATAAATGTACTAAAGCAAATATCACCATCATGTACGCTTATTTTATATATACATGTTTTCACATTATGGTTTAAATGTGATAAAAAAAAAGTCACAATGCTAAAAGAAATTCGTAATGGTCCTAAAATAATCTTATTTATGCCAAATATAATTAGTAATCTTGATTTTGAGGTGTGTGACAGGCTTGTGTGAGATTCCCCCTGTAGTCTACGATTCATCTTCATGTTTGCATAAGGTGAGAAGAGTCAGATCTCACTCGACACACACACACACACACACGTCCGTCCGTACAGAAGAGAAACACACTGAGGAGTGTATGATGGTCTGAGCCGCAGAGTGGAGGAGAGCAGCAATGACATGTGTGTGTGTGTGTGTAAGTGTGTGTGTAGTGTTTCCCTCTGCAGCTCTTTCACATCTGTCCCGGTGCGTCTGTATTGTCATGATTCAGAAGCGTGTGAAGAGTGTGTTCACTGTCTGACGGCCCGTTTCTTCCTGACTGAGTCCAGCTGTGAGGGAGAGAACCACAGTGAGTTCAAAGGTCACGTGAGCAGGCTGAGACACTGACTGACTGACACACACACCTCGTTCTCCACCATCTTCAGCCGGCCCAGCGCGTCTTTCGCTGCATCCTGAGACACAACAACATGAAATGAAAGTGACAGATTCACAAATCAGGAGATCATTTCATCTCTTTAAGAGCAAAGTGGCGTCCAGCGTCTGCTGGGTTTAGGAGTAGTTCACTTTTCAAAAAACTTGCGCTGATAATTTACTCACCCCCATGTCATCCAAGATGTCCACGTCTTTCTTTCCTCAGTCGAAAAGAAATGAAGGTTTTTGATGAAAACATTCCAGGATTTTTCTCCATATAATGGACTTCAATGGGAACCAAACGGTTCAAGGTCCGAATGAGAGTTTCAGTGCAAACTACAAACTGTTCAAAGGGCTTTAAACGATTCCAGACGATGAATAAGGGTCTTATCAAGCGAAACCATCGCTCATTTAATAAATAAATAACAAAATTTAAGTTTTATAAGCTCAAATGCTCGCCTTGCTCTGTTCTGTGACTCTCCTGTTTCGAACTCGTTCATCAAAATTAATGAATCTTTCAACGAGTTTGAACAGGAAAGTCACGAACGCACAACACAGAACAGAGCAAGGTGAGGATTCGAGCTTATAAAACTTTTTTTTTTAAATGAGCGATCGTTTCGCTTGATAAGACCCTTATTCGTCATCTGGAATCATTTAAAGCCCTTTGAACAGTTTGCACTGAAACTCTCATTCGGACCTTTACCCGTTTGGACCCCATTGAAGTCCATTATATGGAGAAAAATCCTGGAATGTTTTCATGTAAAACCTTAATTTCTTTTCCACTGATGAAAGAAGAGAGAGTGTGTGTGTGTGTGTGTGAGAGAGAGTGTGTGTGGTTTCACTCACCCTGTTGCCTTGGCTGGAAAACACTTTCACTGAATCCGAGAGAGCGTGTATGAACTTCCGCAGCACATTTTCATATTCTGAGACACACACACACACACACAATATTATTGATGATCTGTATTGTTGTAGATCATTAAAGATCAAATCATGACTCGGTTTATTCATTAATCGCTTAAAGTGATTCCCAGATCCGTTTGAATCATCGATCAGTGATATTCCCAGCAGTCCACACGCAGCGTTTCATATTTCCTTAGTTAATAAAATAGATATTTTTGTGGAATTATTTTTTTCACAGTTGCATTTCATGTAAAACGTACAAAATGTGGCTATTCAGGCATGATAAAAGTTAATAAATGGACCAAATAATTGTATTTATTGCAATAAAACATTTAAGAGGTATTTGTTAATGTCAAGAGTGTGGTGTGATAATTATTTACATAATTCATGTGATTATGAACACTACTGTTGTTCAAAGATTCGAGTTTTGAAATGAGTATTTTCTGCTTTTATTTGATCACAAATACAGTAAAAACAAGAATATCGTGAAATATTATTACAGTTTAAGAGAACGGTGTGAATAATGAGAATAATATTGCTTATTTTCAGCATCATTACTCCAGTCTTCTGTGTCACATGATCCTTCAGAAATCACTCTGATATGAGGATTTCCTTCTGATTATTATCAATGTTAAAAACAGTTGTGCTGCTACATATTAAAGTGGAAACAGTGACATATTTGATTTCAGGTTTTTTTAAAAAAAATAGTTCATTAATTTGAAACAGAAATCACTTTTGATCAGTTTAATGCGTGCTTTTGATTTTCTTTCTTGAATTCGATCTCTTAATTACGCATGAGTTCCTCCACTGTTAAAGCTGTGCTGTGTGTGTGTGTGTGTGTGTGTACCTGTCAGTGCTGCCGGGTGTTTCTCCAGGAATGATTTCTGCCACTGCAGTCGCTGACAGATGTCCACGTGTTGCTTGACCAGCTCTGACGGATCTCGCCGGTTCTTCTTATATTCACTGATCTGAAGACATGCACACACACACTCATGACACACTCCGTATCTGCTTAAAGACAGTAACAGCACCAACACACACCTTCCACTCCAGTCTCTCTTTGTCGTAGTGAAGCAGGCTGAAGCTGTGCAGTTTATATTGCGGAGGAGACAAGCTGAAACAGACACACACACACGTGAACACACTCATAGAGGAGCTGAAACAGACACACACACGTGAACACACTCATAGATAAGCTGAAACGGACACACACACACACACACAGCTTCAGCTTTACCTTGTCTTAGAGTTCCTGTCGTGATCGTGTTGTGGTTTGGATCTCGGAGAAGGCGCTTGCTGGAGAGAAGATGTTTGATGAGTGTGTGATGTGACTGTGTGTGTGTGTGTGTGTGTGTGTGGGCGCTCGTACCCGCTCCGTGTTCTTCTCAGGGGACGGTGTGATGGGGTCGAGGACGATCCACTTCTCCGTCACCGACTGCAGCTGAACTCCTCCCAGCGGCTCGCGGATCTTCACTCGCACCTCCAGCTTCCCCCCCGTCGCCTTACGCCCGTCCAGCACCTGCAACAGCAGCACAGGCGTCAGTGTGTGTGTGTGTGAGACGCGCGAGTGTGAGTCTGTGTATCACTCACGTCTATAATCTCTCGGATCTCACACTGGTTCTCCAGGGCTTCCAGCTTCAGCTGAGCGCTTCCCACCACTCGATCCGTCTTGAAGAGACCGCTGCACACACACACACACACACACACACGTCTGGTTTACTATCTTTGTGAGGGCTCTCCAGAGACGTAATGTTTTTTATACTGTACAAACTGTATATTCTGTCCCATTAAACTAACCCGACCCTTACCCTGCCCATCACACACACACACACTTAGTACATTTAAAAAAATATTAAATCTGTATGATTTATCAGCGTGTTTCCTCATGGGGACTCTATAACGAGAGATGTTCTGGTGGTAGGGGTTGGGTATCGTTTGAATTTGAACGATTCCGATTCCGATTCCTTGTTTCGATTCCGGTTCCTAACGATTCTCGATTCCGATTCTTTTAAGAGGCAGGGTCAAAAAACAGTCCCTCCAGGATTTCAGGATTTTTTTTTTTGATTTTTGCGATCAAAATGACTGATTTTGTGGTGGTAATTTCCCAAAATTTGTGAAAAAATTTGCGATTTATATATATATAACATTTACCATAATAGTATTTAGTCCTTCCAGAAAAACGCTGAGTTTTTTTGTGATTGTTGCGGGCAAAAAATTGATTGATTATGCGGCCCGTTTTCTTTCAAAATGCGATGGAATATGCGGGATATTTATGCAATTTTATGCGATGAAATTGCAGGAATTTGCAAAAATTGAGGGAACTTGCAAAAATTGCGGTTTGATGAAAAAGAGAAAAAAAGTGACCTGTTCTCACTAGGCTAATGTAAGAGTCATTTCTTATTACTTCCTTTGATAAGCAAGCATACTACATCATAGAAAGTGCTGGGAATATTTAATTTCTCATCTTGTTTTATTTCAGACTGTAACGAGTGTAAATAAGGTGTGGCCCCTTTAAGAGCTGTGCGCTCCCTGTTGAACTACAGTGTTGTGTGCGCCTCGAACACCCCATGTGTGCGGGTCATTTCTGTTTGATGCTACTTCTTTTATCTTATGTTGTTTATTAAGTAACGATGTGACGGTAGAACGTGTGACAGACAGTTATACGAGTTCGATTTGTGAGATGTCAATCGTGAGTCTGTCTGGCGTCGCGTAATTGCGTCACTTCCCATGGAAACAGGGGGAAATGGCTGCTCTTGTGTGAAGCAAACGCAACATTTTTCAACTTTCTGCTAAGATACATGTGACTTTTTTTGCAACGAAAATGCGAGGATTATGAAATTATGCAAACCCCGCATATTTTGCACGGAAATCGGCAATTTATGCGGCGAAAGTGCGGCGTATTTGAAAAAATGCGGCCCCCGCATAAATATGCAGACTTTGGCTGATTTTGCATTGAATTCAGCGATCGCATAATCGCGTTTTTCTGGAGGGACTGAAAAAAGTTTAGCCAACCAACGGCCTTTCTGAAGGAAATAATCGTTTCTGAAGGAAATACTCCTACTCCTTTTGTCACAAATTTAGCATTTTGCCGAGATTTCGTTATTTTTAGAAAAGTGAAGCCACACTTTGGATCGACTCGCGTGGTTATGCCAACACTTCCGGTAGACGCTTCTTCGTTGGTGTTGTTCAGCGGTTTCTTTATCGATATATCGAATATCGAAACTAGGAATCGAAATTTTAACTTTTGAACGATTCCGGGAAAAACGAAAAGTTAGTCTCGGTTCCAATCGACACTCGATTCCCGATACCCAACCCTATCTGGTGGTCAGAGTCTCTCACCCCTTGTGGACGATCTCCAGCTTGATGCCTTTGGTCTGGACGATCCTTTTAAATCCTCTGTGGTCTCGCTTGATGTTCAGCTTGAACTGCTCCTTAAACTCTGCAACACACACACACACACACACTCATCTAGTGCTGCCACCTGTTCAACAGACAGACCATGTGTGTGTGTGTGTGTGTGTACCTGGACAGTTGGTGTTTTTTACAGTGCTGGTTTTGTCTCTCTGAGCTTCTTCCTAAGATACAAATACACACAATAGACATGTTTCAGAGCTGGGAGTTTAACTTATGCACAAAACTACAATATCACATAAAATATGTGAGAATAAAGCAGCGATTCCATCTCACGTGTTCAAAAGAACACAATCATCACTTCCTGGAAACACTAAATATCTGTAACTGTGGCTCTTTTGTCCTCCATCATAAATGAGTTGTGTTTATGTGTGTGAGAGAGTGTGTGTGTGTGTGTGTGTGTGTTGCATACCGCACTGGGGAAAGGAAACTCGAAGCGCACACTTGAATCCAGATCGTTGGCAGAAACTCCTGGAGAAAACATCAAAACAACATTTGCAGGATTTTGTCACAGAATGTCATTATTTATTTATTTCCTCAGACTATATTTAGACTATATGACATTTAAAAGTATGGGGTCAGTGAAATGATATTGATATTTTATTTCATACATCTAACATCCATTACATTTACTTTCAGAATTTATAATTTATTCTCTCTGTCATGTCCTGTTCTGATTGATTAATAGCCAGCTGATAGCCTATTAATATTATTAGGAATTTTAAGAAATTTTAATATATTTAGTTATGTGTATGCATGTTTTTTATTATTATTATTTTTTAAAATTTATTTATATTGTATGAGTTATAGATGTGGAAATCTGTTGTCTAAGCTACTGGATGCCTTAAATTTCCCTTGGGATAAATAAATTATCAAACAAACATATATATATATATTCCACAGAAATGATAATTTTATTCAGAAAAGGATGTGTTGTGACATCAAAAGTGACAATAAAGACATAAATGCCGTTCTTTAGAAGAGTTAGAATCATATTAGAGTGATTTCTGAAGGATGATGTGACCCTGCACACACACACACACACACACACACACACCTGGAGGAGTGGGCAGGTTGATTCCTTTCACGATGGTCAGCACCATGTCATTGGACGTCAGGTTAGGAAAGATCCTACAAACACAGAGATGAAGACATTTAGGGACTCTGTCCTCATGGACACACATGTCGTGTGTGTGTGTGTGTGTTCTTACTTGACAGTGTTGAGCGTGCGCTCCTCCGTGTGGTACTTGGGTACCGGTCGGCCTTTAGCGTGAGCTTTCTTCAGGACCTCAATGCTACTCATGCACTCCTCTGCCAGCTTCTCAAACCTGCAACACACAGTGTGTGTGTGTGTGTGATCTCAGGTTTACAGTGCACGAGGGACGTTTTTAAGGATAGCTCCAGATTTTATATGATTTATGCTTAGAACTTTAATTCTGACAGATTTTAAATATTCCTTTAGGTTTTTTTTAATATTAATTCAATTTAATTTATATAATGGTTAACTTTTTACATCATTCATGTGTAAACAAATATGTTTGGGTAACACTTTACAATAAGGTTCATTAGTTAACTACATTAGTTACATGTACAATATGTGAACAATACTTCTTCAGCATTTATTATTCTTAGTTAAATTAATTCCAACATTTACTAATACGTTATTAAAATCAAAGGTTGTATTAGTTAACATTAGTTAATGGACTGTGAACTAACAAGAACGCACAATGAACAGCTGTATTTGTATTAACTAACATTAACAAAGATTAATAAACACTGTAACTAATGCATTGCTCATCGTTAGTTCATGTTAGTTAATGCATTTACTAATGTTAACTAATGAACCTTATTGTAAAGTGTTACCTATGTTTGTATATATCCAAAAATTAGTAAAAAAAAAAATAAACAGTACATTTGAAGCCCTGCACATTAATTTCTTAAAATTAGATGTTCAAAAATGGCGCTTTTAGTTTAGGTGAACAGGACAACATCTTTCTGTTTGTTTTATATTTTATACACAACTATTCAAAAGTTGTGAATAAAAGTCTCTTTTGCTCACCAAGACTGCATTTTTTTTGATCAAAAATACAGTAAAAATAAAAAAGTAGTACAATTGTGAAATATTATTAATTACCATCTGTTTGTAAAATCTAATTTATTCCAATGATCAAAGCTGAATTTTCAGCATCACATGATCCTTCAGAAATCATAAATAATATGAGGATCCCTCAAGAAAACCTTGATACATGATTTTTTCAGGATTCTTTAATGAACAGAAAGTTCAAAAGAACTGCGTTTATTTGAAATAGACATCGTCTGTAACATTATAAATGACTTCACTGTCACTTTTCATTAATTTAATGCATACTTGCTGAACAAAAGTATTGATTTCTTTGCAAAAAAGCTTTACTAACAGTAAGATCACTCAACACACACCTGAAAACTCACTCAAACTCCCACACACTCGAACACAAACACAGCATCTGAATGAAAACACACACCTGGCAGTCTCCGCTACGTTCCCCATGTGAGTGAACTGCTGCGAGGAGGCCAGGCATTTCTGAAACGTCAGTGATTGAGAGAGTTAATAAGCCGTGTGTGTGTGTGTTAGATACAGTCGCTGTGTGTGCACGGACCTCGTGCTGCAGTTTGAGCTGCTCCAGGAGCTGTGTGTACTGTTCAGTCGAGCGCGGGGACACTGCAGACGAGCGGGACGAAGACAGTCTGTAGTCCTCCTCGCTGACCGGAGCGCCCGGCACCTGCACACACACACGCCACTGTGAAGAACACTGCAAACCAGACACTTCACACACACACATACAGCTCTTCACATTCACACACTGATGTAGGACTGTCCAGAAACGGACCGTCACACATCAAACCAAACATTTCTCACACACACACACACAGAGAAAAGCAGGACTGTCCAGAAACAGACTGTTGATCCCCCTGGAGCGCCTTACTTACGTATTACATGGGAAAACAGGCCAGTTTTACTAAGTCTGGACCCCATATCTGGACGCGTTGGAACGTTCTCTTCGCCCTATTTTATTACAAGGAACATTGTAACTTCCTGGACTTTTAACCTTATTTTTGTCATTCTCTTTATCTTTTGTAATTGTTATTTTATAAATATTATATATACAAATCTGAGTTTTTATTTTATTTATTTATTTTATTATTATTATTTTATATTGATATATTTGTGTAATATGAAAATTCAATATTTTTTTTTAATTATTTTTTTTTATTTCTTTTTTTATAAGTCTTGAATACTGCAGTTTATGACGGTGTTCTGATGTTTTTGCAGTCTCCATGTACTTATATTGTAAGCAGGATTGAATGTGTGGATATATTTGTATATACGCCTATATTTGTGTATACTTTTGTATATATGAAGAGTTCAGATGCAAAGGCCTCTAAATGCCATTTGAAATTTTCTTCTTTAATGGTGATTTTTATCAAACTTGTATATTTAAGTTCAGTAATTTCACTTAAATAATTATCATTGCCATTTAAGTGAAATTACTGAACTTAAATATACAAGTTTGATAAAAATCACCATTAAAGAAGAAAATTTCAAATGGCATTTAGAGGCTTTTGCATCTGAACTCTTCATATTTATGTCTGTTTCTTGTAGTGTTTTTCACTTTTTCACTTTAGGGTTGATCACCTTAAAAAACTACAACTCCCACCAGTGGACTACAACTGTCCCTACCTGGCCTCTGCAGGTGTGGGTTATCACTGTTGATTGTCCTGGTGTAGTTGAACACAGTCAAATGGAACGTAACATTTTGTTAGTGTATGCCCTGAGGATGGTTGTATTACCGAAAGTTTGGCATTAAATTTTGCTTGAAGGACTCAAGTGTGCAGACAATTTATTTTTTGGGTTGTCAAGTGTTATCTGTCTGGCACCTTGTTAGCCGTGAGTGCGGTGAAACTCTTTCATATTAATTGAAAAAAAAAAAAACAAAGGAAACAGACTGTCACACATCAAACCAGACACTTCAAACACACACACACACACTCTTCACATTCACACACACTGAAGCAGGACTGTCCAGAAAAGGACTGAAGAACAGTTTAGACGAGCGATGAGCAAAGCCCCGCCCACCCTACATTTGTTCTTGTTTGTGAAGCCGTTTCACTGGGATACACGTCGCAATAGGAAACAAAAGACTATCGCAACTTCCTTTCTTGTGGACTTTTATCGCTGTGTTTAATACAACAGCCGAGGGAGTGACATGGATTTTACTTTTGGAGCAAATAATAACACACACACAAAATATATTTGTCGCCGCTACAGAAGTTAACCCAACTATGATGTCAGAACCCTGGAAATGTCAAAAGCATCCATTAGTGCGTCATTAAATGGGCAAACCTTGGTGATGTCAACAGGAAGTCCTCCCTTGGCGGCATTGATCATGGCATCGAGTCCTTTGGCGTGTCGGAGGTGTTGCGCGGCTCCCTGCATGTCCTTCATCTCTTTAGAGCGCAACGCCGCCTTCACAAACTGCTGTCTGCGCATCATCAGGAAATCCAGCTGCTGCTGGGCTGCACAACACACACACACATTACACATCAGCGCACACACATGATCGCCTTTACATGAACTCCGCCTACCTTTGCCTCCAGGTTTGGGTGTGTTTGTGGAGCCGGTGGGCGTCCCCGCGGTGGACGAGGCCTTCGCAGGAGCGGGAGCTCTTGATTTCTGAACGGCAGGCGGAGCTGATGGCTAACGGAAACAGAGTGATGAACAATCAGCCTGAAACACACTTTCTAGATCAGGGATGGGCAACTTCGGTCCTGGAGTCACCGTCCTGAAGAGTTCAGCTCAGACCCTGATCAATCTCTGTCGGAAACGCCCCTAAACCCTTAAATACGGCACTGTTTAACAGGACAGTTATTTGTAGTGGTGTCAGAAACCATCGCGGACGTTATCGCACACTCAACTGCAAGAAAATACCCATAATGCACTGCTGTTGCGCCAAACCATCTGACCAGAAGATGGCGCTGTCACTTAATCATCCATCCGTTCTCCAAACCGCTGGTCCAATGTGGCTACAGTGTAATATCATACTGGTTTTTGTTTGTAAATTTGTTTAATTAAGGTCTATATGCTAGTTTCCATGACAGGGTTCCAGATAAATCTTTTCATTACAACTGGAGCTGCCAGTTTGCTAAGTTTCAAATAATTATTAAACAGCCCAAGCGTCTCACTCGGTGTCTGTTTTCATTCACTCATCCAGTGGACTATATTAGTGGAGTAATGTAGGGAATAGTGAGTGAGTTCGGACACAGCTCATCCTGAAGTAGAGCCCGACCGATAAAGGATTTAAGGCCGATACCGGTTTTAAAATCCGATATATCGGTCGATATTTTATTTATTTATTTTAAACTGGACATGATAGTCACAATTTTTGTCATGCTTATTTGAGTTAAGAGAACTGATGGGGATGATCTTTTAATTGTTATTCAAGCAATGTATGTCTCGTGACCAACTCAACGAGTGTTGCCAACAGGAACGGTGTAGAGCGCCCTCTGGTGGACAAACTATACAACTCCAACACTCATGACATGGTTCAAGCGTGATTCGTCCATTTTTATTTTATTTTTAAAATATTCATTTATCGACCATTATAACTGCCGATACCGATAGTTTGGAAAATGCCTAATATCGGCCGATAATATCGGTCTGGCTCTATCCTGAAGATGTTGATTAGCTTGTCCAGGTGTGTTTGATGAGCCAGACTATCCAGGACTGAAGTCGCTCAACTCTGTCATAGAGGCTTCACTGACCTTGTGTGTCTCCTCGTCTTCATCCGCGTCAGCATCTTCGTCCTGATTGGCCAGTTTCATGGCTGTCTCCAGGACGCCCATAAAGTTCTGGTTGCCTCCCTCGGTGCCCTGCAGTGGAGGACAACCTGACACACACACACAACGTCAAAAGAGGCACACAAACCATCTACATCTATTATTGTGAGGACTTTCTCTGTTTTACATTCTGAACTCTGTCCCTCGAGGGCCACCGTCAAGTCAAGGCACCTTTACTTACAGCGCATTCTCAACACAGATTCAGTTTCAAAGCAGCTTTACAGAGATAACAGGAACATAATGCAACACAGTTTGCAGATCTAGAAGAAAACAGCATCACAGTCCATCTTAAAGGAGTTCCAGGATTTTCTCCATATAATGGATTTCAATGGGGTCCAAACGGTTCAAGGTCCAAATGAGAGTTTCAGTGCAGCTTCAAAGGGCTTTAAACGACACCAGACGATGAATAAGGGTCTTATCTAGGACCCTTCGAGTCATGACTCGAAAAAAGATTCATTCATTTTGATGAACGAGTTTGAACAGGAGAGTCACGAACGCACATCACAGAACAGAGCAAGGCAATCATTTGAGCTTATAAAACTTAAACTTTGTTAATTTTTTTTTTTATGAGCGATCGTTTCGCTAGACAAGACCCTTATTCATCGTCTGGAATCGTTTAAAGCCTTTTGAACGGTTTGCAGTTTGCACTGAAACTCTCATTTGGACCTTGAACCGTTTGGTTCCCATTGAAGTCCATTATATGGAGAAAATCCTGGAATATTTTCATCAAAAATCTTAATTTCTTCTCGACTGAAGAAAGAAAGACGTGGACATCTTGGATGACATGGGGGTGAGTAAATTATCAGCAAAAGTTTTTTTTAAAAGTGAACTACACCTTTAAGGAAGTTCAGTGATAGTTCATTTTGGTTGTAAAAAAGTTATCAATTTAGTTCATTTATATATATATATATATATATATATATAGCTGCTCTGGAGAAAACCGTGATCTCATCGTCCATATAATAGTGTCAATGCAGGCAGAGCAATAATATTGTTGGATATTAAATGTCCCCAAATAAGCAAACCAAGGCGCCAAAGGCCACTGTCCGGCAGAGTTTAGCTCAAACACAATCAAGGTCTTCAAGATTGCAAGAAAGCCACAGGCGGGAGAGTGTGATCAGGGTTAAAGCAAGTCAACAAGCATTACCTGGAGGAACAGGAAGATCTGCCAGATTCACAGGCCGTCCTGCTTTATGAGCTTTAATGGCATCTTGATATTGCTGAAGTAAAGAACACACACACAAGAGGTTAAAGAAATGTCTTTTTGCATTATCTTCATACACACGAGTGTTACCTTGATAATGCGCTGGTGCATGCGTGCTTTGCGGTCGTCTCCTTTGCTCTTGGCGCTCTCTGCAGCTTCTTTGTATTTGTCCATGCGCTGCTGTAAGGCCTCTGCGACGCTCCGGGGAGCAGAGAGAGCTGAAACACACACACACACACGTTCATAACAGTGTAACTGATATCTAGACCGTTTCATCAACGACACACTCGTTCTCACCTGGTTCTGGGGCGGCAGGAGGGGCGTCTGGTTTAGAGGACAGCTGAGGAGGGTTTGAACGTGGCACTTCGACCTCACCTGAAACAGAGAGACTCTCATCAATATGTGAATAAACTAACCAGGATGCACCTGGGGTGAGTGATGATCTGTGAGGTGAGGATGTACCAGGAGGGGGCGGCAGCGAGCTGATGTCCACAAACTCCCCTCGGTCAACAGTCTCCACCAGCGAGTCCAATCTCTGAGGGAAACACATAGGAGCAAATGACGGTTTAGTGTCATACTTGAACTACAGTTCACGATAATGCACTACACTTGGGGTCGGTATGATCTGATCTCACCAATGCTGCTGTTATTTGACCAACAATACAGTAATATTGTAAAATATTACAATTTAAAATAGCTGTTTTCTATGTGAATATATTGTAAAATTACTCCAGTCTTCAGAGTCACATGATCCTTCAGAAATCACTCTAATATGAGGATTTGATGATCAAGAAACATTTACTATTATTATAAGTGTTGAACGCAGTTGTGCTGCTTTATATTTTTGTGGAAACCGTGACTTCAGGATTTTTTAATTATTTTATATATAAATACACACATGCATGTATATTTAAGAAAAAAATATTACTTATATATAAAATATTTATATTTATATATAATATAAATCTATATACATAAAAAATATTTCAACAAGTATATATATAAAATAATTATACACAGTGCACACACATATATTATGTAAACACAAACTTTTATTTTGGATGAGATTAATCGCGATTAATCGTTTGACAGCCCTAATACTTAATAGTTCTTTTCTTTATTATGGTTTAATTTGTCTTTTAAAGTTTTGGTCATCTTGTTATGCTTTTGTCATTTTTATTAGTCTCTATTGTTTAAAATAATAATAATAATGCAGTTTTTCATAAAGGTATGAAAAAATAATTGAAATAAAGTTTTTTTATATATTTGATATCAGTAAACAATTTTTTTTATGCTGTTGTTTTATTATAATAACTATAACATCCCTGATTTTACTGTCACTTTGATCAATTTAATGTTGATGGTTAACGGAATTAATTTCCTTCCAAATAAAAAAAAAAAAATCGGACAGACCCCAAACCTTTAGACAATAGAGATCTTGCATAAAATGTGAAGAGAAACAAACAAAACAAACGTAAATGTGATGATCATGAATCGGTGAGCCTCTCTCTTACAAACGTCTGCATGTATTTTAAGTCTTGTATTTGTCCTTTTGTTTTGTTAGTTGTTATTTGTCCTGTCTTGCGTGGTTTTTTGGACATGAGTCTGGATTGAATTACCTTGGACACTTGGTAGAGTTGTTTGGCTTGCTCGGTGTTTCCGCTCTGTTTGGCCTTTATGGCTGCCAGCTTATACTCTCTCTGTCTGCTTAATATACTCGCTTTGAGCTCTGAAACACACACAAACGTCACTTAATGTGTACAGTAACGGCTTTCCAAACAGTTTTACAAGAGTGTGTGTGTACCTGAGTGCTGTGTGTTGGGCTGGCAGGGCGTGAGAGGGGATATGGCTGGTGTGTCGGGCGTTACGGCGGTCAGTCTCTGCGATGGAGGCTGTAGCATCTGAGGTTTGGATGGAGCGATTGGCTTGCTCTGAGGTGGTGTGTTTGCTGGAGCAGGTTTTTCTGGCTCTCCGATTGGCTCTGCCTGCGAGTCAGGGGAGGGTTTCCCACCCGTGGCCACTGGAGGAGGAATCTCATCTTCATTGATGGGCTTCCCCTTTTTAACGGACGTCAGCATTGACTGTAGAGTCTAAAAACAAGAAGAACAATCCTCAAACATGAGGAAAACATAAGTAGGACAGAAAGACTGCCATTGCGTTCGACAGATATACAGAATAATAAAAAATATTCAGACACCTTGCTATCCTCACTTACATAAATGAACTATATAATAAAAAATATCTGGTGTCTGAATAATTTTTAGATATTTCGCCAAGATAATTGGTCATTTTAAATTATTGCATCAGCCGAAAAGGTTTGTAGGACTTTTATTTTGACTCTGCTCTCTCGGATATTGCCAAATCGATGTCTACTCTCAGATATGGTCCACCTTCAGTCCACGGTCGTATCTCCGAGCTTTGCTGGTCTCTCCCGCGGCCTTGGCGTTGGTAATGGCGGTTTGGTACATGTCTAACCGCTCTTTCAGGCGAGACTCCAGGCTGGTCGTGGACTGGGGCGTCACGTTTGAGCGTTGAGGAGGTGCTGGTGACGGAGGGGGTTTCCTGACCACTTGCTCCTCATCGTCCTCCAACACCTCATTCAGCTCGGCCTGAAAAACGACTTCAGTGAAAATCTCTTCATGCGAGAAACATCAAATCCCATGCGAGAAGGTTTTTGCCTAACCAGGAGATCAGCATCGTTCTCCAAATCCCCGTCATCGTCTCCGTCCTCGTCCAGATCTCTCATGCACAGAGCGGCCATCCGGTCAATGTCCTCCATGGCCACCGGAGCTACATGACCCAAAACACAGAGAAAGATGATGGGAAAATGCCATGGTTAGAATTGTTAAAGTCCCCCTGTGGTTGTTTAAATGTATCCGTGGTGTTTTTAATGTGCTTTACGTCAAACCACGTGTAAATTCACAAGTCGACAGCCAAAAGTGTGAACCAAAAACAGTTTGAAATCGCTGGTGTTTCTAACATCACACACTACTTTGTAAACAACCTGTGGATCTCTGAGCTGAGTGAGTGAGTGGAGGCGAGGCTCATTTGCATATTCATAGAACATCGCATGCTAAATGAGGCAAGGGTGTCAAGTTACATTCAGGCTATTTTAAGGCATGAAAAATCTATTATGTCATTTTGGTGATCAAAGGGATAAAATGATTACAGGGGGACTTTAATAGATGTCATGGCTACTTTATGTTTGGTGTGTCCCCACCTTTTCCTCCAGGTTTCCGGCCCGCTGGTCCGCCCCTCCCTCCTCCTCCCCCCATCAAGGCCAGAAGCTCCGCCTCTAACTCCTCCTCATTTCCCCCGGAGTCATCCAGCCCGCCATCAGGAGCCAAATCCAACAGCAGTCCCATCTGATTACATGGGAGGACGGACAGAGACACAGAGTCAAATTGAGACACTATTATTATTATATTGCCCAATTTTATTAGAATTTTTGTGAGCTTTAGTAATTTTGATGTGTGTCTATTATAAAGCTTTGTGCATTTAAGATATATTGATTAAACATCCCGAGGTCAAAATAGTTTTGAAAAATAAAAAGATATATATAAAAAATATAAACAGATTAGATCTAAACTGCCTGACCCCCCAAAAAGTGGCTGTTTGGATTTAAATAGGCAAATGCTTAAGAGTGGATTACTCTGTTTCTAGCATGTTATATGTTAGGCAACACTTTTTCTAACCCTAATGGATGGAGTGTGTAGCTTTTCATTTCTCAAACAACCATGTAGAAATATATAATATCATGGCCATATTCCAGGATGACAATGATTCATCCAGCTCAGATTATGAAAGAATGATTGTGAGGATCATGAAGAATCATTTTCATACACGAATTGGCGTCTCTGAGTCCAGACTTTAAATTCATTGAAAGTCTTTGGGATGTGCTGGAGGAGACTTTACTCCAACTTTTATGCACCTCTTGATGTTGTTTGCCTGTTTAAATCCAAACAGTGACTTTTTTTTTGCTCAGGCAATTTATAACATAAATAGGGTGAATTTCCATTTTCATGCTGAGTTTTACGCTGAGATTTCATGATTCTGGACAAAGTACTGACTCTCATCTTGTTGTTTTACCTGTTTGGCCCTGGCGGCCCCTTGGCCCTTCTGCGGAGGGTTACGGCTTCGGCTCATTTTCTTCACAGATCCCTCAAACCTGGAGTGAGAACAAGAAAGATTCATTCATAAAGGTTCAAAACAGCCATTACATCAGGATTAGCCCTTCTATAACACAACACAACAAGACCTGAAAGTGACAGACTTCAAGGCACAATCCGAAATCATGACGTCACCAATGACGTTTATATGTGAATAATCCATGCATGCGTGGACTAAATCAACGCCAAATATTTAATTGTGCTATAGACCTCCATCAGATTATATCAACTGACTATGAGCTCAATAGCTAATGTAATAGCAACAGTACTTCACCTGCTAGTTTTAAAACAGAGTAGCTAATCGAAAGCTGATTTTGCACTAAAACTGTTGGAGGCAAAGCTGAATGAAATACATTTCAGCTTATTCACAATATAAATGAGAAAGTAAACAACTAATTGAGTCGAAGTGCCAGCTAGCGAGGAGGCTAGTTCTTACATCAGACTCTCTTTACTAATTATTTGAACACGATACCTCGATCATATGTTCCTCCAAGGGCGGGTTACGTGGTCAATATCTGTTCCGCTGAGAAGAATAAGCGGTCTGTCATTAAGTTTTTTTACACTAGAGTTTCATATATAACACAAATCTGCAGCGCTATCAATGACAATTCAGCACTTCCTGCTTTTCGCCAGGTTTGCCATAGCAACGGGAGAGCGTCGCGCTTTACGGCACGCGGTAACGCCCCACAAACTCTGAGGACTTGTAGTTCAACCGCTGCTGGGGTGTGTCGATGTGTTGATATTTTAACCAATATATTACGCTTTCTGGTAGTCTGTCGTGTTAAAATAAGTTTTCTCTGATAAAAGGTGCTGAAATATTTGTTAACTAAATATGCGACCACGAATAGCGTCACGAATCTTTCGCGCGCGCGCATTTGAATTGACAGTTAATGTCTGTCAGAAAAGTTAAACGTGGTTTTCGTAAACGTAAAAGGTTTATTTTGTTTGTTGAACGTTTTATAATATTTAAAATATGAACATGGGTTATATGGCAATTAAATTAATACATTTAAACAAGCACGCTATATCTACTAATGAAATCAGTCAACTGTGCCATGAATTTGTTTTAACTTGTTTCTTTTTATTCACTTAGTTAAATCTGGACTAAAACAAGACAATGGCCAAAAGAAAATCAAAGACTACAGGTAGCCTGCACCCATGAAAACATAAAATTTACTCAACGAGCTTGATTGTAGCTATATTGATTTTTTTCATTTACAATTAAATCGACACATGTTGATGTAAATAAATGTATTTTTGCAGAGTTCAAACCTCCTAAGCGAACGCAGCCCAGAGCAAAACGACAGAGAAGCTCTGAAGAAACAAACCCGCAGTCTGCAGATGAAACTCAGGTGGATTTGTCTGTCAATTACACAAACAACATTTTGAAGAATGCTTTGATGCTGTTATATTTGTGTTTCTTTTGCTGATTTACATAACTCTTCTCCCTAGATTCAGACACCAAATTCAGAAAACAACAACTCCCATAATGCATTGTGCTCAGAGAAGCTGGATGAGCATCAGCCTGAACTGAGCACATTACAAATCAGTCAGACAACAGAGTTCCCTGTTGATCCTTGTTCATTGGAAGAAAAAACATGCAATGATGAGGATGGAAATGGTACAAACCCACCTGGGACTGAACAAGAGATCGCAGTACAAACCCCAGAACCTAACAATAGCGACAAGTACACGGTCTCTCAACCTTTAAATGTTGAAGTTACCAAGGTAGATCAGCCTGACGTAGAGCTGGATGATGAAAAGGGTGAAATCACAAGCAATTCAAACCATGAATCCCAGAAGGTCCCAGATGACTGTGACTCTGAATTACCATCAGACGAGTGTCAAACCGAGAAGGAATTTCCACATGAGGATACCGATAGTTTAGCCACTGAACCTAATAAGGGCGAACAATTAGAGTGTTCGGACATCATAGATGAGACAGGAATTCAGATGGCTGAAGATGCAGATCCTCTAGTAAAGAGGAAAATCAGAAAGAGGATGGGAATGTGTCGGCTTGGAGATAGGAAGAAGATGCTCAAGGAACAGCCGACTAGCGGGAATGTGTTTGGAGAAGGATTGGAGAACAAGGCAGGTCAAGATATTAAAGAGGATTCTGTGATGATGGTCAGTGATGATTTAAAGAAGGATGGCTCAATCTCTCTTGAAGAGTTTTCTGGATGCTCCTTCCCAACCTCTTGCCCATTAGAAGATATTCCTGAACTGGAAATACAGGAGGAGCCTGAACTTCAAGCATTGGTTGAATGCATGTCAAGCGAGCAAGAAATTACTCATGAAACTCACCATACGCTCCCATCCCGTGCTAATTCTGGCGATCCTCTTGAGGACATTGAAACTGAACGTGTGGAGTGTAGCAATAATAAAAGCAACATTAGAGAAGATAATAAGCCAGAAATGTGTGATGACATCATTACTGAGATTGGCACCGAAGTGACAGATGAAGTTTGCCAGGAATCGACCGATGTTTCGACTCAAGATGCGATTGTGATGGAGGGTCCGCTTGAAGTCCTCAAAGAGACCAATGAAGAATCAGCATCCACCGCTGAGGTTGCTGATCATTTTGAAGAACTGGTAGTGAGAGGCAATGAGATGGAGGTTGAGGAGTGCTGTCCATCTGAACTCGACATGAACACTTTTATCAGTGGCCAGACCAATGAAGAGTGTGTGGAGCTCACAGATATCGCAATCAATGAGACCGTCAGCGCACTTCCGGTAATCGACGAGATAAAAGATAAGAGCGAGTCTTTGGACTGTACTTTGGTTGCTGCATCTGAAACCGCTGAGACCACAGAGAACTGTGAGGAAACCTGCATGTGGAGTTTGTCCTCACCCACAGCGCCACCTTGTGGTGAAGATAAATATGTGCAAGTGAGTGATTCTCTTGAATGAAGAAACATACACTTGTAAAATTACTAAAAATTACACTTGTAAAAAGAAAAGTACAAATGTAAAATTCCTGACATTATTTATTCACTGTCGCAGGATGCCCTCAGAGTGCTTTTAAGTTCTAGAAAGGACATAGAAGTATCATAAAAAGTAATACATTTCAATAAGAAAAGGCCAAGATGTGAATTGTTACTTATTGAAAAACTTCTCGTATCGTATTTAAAGGGTTAGTCCAACCAAAAATGTTCATAATTTACTTACCGTCATGTCGTTCTAAACTCGTAAGATGTTCATTTATCTTCAGAACACAAATTAAGAAATTTTGACAGAAATCTGAGCGATTTTTGTCTGTTACCACATTGAAGCTTCAAAAAGTTCATAGAGATTGTAAATGTAATCCATATGAATCGTCAGGTTTAGTCCAAATTTTCCGAAGAGACTTGATAGTTTTATATGATGAACAGATTGAATTTAGGCGTTTATTCAAATATAAACACCGATCAGCAAACATAAACAGAAGCTAAAACGTTCTTGCTATGACACACGAGAGCAAACCTCTTACGGAAGCAAACATGAACTACGAGAATTGCTGAAGCTCAAACATGATGCGTAACACGAGAATGAACCTCATTGGTTCTCGCACGTCAAGCAATCTGCCATATCTGATGTGCGTTCAAGAATGTCTATATGTGAATAAAAGCTCAAATTATATCTGTTCATCATACACTATTCTATATAGAACCTTAAAAGGTTCTATCAGCGCTACGTATTTGGAACCCCTAAAAGGTTCTATACACTCTTAAAAAAAGGGTTCCTCTGGGTTCTATATAGAACCCTGGGGTTCCGTACTTGGCCAATAGAACCTTTTACCAAAAAAAAAATGGTTCTAGGAGTTCCATATATGAAGCGGGGGATGGAACCATTTCTGGTTCTAAATAGAACCATTTCTTCTAAGAGTGTATAAATGACTGTATTTAAGATTTTGGGTGAACTAACCCTTTAACCCAAATATGGCAAATCAAGATTCATTGCATTACATTTGACAACATCTAGACACGCAAAAATCAATGTCGTTGGACCTCAAACCTGGTGTGAATTGCTTTACTTGAACTTGATTTGAGTTTAGCTGAAGGGGAGTAAAGAAAGACTTCTAGCTTTATAATGGCATGAGAGATTAATGAAGACAGAATTGTCTTGTTTTGCATGTAATTCCTTTAAAACAATAGAACTACTACTTTGGATTTGTTAATTGACTTTAAGTTTGCCGTACCATAAGTCGACGGAATAATGTGGGTTTTAGTTTGATAATTAATAAGTGTACAAAACTCTCACATTAAGATACTAAAACTGAGCTGGATCATCAGTCAGTTTCAGAGCGTGATGGCTTACCAAGTGAAACTCACAAGCCTCATCCGAGTCCTGCTGAACCCTATCCCTCCAGCCCGTTATCCATCCACTCCGTGACAGATTCCCAGCTCAACAACATCCCTCTGAGGTGAGACGAGCGCTGGCGGTTTGCTCTGACTCCATCTCTTGTTCAATTGCTTACATTTCAGAATTGACTGTCTTCAAATCATTAATGTTTTCGTCCATTTTCACCAGTTTGGAGGACTTCCCCATGGTAGAAGACACTTGTGATCTGGAGGATGCCACAGACCGGGTGTGTGGCCTTATCAGAGATCTCGCCTCTCTGAAGTAAGTCATGAGCACTTCTACCACACACACAAAAAAACATGATTCTGATGCATTTTACACTGAAACTTTTGACCAAAAAACAATATAACTTTGTTTTCTTTCAGTCAGATAGTGAGGGATGCACACAGGAAAATCGGATTTCTGCAACAAGCCAAAAAACCCGCAAGACCACCGTTTCGCAGCATGTATGGCCCTCAACACTAGAAATACAGGCATCCGTTTCTGAATACGTTCTAACAAAGGACAGTAGTTACAGTTTGCTGTTCAGTTGCATGTGTTTGAAGTTTGTTCACATTTCGGGGTCTTAGAGCGAAAGCTCAACTTGCATGGAGCCGTTCTCAGTTAACGTTTCTTTAGAAGTTCAAGCTAAGAAGTAAACATTGTAATTCTGTCAATCACAGGTTGTGTTTGAAGGGTCTGAAAGCCTTAAATCAGTCCATTTTCTTGTGTAAAACGTACTAAACACAATAAATACTACATTACTCGATCCCATTGTTGTGCATTTTTGATTCTACATGAGCTTGTTTTATAAAACTAGACCTTTATTGTCAAATTGAGCTTGTTGAAGTGAAGTGCTGTGGTAGTACACACAAAATGGTAGTATTTTTCTTTCAACTTAATCCAATTTTGTAGCCTGACTTCGTCATACGCATATTCAAGAAATAATATGACTATAACTATATTATAGTTATAATAAGTTATAATAATATAACTTCCCGACCAAAAAATATTGTGGGCGGAGTTCGGGCTGGCATCCAGGCTACCAATTAAATTTTGAGCATAACTTGGAAATCGATAAACACACATGTCACGATATGACAAAACCCATGACGATCATGATTTGCAGCACAATTAGAGAAATTATAAAGTGGAGAACGAGAGAAATAAATAAAACACAGAAGCTGACGTAGATTGTTCCATCTGGTTTCTTATTGATTCAAAACACAAGGCATCTCTTAGCAGTAAAACACCTAATATTAACATTAAAATATTTTTTTTTAAATAGTTATAAAGTCACAATAAAAAAGGTGTTGCATAAAATACAAAACATTTTTCGTTTTCAAAATCAAAAGTTTGTTTGTAGAGAAGAGTTGAAAGGCGGTTGCACCTGTAGCGAGCCTAATGGCTGGTGTACAAGTTTGTTCAAATAAAAAGTGAAACACACAAGACCATAGTGCACACAACTGAAGGAAATCCAAAGAAAAAGTGCGAAATCAAACCGTGGATACACACACACACATGCATGCAAACTCACACACAAGCCATTACGTATAAAAGTTAACGCTTAACATTAAAACCTTTGGTAAAAAGTGTCCTTTCAATTGGTCTCGTTCCTCCAGCTCCTCTGCGGGTCAGAAATGTTTATTTCCTGGCGTACACGGAGCTGTATGTTTTCTCCACCAGCGGGCAGAACCTCTTCGTGTGCGCTTTGGCCCCGGTGGCCCCGCACAGGGGACACATGTACTGGCTCAGGTACGGGCACGTCACGCTCCCGGCGCGGTCTTTCAGGTAGTGTGATCTGAACACGACCTCGCTCTCGCCGTTGTGCTTGCAGAAACTGCAAAACATCCTCTCGTGTTGGTCGCGTGAGTTCTTGCAGGGTTCCTCGCTCGTGTCTGTCGTGCGCGCGCGCCCCGGGCCGTTTGGAGAGTCCTCGCGCGCGGCGGTTGTTCGACAATCGCCCTCATCCGAGCCTGACTGCTTTCCCGACCGATGCATTCTTCTGACCAGGTCCGCCAAACCCAGGTAGTCCTCCCAGGGCTGGAAACAATCATTTTTATACTCCATGGATCTACGAGCAGACAGGATGTAACGGAGAAGAGGAAAAGCCATAACACACTCACCACCAAAACAACTTGCACGCGCTGAACACGCGTGGGGTTTAAAGGGCAGACGTCACAGCACGAGACCAATTAGGGCATGATTGGTTTGCCAATTGTGTCCTCTGAAGGAAAAAAAAGATTGGTAAGTGAATAGATTTCCTTTAAAACTGGTGTAAGTGTTCACGACGATAAACCTTTGTTTATTGAAACTGATTGGAGAAGACGCGTTATGAAATACTCAATGGCGTTTAAAAAAGACCGTGTACAATCGTAACATTCAAAAAAAAAAAAGTATATAACCTTTATTTTGGCGTACAATCAATACAAAAACTTATTTAGGATTCAATAACTTTGTGTATTTTGTCCATTCCTCGCAAGAAAGTCAACACACAAACCAAACACAGACTATAAATATATATGAATACACAATTAGGGTCAATAACCAGTAAGAATAATTAGAATAAACAATAATGATAAAAATACAATACACAGAGTATAAGAAGAAACGATTCGCAGTAAGAAAAATGAGAAACAAAGAAACAATGTCGGTGTAAATTAGCAAAGTATTTTATGAAAACCTTTTAACTCGTGAATGTAAATGTGGATTGGTTACCCATCTTATTACATTCAAATTAAATACTCAACAAATATTATTACTTCCAAGACAGTTTTGAACTAGTATTTAAAAACCAACACATAAACCCACCAAGAAAACAAGTGGTTTTCTGAATAAAAATCTTAAATGTCACAGACAGGGTTTAGATTAAACCAGAATTAGGCCTTATAGTTCAATTAGAGCATTTAAGCAGCTTTTATAAACATGCCTTAAAAACATTATTGGTGTGCATCTTAAGACAAAACGTCTCAAACATGCTTTTCAGTCTGTAAACCCAGCCATTATAGTTAGTCACATATATAGAGCCCGTGATAACTAGCCCCGGTCTCAGCTGCAGCTTACACAACAATACATGCAATTGTGAATATGAAGTGTGCATTTGTGAGAGATGCTGGAAAGAGAAAACAAGGTAATTCCACATATTTAATGCAAATCTTTATTTAATTTATTCAAAAAAGACAGAATCGTCACAAAACACACAGTATTTCCTTGAAGTGTGTGAACTAAAAGGGCCAGTCGGTGTTGTGTTCGTCAGGTGACTGAAGGATCCGCCGAGACCTGAGAGAGAGAGAGAGCGAGAGACATTCACATCACATTTCAGTATGTGATAGATATTAGACGGATATTAGAGTTATTTGACCTGCGGCAGGGCAGTTTAAGAGTGGAGTACAGCTCAGGGGTGTTGGGGGTCATGACCCCGTTCAGACGGGACCCCGGCGTGACCTCTGACCCCACAGATGACGGAGTGACGCACGGAGAGAGAGAGAGCTGATCCGGAGCTGCTGCACCTGCACACACAGGGCTGTGTTATGAATGCTGTAATGGTGGTGTGTGTGTGTGTGTGTGTGTGTGTACGTACGGAGGTCGCTGAGTGCTGTGCTCTCTCTCCTGTTCCACTGACAGCTTTTCTGGACGGGAGAAAAACTGAGGAACTCGGACTTCAAACGGGAGGCTTTCTGCCGCTCAAACTCGGTTCTCTGAAACACACACACACACACTAACAGCTGAGGGACAATTAGGATTATTAAATATTACAAAGAGGAATTCTCCCAAAATATTCACACACAAATTCTTTGTGTGTCGAAACATATTGAAACTCATTCTGATTCTAAAAAAATCTAATCTTTTTACTCACTCAATATGCGTTTATGGTTTTTAATATGCGGACAAAATGAAAATGCAAGCCTTCACTCAAGTTTGGTCTTATAACAAGTTGATTATGCCATTTATTATTATACTTTACGGCGATTATTTTATATTTGAAATTCTCCACAATTCCCTGGTCACTGTAATCGGTCCATGTAGCAAAAATTGTGTGTGTGTGTATTGTGCGATTTCTGCCAATATTTAAAGGATCCCATGATTTCTTCTGTACTTCTGCTGTAATGACAAAGCTGACTTTATTTCCAGTCAATTTAAAATGTAATATTTAAATTAGGGCTGTCAAACGATTAATCGCTTTCAAAATAAAAGTTTGTGTTTACATAATATATGTGGGTGCACTGTGTATAATTATTTTATATATATAAATACATACACATGCTTGTGTATATTTAAGAAATATTTTCATGTATATACTGTGTATAGATTTATATATAATTTTTATTATATATAAATGTTTTTTCTTAAATATACATACATGTGTGTGTATTTATATATATATACAAAATAATTATACACAGTGCACCCACATATATTATGTAAACACAAACTTTTATTTTGGATGCGATTAATCGTTTGACAGCCCTAATTTAAATATTTATAAAATATATTCTAATTTAAATAAAGAAAATTATTGAAATTATAAATATTGAGTTACATTTTAGAATATTTAACAAGTTAAGTTTCATTAACTGGATTAGTTAAATAGATTCAGGTTGTAAATAATTTTTTACTCAAATAACAATCAATCTCTTTTAGAGCATAACCACAAAAATGTTTATTATAAAATAAATCATAAAAAGCCCCTGACTTTAGAGTTGTATTCATTCCCAGGACTTTTCCACATCTACACTTTACAAATCCCTCATATCTTCAGGTTTTCCAAGAACGTGAGAACTCTGGTTATTAAAATGCGACTTAAATTAGAAAGAGGTTATTCGTTTAAATTTATTTTAAAGCTTTTTTTTTAGTTTCTCATTTTGTGTTTTTGTAAAGTTTCACGCACAGAATGAGCAAAAATGACTAAGAAAAGGAATCTCTCACCTCGTGACCCAATCGGATAGCCGCCTCAGTGAAAGCCCGCCTCTCTCGCTGGAAGCTCCTCCTCTGCCGGTTAAGCTCCTCCCAGCGGGCCTGTAGCCGCTCCCACTCCTCCAGATAGTAGCAGTCCATCAGCACAGCGGGGAGAGGCGAACTCACACGGTCCTGAGAGAAAACACTCACTTTACTGCGGCCTACACACGCAACCGAGTCAGACGGGATAGCAGGGCTGCATTCGGCCAGACAATAAGTTGCAAAAGGTTAATTTTTTTTAATGGAAACGGTGGTGCGTTGAACCAGAAAATGTCTAATTGAAGAGAACTGGCACTGGCTGGTTACTTCTGGTTTCTGGACTGGCTGCAGTAACACGTATCTGTCCATGCGGGGGCGCTCGCGGCCGAGTCACGGAGTCAATGGGGTTTCACCCCCAGAAATCCACTTTTCTCAGTATGTAATTTTTTGTCAAGTAATTTGAAAGTTGCATTCAAAAGGGAGGGCTAAGATAATACACTTAGCTGAAAATTGCATTAAGTTCACTAATCTGTTCAAAACTGTGATGACGTCACACAATAGCAGAATGCTAGCGTGTTCCAGCCAACAACGGCCTAACCTGTAAGAAATCAAAAGGACATAAGTACTCGTTCATTCGACTTTTGGCCTATAATCTATATTGAACTTGCGGAATCAACAATAAAATCTGTTGATTTAACGACAAGCAGGTGAAAGAGACACATTGAGCCGTTTAGCCCCATAGACTCCCATTCATTCTGCACTCGCCCGTGATCACCCCCAGTGGAATTCTAATGGAACTGCAACCAAGATAATACACAACGGGGCTAATAGGAAGTGTCCGTTAGACGGGCTCCGATTGAACACTCTTTTCTGATGACGCAAGAGTTGCAACTACGGCAGCTGAGAAGGCCATTTTATTTTCAGAGCCTGATGAAATCTATATAAATACGTGTTTAAAGGCCAATTTATACTTCTGCGTAGGGTGCGCGCAGTAGGTACGGCGTAGCATACGCACAGACGCGTCCCATACCGCGTACCCTTCGCCGTCGCCTGACGCGCACCTCCTCAAAAATGTAACTACACGTCGCGACGACGCGGACCGCAAGATCGGTGATTGGTCGGCTTGGTAGCATCGCATTTCCTCCTACGCATTTCCGCGTGTACCTTCTCACGCATTTCCATCACTGTCTATGATTTCCACACGTACCATCTCCTCCGAAGTCTTCTCTCATTTCTGCCTTTCAGTTTTAGTAATTTCACTAAAGTGAACTGTTTTTCCACCTTAATAAGCTCCAATTCCAACATGATCAGCTCTCTTTCACTCGTAGTAACCTAGCCGCGAGGAATCTAAACACAGTGGAACATTAAAACTCTCCGTCGCCAACTAGCGTTTCGGAGCAGTACTGCAGAGCAACCAAGACCTGAACGCAGAACTATAAATGCTCACAACGGCGTCGCCTACGTGCGTAGCCAACGCCGTACACTACGGCGTACCCTCGACGCAGAAGTATAAATTGGCCTTAATGCTGCAAAATACGCTCGATGTGTCAGTCACTGGCCTGACCGTCCAGAATAGAAGAGAACATCCCAATCGAGTGAAGGGATTCCTGTCGTTTCCAATTATTGTGATCCAATATTTGCCTCACATTTCAGGATGAAAAGACAAACGTCTTCTAGTATCGTATACCGAGCTACAGCGGACACATTTGTGAACTGTACTGTCTCTTTAACACCGTGTGGTTTGTATACATGTTGTTGCTGATTGGGCTCAGGCTGACGCGCCCACCAAACCAGAGAAAACACATCGTTCAACCCGAAACCGTCTGCTCTGGTGTCGGACCTGTAGTAACTCCTGCTGCGCTCGGATCAGCTCCCGGCTCTGCTCCACTTCCTCCTCCAGATGAGCCAGCAGCTTCTCCTGGTCCGTTCCCTGAGCGACCGCCCCTGATGACCACACACACACACACACACACACACCTTCAATGTTGCTCACTTTATTACAGTTTATTCTAGAGCCAGACCGATATTATCGGCCGATATTAGGCATTTTCCAAACTATCGGTATCAGCAGTTATAATGGCCGATAAATGAATATTTCAAAAATAAAATTAAAAAAAAACGGATGAAACACGCTTGAACCATGTCATGAGTGTTGGAGTTGTATAGTTTGTCCACCAGAGGGCACTCTACACCGTTCCTGTTGGCAACACTCGTTGAGTTGGTCACGAGACATACATTGCTTGAATAACAATTAAAAGAACATCCCCATCAGTTCTCTTAACTCAAATAAGCATGACAACATTTGTGACTATCATGTCCAGTTTTGCTGTTAAATAAGCCGAGAGTGAAGCGGGATTAGCTAGTAATAGTTACGTTACGTTGTTAGTGTAGTCCTTTTAACTTTTGACAATGTGACTGAAGTATTTCTTTAATAGCGCGTAACAGTTATAGCAATGAGACGCATCATCTCTCCTTGGCGCGTTATATTGTAAATGTATGTTTTACAATTATTAAATAATAATTTAAAAAATATATATCGTCTGATATATCGGATTTTGAAACCAATAAATATTTGTATCGGTATCGGACTTAAATCCTTTATGGGTCGGGCTCTAGTTTATTCACTATTATATAGAAAATGGTAATAAAATATAACTCAGTTCTCAGATCAGTGGATATTTCACAGGTTTTGTCCGTCCTTCTGTTAGACTAACACATGAATTATGTTGAATATCTGTCAGCTGTTGAATTGAACTACACTATTAGATAATATCAGTTTAGCTCAATGCGATTGTTGTTCAGTCTGTGTGTAGAAATGTCTCAGAAAACACACTTTCAGAAAAACATGGTCCGCTCAAAGTGTCTGACTCATTTGTCCATATTTTTACTGTAGTCACTGTATGAAGATTTTTTGGATATAATGTGTCAGTTTACTTTATTTTGCTATCCTCACACACTATTAAAAATAGATATCAAGTCTGAATAATGTTTGGTTTGACTGTATATTCATAGATAGCCTCTACACATGCGGTTCTTACTCTGAGACACGAGCTCCCGAACTCTTTTCTGGACCTGCATCCACTCCTGAACCACACCGCCGGTCACATGATCACCAAGGCTCTGCTCTGATTGGACCAGCACATTGTCTCTGTCCTCATCCTCCAGTCCTGTATGGTCATCTTGTAGTATCTAATTAAAACGATATTACTATATGAAACACCCAATTAGCATACTCCATATCCTCAATAGTAAAGTGTGCATGACGTACTACACTGAAAGAGGCGGACTTTGTGATTCTGAGGCCCATTTCGAGGCCACTCATCGCCAATGATGAAAGTGTACATAACCAATAGGCGATCACATTTGCAATCGCGCTGATATTCAGGAAAACAGCACTCTATATCCTGTTATAAGTATTCAAAACAAAAACTTACACAGAGACATTTTTGCCTTGTATATCTTAATTTTTATAGGGCATTTTTATTAATTTTAATGGCATTTTGTACCCCAAGGCCCTGTTAATGGGGTTAATGTCAATGATGGAGGTGGTCAGGGCTGTTTAAACACAAATGGTACGAGGTCACTTCTGTGGCGAGGCTCGTTTCATATGAAAGGGTCAAGTTTCGGGTCACTTTCACTTTTTCAGTTGAATAAAAATCATGATAATTTGAAGCCTCGTTAGACTATACGAACTTTAAAGTTCAGTAATAGTCAGTTTAGCTTAGGGTCAGTATGTGGCGAAGGGGTCAGTGGTATGAAGACTGTAGTAGGCTACAATGTTTTTCCGCTCTGTCAGAAGTACAGTATGTATTTGCCCAGTACATACTTTTAGCGTTTGTGTTTTCTAGGCTATAGGAAATCTTTGCAGTGCGGGTGTAGGGGTCTCTCTCACCCGTGCCATGTTGTTTCTGAGCATGTGCAGTAGTGTGGTGAGCGCGTGCCGAAGTTTCATGGCCTCTCTGAGCTCCGCTTCTCTGCGGTCCAGCAGCAGACGCAGTGCTTCTTCCAACCTGCAGGGGGAGACAAAGCGATAATATTTTCAATCCTTTCCACAAATGATTTCTGGTCCTCAAATTTTACATAAAAGATGCTTATAGTCCACATTAAAGCACACTATTGTCATTAATGACTCTCCCTCATGTCGTCCCAAGCTCGTAAGACAGTGTTGTAGTCGAGACCACCTCACTCGAGTCCGAGTCGACACCGAGACCAGAGAGAGTCGAGTCCGAGTCAAGACCGAGTCCATAGAGAGTCGAGTCCGAGTCGAGTCCGAGACCAGAGACGGTCGAGTCCAAGTCGAGACCGAGACCAGTGAGGGTTGATTACCTAATTTTTTTTTACTGAATTTACTTAGAGTTTAAAAAATATGATCAGTTTAGGGTAAAAAGGCCACATAGTAGGTGGTGTTAAAAGTAATTTTATTACAATTTGTCATGCGCAGTTGCGCACTAGAAAATCACCAATCACTGGGCGTGTCAATCAATTTAAAGAAATATTTTATTATATAACATACATTAATAATCATGAAAAATATTTTTAATTGAACTCGAGTGTAACCTAAAAAAAAAAAAAAAATGTTCGAGTACGAGTCAATTCCGAGTCCAAATGGACACGAGTCCATGACAAGACCATTAAAATATGGTCTCGAGACCGAGTCCGAGTCTCGAGTACTACAACACTGCCGTAAGACCTCCGTTCATCTTCAGAACACAGTTTAAGATATTTTAGATTTAGAGTCTTCGGTCTCTCCATTGAAAATGTATCTACGATGTATCCACAACAGAGCCGGAAGACAACACAATGCTGATAAAGTCTGAGTTACTGTTATTTTTGGACCAAAATGTATTTTCGATGCCATTGTAACTAACCCACTGATGTCACATGACTACTTTGATGAAGGCTTTATTTCCTTTCTGGTCAAGGACAGTATACCGTACACACATTTCCAATGGAGGGACAGAAAGCTCTCGGACTAAATCTAAAATATCTTAAACTGTGTTCTGGAGATGAACGGATGTCTGACGGGCTTGAGAGAGAGTCATTAATGACATCATTTTCATTTTAGGGTGAAAAACTCTTTAAAACACGTTATACAGTCTATCGGGTCATTGGTCGTACCTCCCATCAGCCTTTGTGGGCTTGAAGCCAGTCTCTCTCCGTCCGGTCCGCTTTGGCAACACATTTATGATCTCCATGGCTATAGATGGGGAATATTATTGTCACTGTGCCGTTTGTGGGTTTCATGAGCATGCATGCTAACTGAATGTTGTGTGGCTTTTAGTCTGTATTTAATGCACTCATAAAACTCCCAAACAGCAACATAGTGTCGGCCCACATCTGTATCCACGCATAGGTGACACTATTTTGCTGTCTGGGTTGTGTATAATACAAATCTACTGAGAATAGTAGCATTTCACAAATTATTGTAAGTTAACGAGGGCAAATGTTTCAAAAAGGAATATTGAGGTGGTGAATGAAGTCGCTAGAAGTTAAGCAGGCCGCGGGCCGCGAGTCTCACACACTCCGCGCTGTTTGTGTCTGTCGGCGAGCTGAGAGAGTCTCTCCCTCATGCGGCTGATGATCTGCTCTCTGCGCCTCAGCTCCGCCCCCTGCTGGTGACAGCGGCACTGCAGCCGCGCGCACTGCACACACACACACACACACACGTCAGCTGGTGCGCTCTACTGCAGGAACTACAATACATCACATCACAACCTTATCTCTTTCAGAAGCCAGAGCCTGTTGCAGCCGGGAGATGTGCAGGTCCTTCTCCATGAGCTGCTCCTGTGAAAGACGACAAACTCACACAGTCTTTCATAATGTAAAGGAAGTAATTAATAATATTAACATAATTATTTACTAATTAGGAATATTATTTATATAGCTCCCTAACTCTAGAGTCCCAAAACAAAATATAAAATGATTTAACAAATAATATAACATTAAAATTCATTTATATATTTTTATACATTTATATATTATTTAGGGCTGTCAAATGATTAATCGGGATTAACTGCATCCAAAATAAAAGTTTTTGTTTACATGAATTAATATTTTTCTTAAATATACATGCATATGTGTGCATTTATATACATAGAAAATAATTATACACAGTTTACCCACATATATCATGTAAACAAAAACTTTTATTTTGAATGTGATTAATCGTGATTAATCATTTGACAGCCCTAATATTATTATTTATATATTGGGATAAACTCCTTGAAAATGTAGATCTTGTTTTTTTTTTTTTTTTTTTTTTTTTGGGTGGGTCCCAAAATATAATGTACAACGCTAACATAAAATGTTATATTAATATATAATATATATATAAAAAACTGAATTGCCTAATAATATTTTATTAATTTACACAATATAATGCCATAATTTAAAATATAATATAAATCCCAAATTAAAATGCAGTAATAAACACTGCTATGACGTGTATGAAATTAACCATAGTGTGAAAATAATATCACAGCTTAATTCAATATCTAGAGGTTGTTGCCAGATTGGCCTTGATGTGTGATGGTAAGTGTTGTGTAGTGAGCTCAGGTGTGCACACGGACCTGTAAAGATGTGATCGGGTCTCTGTGCTCCTCTCTGAAGATCCTGTGTGTGAAGTTGAGTGTGGTTTCATCATGACGAGGCACACACACTGAGTTCAGGATCTCTGGCAGACACAAAACACACTCAGCCTGCTCTTTCTGACCATCAGTATCATTCTCACGTGTGTGTGTGTGATAACACTTACCTGAGCAGTCTTGAGCTTGGCTATGAGACGGCGGTGATCTCGCGAGATGTTTGTGTGCCATAACCCTGTAGAAACTAACACAACATTAGAAATAACTGATGCCTTGTGCAACTTTTCCTTTCCATTGCGGGGAAAATAACCAGAAACGATAGTGAAATCTGTAACCACAGCAAATTGGCTGGTCTTTTTTGTGTGTGGCAATTTCAAAGTAATTTGATTACATCTCTGATTGATATATGTTAACATATCTTACCAGAGCAAAAAATCTGTAGCGCCTTATCCTCTCAAAAGGCAGATAAAAACATTTAAAGCGTTACAGAGCAATCGAGAGCCGTTTCCTTCAATCATCTGCAGGTTTCCTTCAATCATCTCATCAGTGATCGACAGCTTCAGTCTATTTAACAGCTAATGGACTGAAATCCTTACAATATTTAACCCTAAAACCGTATTCTGGACAAATGTGGGCAAAATAGTTTGGATTTATTTAAAAAAAAAATTAACATAATACTTCCCTTGATCTGAGCGGTACAAGACTTGGCTACTTTTCCTAAGTTTGCCTCCTGAACACACACATTTGTTTTGGACTCAATTCTACAATGTTAAGTGGGTGGGAAAAAAACCTCCTTAATTGTATTTGGGTCAAAAATGGGCACCCATAGAAATGAACGGGAAAAACTGTAATTTAGAGCAGTCTAAAATAAGCCAAAATAAGCCACCAGGTGACAGCAAAGTCACTTCATCTTTAGGTTTTAGCTCTAAGAACTTATTGGAATGATATTTTAATGTAGTTAAAAAAATATAAAAAATAAAAATAAGCATAATTTACATAGAAAATACAGCACTTTTTGTAGTAAATAAATTAAAAAATACCCCCAAAATAAAATAAACCACCATAAATGGATAGACAAAACTTTATCGAAGACAGTGATATAACATTTAAAATAAATAAAAATTAGGATCACACCCGAGTCCTCTGTGACTGTGCCCACATTTACAGGATTAAGGGCTATAAAGTGAAAACGGTTTGAGGGTTAAGGTGAACATGCACTTTAAAGCCGACACAACAGACAAATGATCAATAACACTTTATTTTAAAGGCAAAAAGATTTAAGCGTAACATGTTCATTCAGTTTGCGATCATGTAGATCATGATCTCCCTCATCAAACACACCTAATCAGTTCAACAAGGGCCAGATACAGGGAAACGGTGCAACACTGAATCTCGACACAAAGCTTCTTTAAAATGACCTTGAAGCCAAAGTCTGCTGGCTATAAATTAGTAAAAACTATAGTAAAAATCTGCTAATGTCAGCTAATTCTTCAATTCCTTCCACATAAACCAGGGAAACCTTCATACAATCTTCAACAAACTGGTTTTGTTTTATACACATCACAAATAAAATAGTGTTTAGTACATGAAATTGCAGTGTGTTATGGGTGATACATTTTCAGAAACGTAAATACAGTAACGGACCGTACCATGCCATACAGTGTAAGTTCAGCATAATCAAAGTATTATTATACATAATACATTTGTGTAGTGTTTGTGTGGGTCTTTATGTAGTAGTGTAAAGGTGAAAACAGACGCATCATCAAAAACAGCTTCGTCGACTCTGTAAAAACACACATATGACATGAATATTAATATCTGGAGTCATGACAAAGATCAGCGAGAGCATTGTGAGGCTATAGTGCTATAACCTCTGCAGGATCCGCTCAGAGGAGCCCGCAGGATTTGGGCGGACGGAAGGGGTTGTCGCTGGACGGGACGCCCATCAGAAGAGGGTCTTTATGGGCATTTTGCAGGCAGAAGTTCTTCAGGTCTGTGGCAGCTTGAGAAACCTGCAGAGATCACAGTGAAGACGGCATATTGTACCTTACTGTGATTAAGACCGTACTCTGATTATTGGAAATATTTGGTCCACATGTAAACGCAGTCATCATAAAGGTGTCCTCTTTCACTGACACTACACACACTGTTCAGGAATGGTTTGAGGAACATGTTTTGGCAGGGCCGACAGCATATTAGACAGGTGGACATTATGTTTTGGCATGTGTGTATATTTTTAAGGCAAGACATTATAGACAAATCCATTGTTATTTCATGCACTCCTCATTTTGAGGGCTATTTGTGCTTCGGTTAATTAGCACAGTTAATTTCCTTATTATTTATTTATTTGCCTATTTAGAGTTATATAACAGCAGTTTTTGAAACTGGCTTTATCCAAAGTTCATATTTTCGTTCTGGAAATTATATGCAAATGAGTGCAGATATAATTAGATAATGAATCACATATTTAAATAACATTTTAAAAAACAACAACGAACATTGTCTCAGCTCTGATTAATCAAATGTGGTGTATGAAAATATCTATTTATAGATTTTGTTTTAACCGGTGTATCTTGCCTTAATTTTATAGTAAATAAGTTAGTATAGAATCTCTTTTAAACAAGTTAAGGCCTACATTTGTTTTTGGCAGATAATCTATGGGAAAGGATGTAAACTAACTGAAAATTAGGTCAACAAACACAACTTTAACAGAATACAGTGTTATTATTAATTCAAATATACCGCGTGCATTATAGAGAAAATATGGCATTTTTATATTAAAGCATCTTTGAGATGGAAAAAAGTTTCGGTCACAGTAAAGAGTTGTTTTGTTTAGACACGGTTGAACAACTGTATTTTTTTTTTTTTTAGTGCTAACAGTATACAAAAAGTATAATATTGCAATCTGATACCATCACATAGTACTAACGTTGCCATACTCTCAGTTTTTAGCGCTGCTCTCTGTGCGTTTGCATTAATAATGAGCAGAGGGCATAACAAATACCTGTTGTCTGAACTTTACGACTACAATGCAGATCTGACTGTATAAAACTATCATAAAACACTTCAAAAACATCTCGGAGGCACCGAGACGTTACGAAACCCCGAGGTCATTTACCTGTAAATGAGTTTAAACGCGTTTAAATAGTTGTTTTGTCGGTTAGCGTTAGCGTTAGCAGTAACTCACACCGGTTAAACGCTTTTGTCCGTGTTCTTCTTTAACCCACAAACTCTTTCACTTTTCAAGTTGACGCCGACATACTTACGTTAATTCTTCGTATTTTCGCCTCTAGTCTGAGCTGTTTGACTGCTTTGGTCGCCACGGCCACACTACTGCTGCTAGCGTTATTGTTGGACATGATTACTGACCGAATGACTAAAAGAGTTTGCGGAAGTTTGAGGAAGAGGAGCGCGCGCGCGCGCACGCACACAACACGACTTCACTATCTAATGCAGCTAAGAATACATAAACGACTTATACTTTATTGTTTTCTTTTTTTGTACTGGACGTTTTGTCAGATTTAACTGATGACAAATTTGTCCCGCAAAGTTTTTATTTTTCTGAGGAAACCAAAAAATATAACATCACCTTTGCAAGAGTAACAATATACGCTGGCAAATGTCTAACTTTGTTATATTGTCATCCCTAAACATTTGAATTCTTGAATTCTGTTTTAGAAACACAAAAATGACAATCCATGGCTCTTCGGGCCTAATACAGTCACTCTGTATTCACCTACTTTAAAACGATATGCATTCTCAAAACGTGCTATACTCTACAAAAAAAAAAAAAAAAATGAAACGACATTGTAAATGACTGTGAATTTTAAAACTATCGGAGATAAACGGAGGCAGTAGAATTTGTTTTATTCACAACTCCTGCGTCAGAACAACGCATCAACAAAACTCTCAAACTCTCCCGCGCCTTAAAGGGGACGTGTCAAATTATGCATGTGTATGTGTATGTGATGTGTGAATGCTTCATTGATGTGTGATTGCATGTATCTGCCCCGAATACTGTTTGCTTTGTGGCTATTTTAAAACTGTATTTCTATTGGCCGTTTTCGGCCATGAATAGAGGCTGTGTTTTGTTGATATCCCTGTGACACTGACCAAACAGAAAAGGTGTTTCTATGAAGAGTGTTCTATTGGTGTGGTTACTTTCCATATGAATTTGGAGATTTTTAATACTGGTATCTATTTTATTTTACGTTTATGACGTGTAAATCATCCCAGATTTTTATTTTCTACTTTTGCATAAATCAAAATATCTTTGGCTGTATTTGTTGTTAGAAATCTAGATTACAAAGTGAGTTATTACAACAAATGATCGGGGTAAAACTGGCCTTTTCTCTCACTAATATATGCATGCAGTTCCATGTATCTTCCTGTAGATGGCGCGTCAGGTCGGTGAGCTGTAGGTGTGTGTGTGTGTGTGTGTGAGAGGCGCTGTCCGAGGTCCTGATCAAAATAAAATACAAAAATCCATCACCAGTGCCGTGTGTGTGTAATGTTCAGTGTTCTAATGTTACAAAATAAAAGTGTTTGTGATGCCTATAGACCTTATTCAGAGCAGCGCCATGACAGGCATGAAAGTGAGGCTGTGAGGGATAGACTTACCGTGTTTCCAATGGCATCCGCTGTAAAAAGCTGAATAAAGCGGCTAGATTACTTACAATTTTCCACAGCTTATAATGTCAGGAGATTTTTGTCAACTGACATTTCTTGGAAAGATATTTTTCCAGTGTTTCATGAGCAGAACAATCCGAAAACACATTAAATAACAATACAGCCCATTGAAGAGATGCAAGTCTATCCCTCACAGCCTCGCTTTCATTCTCATTAAAAATGATGGCGCTGCCGTGAATAAGGCGTATTAGGTCTATGTAGCCAGAGCTAAACAATAAAAATGTGTTTTTAAATAATAAAAATAATAATAAAAAAATTCTATGCAAGATGAATGTCACTGCAACCTTTCATCTCATTGTATATCTGCACCATTGTGCAACCCATAATAAAGGGTTAGAGTTAGGGGGGAAAAATTGGTGAAACTAGTCAAAAAGGCTCTTCTTTGTGAGATTTATAGGAATTACAGTGAATTATCGATTATGAAATCATTAAATCCTCCTGAATTCTGTCTTTTACTCTGTGTTTATGTGAAATATGTGGTGACTGTGTTTGTGTTGATGATAGTTTAAATGAAGTCAAAGAGAAGCTGTTTCTCACGAGCGCATTATGGACATTCATCTCTTGCATCATCATGTGCTAGAAGAGAACAAGGAAGCGCTTCTACAGAAGTGTCTTTTTTTAGTGCCATGAGACATTGACAGTTCAGTAAACCTGCATGAAAATAATTATTTTAGTTCCTCTGTGACTGAACTAATGCATTAATACAGATTCAAACTATATATGAAGAGTTCAGATGCAAAAGCCTCTAAGTGCCATTTGAAATTTTCTTCTAGAATGATCATTTTTATCAAGCTTGTATATTTAAGTTCAGTAATTTCACTTAAATGGCAATGATAATTACCTATTAATTGTTATTTAAGTGAAATTACTGAACTTAAATATACAAGTTTGATAAAAATCATCATTAAAGAAGAAAATTTCAAATGGCATTTAGAGGCTTTTGCATCTGAACTCTTCATATATTTGTGTGTGTGTGTGTGTGTGTGTGTGTGTGTGTGTGAGTGTAAAATAGCACTTGTGTCATTTGACTGGAAGAGGAGAGTTTTGTCATTCACAGGAAGTGAAGAAAGACAGGATGTGTGAAAACAGTAAACTGGCAAAAGATCGTGCAGTTTTTACACTCGGACTGCAGATTGCAGTGAGGTAGGACATGTATTTTACAACGCAAAAACATGTTTCAGCTTTAATAGAGAGATTATTGAATATGATATATGAAGTTGTTTTATATGCATCTATAAACACGTGTCAGTCACTTTTGTGTAATTGTCACAATCTTCCTCATGTCTTCCAGAATGTTTGGTGTTTTCTTTCTGATTTCTCTGCTTGTGATTCCTGGTGAGTCTGAACCTAATTCTTATTTACACACACACCGAAGAAACCTCTTTCAGGATGTTTTGTCTCTATTTCTGTTTTTAAAGGCAGTCTATGTCAAGAATGTGTCGTGTTCACAGTTCTGCTAAACTGACACAGAAAGCGTCGACATATATGATATTGATATATATCCCACAACAAATTAGTCTTTAGACACTTCCTGGAAATACTGGCTATCAGCGCCATTTTTGTGTTCATGTAAAGTGTGTATTTTCTGATCCTCTGGGTGTTAAAAAAACCTCTAAGTTCGGACAGCTGCTGCCCCGATAATTTTTGGTTTCTGTGGTTGCACATTGGAATTATTATAGAAGTATTTCAATTACAGTGGGTTTGTGGAGACGAGAGTGTTTCGGTGTGGACTGATTAAAATGTCTCAGCTGATCATTTGGACGAATTGATAGTCTTGTCGTTTAACGTGTAAATATGTGATACTGTTTGCAAGATGCTGACTATAGTCCATCAATTTGATTATGTGTCTCTAAAATAAATAGTATACTAATGGAATAATGAATATAAAAAATACCTGAATCATGTCAGGAAGTGTTTTAAAAAATCACTTTGAGACTTTTTTTAAAGGGTTGCTTAAAGGGTTGGTAAAGTATGATTTCACTTTTCTAAATTTAGTTAGTGTGTAATTTTGCTGTTTGAGCATAAACAACATCATCAAAGTTACAACGCTCAAAGTTCAAAGCAAATGAAGATATTTGCTTTTAAAGAATTGCTGGTAGGGACTACATTACATTCCTCCATGGTTAGTGACATCACCAACCCTAAAATGTACATAAACCCTGTGAACACGCAGTCCATGTTGAGAGTGGTGGTATAATGGTACATTTGTGAGTCAGCTCAAACTTTAGCATCCATCTTTTCACATAGAATAGAAAGTCCCTCTGTGTGCATCTCACAACAGTTCATATATGAGCGATTTATAGATTATCATGACAGAATATCCTAATTGAAGATAGTTAACTCCACATCAACAACATAAATTCATCAACTATCCATTGAGACGCGCTGTTGTATTCTACATGTTGTCACTTCTTGAGTCTCTCCATTTTAACATTATAGGGCGAACAGTTTCTGTCATTTTAGTGTGTCTGCGTGAGGAAATCGAGCTGCGAACGAGCTCTTGAAAAACCCCGCCCTCTGCAGCAGCTCATTTGCATTTAAAGGGCCAGGCACAAAACGGGGCATTTTTGCAAAGCCTAAAAGTGACAACTTTAACATGCTATATTAAAATATCTGTGAGGTATTTTGTGCTTAAACTTCACACACACTCTCTGGGGACATCAGATATTTATTTTACATCTTGTGAAAATGGCATTTTACCACCCCTTTAAAATGACCCTAATTCCATGATGTTGAAGTTACATGAACAAATGTTTGTTTAACGTAACCGCCACGACACACACAAAATATGAAAGTCCAAGTGCAGTTTATTTGATCCGTGAGGATAAATCAAGGCAGGTAAAAAGTCAAAATCCAGGTCACAGCAAGCCGAAACAAAACAAGACTGACCTCCAGAATGAAGTGACATCTAGACAAGGACTCGACAACTAATATAGAACAGCCAGGGTGTATATAACACAAATCTAACAAGGTGAAGGGAAACAGCTGAGTGCAATGAACTGATGAGTGACAGACGGAATGCTGGGAAATGAAGTCACGTGAGAACGAGGACCTCTAGTGACAACCCAGGGAAACACAACCAGACACTGTGACAGTAACCCAGTTGTGGAACCTGCTGATGAAAAACAATTGAAGCCAACATATCATTTGTTTGAATAGGACATAGAGATCATAAGTGTTTTTTTTTGTTTTTGTTTTTTTAAAAAGCATGTAGGCTATATAAAACAAGCAAAGAAAATACTAAAGTAGAAGAACTGCTTTTGTGTTGTAGAGAAAAATGGAAACACCTGTTTTCCTGTTTTATATCTTCCAGGGATTTGCAGTCAGGAATGGAAGGTTCAGTACTCAAGTTTGAGCAAATGTGTCCTAAAGGGTTCAACAACACATTTATTTGGCACTTTTACACACCCAGGTCATCTCACTGTGACAAAGACATTTTGGACCGTAAACCCAGTTAAAGGCCAAGACGTCATCAATCTGTTGGATCTTCCAGATTACAAAGACAGAGTTCATTATTTCCCCAATAAAAACCGAACATTCGCTCTCAGACTCAGTAATGTGACAGGAGAGGATGAAGGAATGTACTGCTTCAGAATCATAACAAATGAAGAAGCACAAAGATATCTGGGTTTTCCTGGGATTGAGCTCAACGTCACAGGTACAGTCTAACTATTGCATGATAGATGTTACTCTGTTCTTTCATATAAATATAAAGTGTGGTGTTGTGTGATTTCAGAGCTCAGAGTGGAGATTCCTGAAGAGGTCGTTGAGAAAGATTCCCCTGTTTTATTTTGTAAGAGCACCTGTTTCCTCTCAAACACAACAGGCTTTATCTGGTATAAAAACGGCGAGTCTTTCTCCGAGTCGAGCGTCGGGAATCGTCTGATTCTGCAGTCGGTCAGCAGGGATGATGCGGGAAACTACAGCTGTGCAGCGAGACCTCAGGAACATCTGCCGTCTCCTGCCGTCACTCTCAGCGTCAGATGTAACACACACTTCAGCTTTCAGACAAGTTCAGTCCAGACTCGTGATGAGTAACTTTCAGTGTTTTCCAGATCCTCCTCAGAGCATCTCAGTGTCCATCAGTCCATCTGGTGTAATAGTGGAGGGAGATTCAGTGACTCTGAAGTGCATCAGTGACTCAAACCCTCCTGCTGTGAACTTCAGCTGGTTTAAGGAGAAGGAAACCTCAGCTGTTGGATCTGGACAGAGTTTCAGCATCTCCAGCTTTAACTCCAGTTTCAGTGGACACTTCTACTGTGAGGCTCAGAATAAATATGGATCTGGGAGATCAGCGTCTGTGTCTTTGTTCGTGCCTGCAGGTATTGACATGGGGCGTTGATCTTCTGCTGGTGTGATTATCAGCGTGTGAATGATGTTTCTCTTCGCTCAGGTGTCCAGAACACAGGTCTGTTTGCAGCTGCTGGCATCGGGGCGGCGCTCATCGCCGTCTGCGTTATTGTTGTAGTAATAAAAATCACAAGGTAAGTGAAAACTGCTGTGGAAGATGGTGTATTTATAACTCACAGGTCATATTAACCACTTTTGCAACACTTTTAATCCTTTTTTCCCCTTTTAATATGTGCATTTTCATGATATAGACCTTATGTAGCCCCGCCCCTTTTCAGTGCTGCGCTCGTTCCGGTCTGTATTTGGACAGCGATCTGCTCGTAACAAAAATTCCCTGTCGACATTTGTTAAGACATCTGCTTTATAATGCTTATGATAAACATTACAATTCTCATGATAACTCTTGTTAACTATACAATAAGTAAATCCACTGACTTCACCAGCTAATTACTCCTCGACAGAGCGACCGCGAAACCGGAAGTTCAAAGAAAATATTCTAAAGATGACGGCGCCCATGTTTCTCTGGTGCATAAGGTCTATAGATATTGTATGTTTGCAATTTCTCCTCTCTCCAGAAGGAAAGCAGGAGATACTGGCGTCCAAAGTGGAGTTTCAAAACAGGCAAGTCTAAAATAGTGTCTATTTCAGCTCGCAATTGAATCAACATCGTTGTTGTTGTTGAACAACTTTTCAAAATCAGATTTAAGGGACATGTTTACAGTTTTAGGTACAAAATCAGGTTTAAGTGTTTCTACATCGGTGTTATTCATATCATTTCCAAGTTATGGGTAGTGGGACAAACTTTTCAGACGTGTTGATCCAGGAACAGCGAGCGATTGTAGTGTGATCATCTGGATGTGTGTGTAATCAGGACAACAGCAGCGCAGCGGGGGCGAATCAGATGAGCACGAGTGATTCAGGCGTTCAGAATGACTCGATGTACGCAAGCATCACTCACAAGGAGCCTCCGAGCGCTGGAGATGAAGACGAGGTTCAGTACGCCACCGTCCGGCACTACAGGAACGCAGGGAACACGAGTGTGAAGGCTGAGGGTCAGTCTGGAGACGTGAGGGATCGTGGTCCTCCTGACAGGTGAGGCGCACTTCATTACTCACGTTAAAGATTTGAATTAATCCCTAAACTCTGCAGGCGGCTCAGAGAGAAACAAGGTTTTATGTGTATGATTTAATCTGTTTTATCTTCTTTTTGTCCTTTTTACATGTATCGAACAGATCTGATGAATCCAATGTGATCTACAGCAGTATCAATGTTGCAGGAAGATTTTGAGCATCTGATCACAAACACCTGAACCATCGAGTCAACACACTGACATGTCCCAAATGCGGCATGAAATGGAAGTGGCAACCAACGTTACGAACATACTGTGATATATTTCCGAGTTAATTTTTTTGTGTTACTGTTTTCGATATATGAAGTCTGAATGAACTGTCGTTACCTGCGGAGTGTGTTGCTCATTCATAATCTGAGCGTAACACAACCATGTTTCATTCTGTGAACTGTGTGTAAATTTCACTTCATCCACTGATTTTCTGTGTAATAAAGTAACCGTGTGGTGTATTTAATGTGATGTAAAATATTAAAGTAGTTCTTTTTGAATAATGAGTTAAATAAAGACCATGGATTGTTTAATAAGGAAGACTGTATTTACTGTAATCTGTTTTTGTGTGTGTTAAAAAGAGTAGAGCATCAGTGCCTCCTCCTGGCCGAGGGCGAGTGTGTTTGCTTCCTAACTGCTTGTTTTTTGGGGCATATGTCCATGATGTCTGTTATTTAATGTTGGGTTTTATCTTCAACCGAGCAGCTCATCCAGAAAGCTTCTGCTGTGGACAAACATCTTTAATAGTTTTTCTAAATAAATTCTAAATCATAAACATCTGAAGATATGTTCATGATGAAAAAAACAGACATCAAATAGATGTCTCTGAGATGTAGGCCTACGTGTGCGATCAGGGAATGGTGATATGTTTCTAAAGTGTGACATGGCATCCTATTAGCCTACATATAAATATATATCAGTTAAATGTGTTTTTGCTTTTTGTGTATCGAGTCTTAAGCCTCCATGTTACTGATATCATCCAATGAATTATATAATAAACAGATTTTAGTTATTAATTTGGTTTTGAGTACAAATTAAATGTTTGTTTGGTTTTGTTTGTCATTGTCTTGGGCCTCAAAAGTGGATTTAGATGATCTTAGTTCAATTTCCATTACGTTGAAACTGCTAAAACACCTCAGTGTGTTTGATACACGTCCTCACTGTTTTTTTGGTTATAGTATAATCTGAGATGTAGGATTGGCGACACATTGACTGGCAGATGAAGCGAAATAACCAGATATTGTCCTAAAAGTACCAGTAATTGGCTGCTGACGGGTGTTCATTTCCCATCCTGACTGTATAAACCTTGATTAATTTTTAATACATCATCATTATAATTCAAATGAAGCACACATTAGCTTCTCCTATTTACATGATGGATTTATATAAACACATATTGAACAATATAGAAGAAAATACAACTTTAGTAACTTTTATTACTTCTAAAATCAACATGTCGCAGAATCAGATGTAAACGCTGCTGTAATGGCAGTAAAGTGCACTGGATCTTTTTGGCCACTAGATGCCAGTAAAGTCAATGGGAGTGCAGGAAAGATGTGAGTAATGGATGTAATTCCTCTATTTCGAGAGGCTGTTCACTGCAGAGCCGTGGGTGGAGAGAGAAGTCCAGCTCTTCTCTCTGGATGTAATGTGTGTGTAATGGAGCGAGACGGTCCAACAACACCCTAACCGACCCATAACTCTCTCCCTCCACCCATTAGATCCACTGAGGAGGAGCTGGACGGCATTCGGCTCTGCAGTGAACATCACTGCTCCATTATTAGGAGTTATTAAACAGATCCAGCAGTGATGTATTAGTGTTGATGAAGACTGTTAAAACTATTCCTGTATCTGTCGTCAGTCTGGTTTCTGAGAAACTGGTATTGACCCAAACATGTGTGAACCGCAGAGTTTGTGCCAGAAAGAGGAAGTGAAACTAAGAGCTGTAAAGATGCTGTTCAGACGCTCCTGCAGACTTGATGAGCATCTTTACTCTGTTTTAACATCTTTAAACATCTTTCACATATTCTCTCACAAAGAATAGTGAGCTCAGAGATAAAGCTTGTTGTGTGTTTGACATCTGAGACGTTAACGGTCTTCTCCAGTTGTTCTTGTGTGATTGAGATGACGGTCACTCATAACTAGGAAGAGGAAGACCAACATTTAGCTGAACTTTATTTAAGTGTGAAAACTGCAGCGTTTGACACATTAAACTGCGGATGTTTTTCTCATTCGGGCGTCGACACTGAAACATCGACACTTCAGAGCGGTAAGAACATTTTTACTGTTATTTAAAAGAATTTATAAAACTGTTTTAGATGAATGTTGATTTGATGAAGTGATTTTGACTCCAGAAGCTCAATATCTGTTGTAGATTCATGTGTAAATATTGTGTGAAGCTCTTTAGACACGAGGCCTGAAACATCATCAATGAGCCGTGAATTATTAATAATCATGCGCTTTATCTATCAAACAGAGTTTGTGATGTTGTAGATGATGGTCATAATGTCATAATTGTCAGTTTTCTGATTGCAGAAGTCACGATGGTGTCGTCTCTCATAAAGTCTCTTCCTCTGATCGTAGTGATCATGACTGCGGGTGAGTCTTCAGTTTCACTCACACATATTTAACAAAAGACGATTGAGCTCTTCACACTTATAAACGGACATGAGAGTTTCACTGTCAGCTAATATAAAAATGGTCAAAAGTGAAAAGATATTTTACACCTGAAAGCCTCTTCATTCCTCATTTCTGTGTTTCAGGGGCTGATGTTCAGGATTGGGGAGTGAATTACAGTCCTTCATATGTTTGTGCATTAAAGGGATCAACAGTGAAAATATTCTGTACTTTAAAATATCCTCGTGGTTATAAGGTCACAACAGCTTTCTGGACCAAAACTGTTGAAGAACCGCATGACTTTTGTTCAGATCCAGAGATGAGAAGAGGGATTCAGTGTAACAGTGAATATTATAAACACACTTCCAGCATCACTTTGACGGCTGTAACAGAAGCTGATGAACACATGTACTACTGCAGATTTATTACAGATAAAGATGATGGAAAATGGACGGGGGTTCCTGGAGTTCAGCTTAACGTCACTGACCCCAGGTGAAAAAGACGTTGTATTAAATGTATTAAAAATATATTTGAAATACAAATAGTGTGTTTATAATACATTTGTATTTACAACATGCTTATTTAAAGTGTACTAAAAATGTATTTTATTGCATTTTAGTATATTTCTAAAAAGTATACTAGAAGTACATTGGTAATAAATATATATTTAATTACACTTTTAAGAAATATACTATAGAAAAGCATACTTTTAATGTATTTATAAAAAGTATATTAGTAATATATTGGTAATAAATGTATGCTTTATTATATTTTTAATAAATATGCTAATGATAATTATACTTTAAATGTATTTCTAAAAAAGTACATTGGTAATAAATATATGTTTAAATACACTTTTAAGAAATACACTATAGAAAAGCATACTTTTAATGTATTTCTAAAAAAGTATATTATTAGTACATTGGTAATAAATGTGTGCTTAATTATATTTTTAATAAATATGCTAATGACAATCATGCTTTAAATATGTTTCTAAAAAGTGTACTAGAAGTACATTGGTATTTAATTACATTTTTAAGAAATATGCTAAATACAAACATATTTTAATTATATTTAAAAATGTTTTACTAGAAACGCAATGATAATAAATATACACTTAATTACACTTTTAGAAATATGCTAAAAACAAACACAGTTTTTAGTGAAGTTTTAGTGTATTTACAGAAAGCATACTTGTTGCTAAATTAAAGTATTTTTGTGTTCACTTCAAGTTTAAAAATTCAAGTCAAGTCCCTTTAATTCCCTTCCTAACATGAAGGCAATTAAACATGTATCGAAATTAATTGTATATTTCTACAAAGACTAGAAGTAGCACTTTAATTATAAATATGTGCTCAGTTAAGCTTTTAAGAAATATACCAAAAACTACCACACTTTTTGTAATACTACCAACACTTAACTCAATGCATATGTATTTCACACTTTATATTATGTGTTTTAGGTTTAACTTTTTTAAATTAATTTGTTATAATTATGAAAAGCACTAAAATTTGACTAACAAGTAACGCACTTCTATACTTCTGCATTAATTAATCAAATAGTCTTTTCCACAAAACAAGTGAATACCAGTACGTGCACACATCAACATAAAAGATCAGGTGTACATACTAGAAAAACAAAATAAATTTCTTAAAGCTTGACTCTTACATTTGTTTAGTCAAAATGAATAAAAAAACTTGTTATAAAGCATGTTAGGTTTATATTAACAGAGTTGTTTCTTTTTTGTGGATGTTAGTTAATATTTCCAGTTGCATTCATTTGGACCAATCAGAGCCAATCTTTTCAAAACAAGCTTGCCGGCAATCGTCCAATCACACACTGCCATTTGAACTTACATGTTGGGCGGGGCGCGGACAACGGATACTGACTGTCTGTGGTATTCCATTAGCTTCGGACGGATATCTCAACAGAAATCATGTAGCAGCTATTTTCAAATTTTGCTTTGTTATTTCACTGGCTCGGACCTAGTGAATGTGGATAGCACCGATCTAATATTAAGAGAACACACGAGCAGATTACCAGGTCGTCAGCTCCCGCGAACAATTTAGCAGTGAAGAGGACAACGCAGAGCTGCGCCGCCACGACATGGACAGAGCAAGATACTGCCAGAAAAGATCTTACTTCTTGGTGGTAAGTTTATTAGTTTAAGTGATTAGTGTAATTGGCTTTATTCTCACTTTGGGTTTAGCAAATATTTTCAGAAGTTGATGACGATGTTCTGTGGATTACTGGCGTTTCTGTTGATTTGACACTAAAGCGAGTTAACGTCTATCCATTGACGTCTATCAACTTAATTGTTATAGATCTAGACAGTGACATAATGCAACTATAAAAACATTGCACACTGTGTTTTCAGAAAAAAGGTTATTAATGGTGATTACACGACAGGCTTGATTGTCCCTAAGTAACTTCTTGTGTTTTAAATATTATAATATATTTTAAGCTCTAATAAAACTTTCACATTTGTGATATTTAATTCATAGTAAAATCTAATTAATTATTAGTTACTAAGTTATCAGCTGTCACCAACTTGTAACTTTCAATAGAATGTTCTGTCTTTATTAATAATGAATAATTACTTCAATAATAGCGTGGAAGTTACAGTAATGGTTCATTAAATATGTTTTACCATTTAAACAAAATACAAATTATATATGAAGAACACAAACTAGTGTTTGTTCTGCCCTAACTTTGTATAACATGCAACTTTATTTTTTTTTGTAGAGCTTCCAGGGATACTATCATCTCTCAAAGAGGCCCTGGAGTCCATGAAACGAGGTTCATTCAGCTCAAGCCCAAGATCATCTGAGCTGTCTTCCTGAAACCTCAGACATGGTAAGAAAATTCTTTATGATAAAGAAAAATCCTATTTGTTATAATAATTATATCTGACTTTTGTGCATTAATACTTCAGTAAGTGTTCTGAATTAAGTAACAAAGTGACAGCTTTTTATTAGAATTATAAATGAACAAGTTTATACTAATGCTTGTTTTTTTTATTCTTTCCAGATTTCCCTCGGTGGTTCTGATGTCCCCAAAAGAGTCTATGGCAGACTGAACAAGTCACGAACTTCTCTTTTTACTCACGACTTGGCCACTTTACTTTTTGCTATTGTATTTCACTGTGTTTGACTTAAAGGATTAGTTCACTTAAAAAAAAAAAAAACTTTTGCTGATAACTTACCCACCCCCATGCCAAGATATCCATGTCATTCTTTCTTCAGTTGAAAAGAAATTAAGGTTTTTGATGAAAACATTTCAGGATTTTCTCCATATGGACTTCATTGGGAACCAAACGGTTCAAGGTCCAAAAGGCAGTTTCTGTGCAAACTGTTCAAAGGGCTTTAAACGATTCCAGACGATGAATAAGGGTCTTATCAAGCGAAATGATCGGTCATTTAAAAAAAAAAAAAAAAACAACGTTTAAGTTTTATAAGCTCAAATGGTCGCCATGCTCTGTTCTGTTATGCATGTTCATAACTCTCCTATTCAAACTCGTTCATCAAAATTAACAAATCTTTTTCTGAGTCATTAGGTTCATTCAACGAACGAAATGAATGAATTGACTTGAAAAAAGATTTGTCAGGGCTGCCAACTCTCAAGCATTCAGCACGAGACTCTCGCAATTGAGCAATTCTCATGCTTTCACGACAAATTGACTGTTAGCCATTGGACCTTGAACCGTTTTGTTCCCAGTGAAGTCCATTATATGGAGAAAAATCCTGGAATGTTTTCATCAAACCTTAATTCCTTTTCGACTGAAGAAAGAAAGACATGGACATCTTGGAAGACATGGGGGTGAGTAAATTATCAGCAAAAGTTTTTTTTTTAAAGTGAACTACTCCTTTCAGTTAGTTTATTTATTTATTTATTTTTTGTTCTGTTTAATACCTCTGCAAATCAATGCATTTTATGTTAATGTATTTTGTTTAGTTTTCATAATGCTTTACTGATGTAGTGCATTAAAGTTTATCTTTCAAAGAGTGTTTGTGTGTTTTGTAGAAATATTTTTTTACTGGGTTTTGTTGAATTAAAATGTTTAACTGTATTTTTAATACATTAAAATATATTATTTTTATATTAAATGGTTTTTGGAAAAAATATATTTTTAATATGTTAATAGTGGGTCCTATATTGTTCTACAAATACATTATTAATAAGCTGAAATTATATTTAAAATATACTTAGAACGCATTAATGTGAAGCTAAAATATACTAATGCTGTATTTCTAAAATCGATTTAAAGTGTATTAAAATACACTTTAAATAAGTGCTATTATATTACATTAAATGTACTTAAAATGGTTCCATTTTAGCACAATTTAATATAATAAAATATATTACTATTACCTTAAAATTGAACTTAAATACATATTAAAGTACACTTAATATACTTGAAGTTGTTTCAATTTAGCACATTTAATACATATTTAATACGGTGCACTTAAAATACATTAAGTATATCAAAATAAGTACATTTTAAATACATTTCCTTTTCACCTGGGACGTCACAGGTAAAACTACTGAACTCTCAGAAATACACCACAGAAACACACAAACACACACATCAAGCACTTCCTTTTATCACTGAATCTGCCAGATGACCTTCTGTAGATATTTTATAGTGTCCTGATGGCTCTTGTTCATATAATGACAGTCGACACCTTCTTCAAGCTTTAAATGTCCTAAAATGATGTGACTTTTGACTGATATTCCACGTGTTGTGAAGATGTGCAATAGAGTTCATCAAGAAACAAAGCAGAAAACCAAACTGTAATATGTTATTTAGCACAAATCCTCACTGCTGTTCTCAAACACCCTCAGACATGCAAATCAAGACTTTTACTTCATGTTTCTTTCTCATCAAAGCTTGTCGTTTGCCCTCAGAACACTGAATATACAGCACGAGTTGCATGAGAGAGTGTTTTGATGCTTTTATATTCATTTGAAAGCTTGAAGCAATCATTCATGTTGATGATGATGATGATGATGATGTTGTTGATGTTGATGATGATGTTGTTGTTGTTGTTGTTGATGATGATGATGTTGTTTATGTTGTTTGTTGTAGAGGCTTTGGACTGTTTTGGATTAGGTTATGGATGAGTAAACCCTTCTGGGTGCTGGTAAGAGCACAAATAATGAGGAGACAGGTGGTCAGATTAATTTGGTGTATTGTTGATAGATGGATGGGCCACAACTGTATATTCAATGATGTACATAGTCTGAAAAATAAGTACAATAAAGAGAATGAATAAACTAAATATACAATAAGAAGCATGCACTGTTACATAATTAAATGATTATCCAGAATACTCATTATTGACATTTCTCTACGAAACATCTAGCTAAATAAACTGAAACGAAGTATTAAACAGGAAAAAAATACACACGGTGAGGGCCATTGTCATCAGTAACATTCAGTGCCCATATATGGATAATCGTATGGCTCATATGCAGGGCATACAGACAAACATGACGCTGATCGTCTAGTATTAGAACATCTTAACAGACCGACTAACAGCACCTCATTAATAACCCATAACACTGATATGGTGCTTAATAAAGAATGAATCGTCACACTTTAAGGAATAGCCTAATACTAAATAATAATACTAGCCTATTACCGATCTGAATAACACAGAACGATCTATACAGGACATGTCCGGACATGCACTTATATCACGGACGCTTAACTCTTTACAGATCAAGTTACACAACTCAAAATCAACCTAAATATAATAAAAGTGACTTACTTTGAGGGCAATGACTAACATCACAATATTAGAGTTGCACCAATCACCCTGAACGAACAGGAATCAACATTACAGCTGACAGCTCTCACAGATTACATGCACTCAGCAGATAGCGGCAATTGAACTGACGACTGTACACAGTTCTGCAGGTTACCATGACTACGGTTTCAGAATAAAAGTCCCGACTGAATGAGCCTTTAATACATTGTTGTTGTTGTTGTGTCAGACCTGCAGGTGGAGACACAGGAGAGTGTGAAATATGGAGATTCAGTCAGTCTGAGATGTAAAAGCAGCTGCTCTCTGCCTCAACAAACAACATTCATCTGGTACAGAAACACACAGAGAATAACTAGAGGAATTGTGAAAGGGAATCAGCTTCATCTGCGGTCAGTCAGTCGTTCTGATGCTGGAAACTACAGATGTGCTGTAGGAGGACATGAACATCTGATCTCTCCTGTTTATCTTTATGTTGACTGTGAGTAAAAACTGATTCATTTTAACACAAAAGAAATATTTCATAATTTTTTTGGGGGGGATGTTAAGATTAAAAATATTTAATATATTATATTATATTCATATTAATTTAGAATATAGACAACCATTATATTAGTGTGATTGTCTTGACAATATGTTTAATCTGCTGTATATTAAATCATTCCCTTTTTCCTATTACAAAAATTAACAGAATATGAATCTATCAATTTGCCACTTCTATAATTCAAAGTCACATGACATAACTACATGAAGTTTCTCTGATAATCAGTTTAAATCAGTGTATTGTCTGTGTGCTGTTTGTCACTGCACTGGAAACAAATATTTTAATGCTTTATCACAATTTTTTCACAAATCTTTTGTCAATTCAGCTTCGGCTCACAAACGTTGTTTAGATAACAGAAGTGGTTCAACGGACCCCAAAACCCACAGTTCTGATCATATTACGTTTTTTTAATCCTGGATCTTAGACTCTCTATTTATTACTGAAAGCACACCAAAATGCTGCATATAACATGAAAAGTTGGTAGTTTGACAGTGGTTTTAAGCACTCCCGCTCCCCTCCACTAGGCGGGCCGTGACGTCATGAAAGGACTCCAAGCTTTTACTGTCTGGTCTCTGCTCCAAGCCTGAGTTATAACTGACGTTCTCAACTACTTTCTGTTACTTTCTCCCGCCCGCAACATTAAAGTTGTAAAAAGATTTTTTACAACTTTTTTAAAAAAAAGATTTTTTACAAAAATATCTTTTTCCCGCCTGTAAAAAGATTTTTTTCTGTACCTCCAAATACTTTCAAATTAGCAATGATTTTAGCTCTTTGTTCAATTTCATTAATTAAAATGAGCATATACGACACAATCCTTCATAGAAGTGATTCCAGCTTAATTTCATTAAATGTAATCAATGTAATCTTTTAAAAATTTGGTTTACCATTTTTTTTTAGTTGAGTCAACATATATTTTTCGTTCATCTTAAACGGATGTCACTCAAAAAATGAATTTTGGCCTCTTGTTAAAATAATTAATTAAAATAAGCAAAAGTAACATGATTGTTTAAACGGTTAGTTCACCCCAAAATGAAAATTCTGTCAGTATTTACTCGCCCTCATGTTGTTTCAACCCCGTAAGACCTTCGTTCATCTTCCGAACACAAATTAAGATATTTAAGATATTAAGATCGCTCCTGCATACAGTCCATAGGCTTCTTGAGGGACTGGCTCTTGCTGTCCTCGAAAAGTCATTAAAGACATCGTTAAAATAGTCCAAGTGACTACAGGGGCTCAATCTTAAGTTTATCAAACGACGAGAACACTTTTGTGCGCAAAAAAAACAACAAAAATAATGACTTTATTTCAACTATTGGTTTATTTCTCCCTCTGCGCGAGTCAGGTTACTAGTTTAATAGCGTAAGCTTCTGTTATTGTACGTCACACGCATCACACACATGACCAGCGTCGGCCAATAGTGAGCCTACGTGTGACGTAGCTCTACGCAATCACACTACGTTAACTGACTACAGGCCAATAGAGGAGGAAGTGAATAGTTGAAATAAAGTCGTTATTTTTGTTTGTTATTGCGCACAAAAATGTTCTCGTCGTTTGATAAACTTAAGATTGAGCCCCTGTAGTCACTTGGACTATTTTAACGATGTCTTTAATGACTTTTCGAGGACAGCAAGAGCCAGTCCCTCAAGAAGCCTATGGACTGTATGCAGGAGCGATCTTAATATCTTAAATATCTTCATTTGTGTTGTGAAGATGAACGAAGGTCTTACGGGGTTGGAACAACATGAGGGCGAGTAAATACTGACAGAATTTTCATTTTGGGGTGAACTAACCCTTTAATATTATCACAACTTAATTTAATTGTGTTCAATCAACCTAATTCATTTGTGTGAAATCTACACGAATCATTGTTGTTGACATCTAACTGGACAGTGGATCTGTAGTTCCCAGCATGCTTTGCAAGGGACTGCATTAAGAGTGTCAATTTATGGAAAAAGTGTTATTTTGTGTGTTTTTCAGTAAATGGAAAGATGTTGCTAGTTAATGTTAGTGTTTAATGTTCAGTTATGTTAGAAACTTAGAGTACTTTCTGTAATGTTTTTGAATTTTGTGGTTCCCATTATGCAGAAGAGTGGTGACTGTGTTTGGGTCAGTATTGTGTTCAGACTCAATATTACACTATATTTGCTTTAAACCTCCAGTTCAGGTTGTTGGTACTCTGTATGCACTATGTGTAAACCTCACTCATAGTCCTACACAAGTAATATAATATTACTACGTAAAACATGATTTAATTCAATTGAACAATAACATTAGATGTGATCATAGAGTCAAAATAACTAAAATAATAATGTTGGTGAATTAAGGCAGGACAAAACTAAATGTAGTTAACCTGACAAAATAGTAGCAATGACTAAATTAATTTAAATTCATATAACAAGATTACAACAAATTATTTCAAACTAATTTGAATTTGTTGGAAAAATGTAATTCAATTTTGTGGAAAACCTTTCCTTAATTTAATTAAGTTCATTCAACAGATTATTTTTTTGAGTGATACGTGTCGCCGTCATACACATCAGCATAAATATCTACTCCTGATAAATTATTTGTTATTAAAGCAATAACACACAAACCACCGTTATAACATAAAAACAAGCAGGCTAGTCATGCATGGTTTGGCACGACTGCGCGCAAAGTGCTCCCGTAATAATTCCTAAAAAGCTGACATCAGTTCATCGCAATCTCACACATCTCTGTTATTATCAATGAATATTTCATAATATCCACTCTTTGTTTGTTATAATTCGAGGATTTTCCAGCACACAGAATTCATCACTGAACAAAAAGTCAGTTTTGAGCGGTGAGGAAAGTCTATCGTAAATGCTTCTGATTGGCCATTGCGTTCAAGAAATCAACACATATGTCTGTGATTGGCTACATCGCTCAACGCTGCAAACATGTGATGAATAGAAACTCTGGCCTATAAATCATTTCTATTTCGTTCTAGTTGTTGTTGTTGCTTTTCTGGATTTTTTTTTTTCTTAATTTTTATGTTTTATTCATAGATATATCTAGTCCCGCAAATCGTTTTATTCTCCCTCAACCCGAACACACAGTGAAATTAAAAATATATCTGTCAGTAAATAAATATGAGTTAATTTGAGTTTGTCTGGTTAACCCGTCTTGATGAAGAGACAATCCAATGCTTTTATTAATGGTGAGTCTGTGACCTCCTACACCTGTGCTGATGCTGTAAAATTATACACAATATAATTAATGCATATAATTACGAGAGAATGTAAAAGCATTGAAATATATTTTGTCCTCCCATCTCATATTTTTTCTCCATCACCATGTCCCTTTATGGACCCCGTAGAACGCGTCATTTCCTTTCTGAACATAGTATTCGGCTTCAGACACATCCCTAATAAACACCAACTGAAATCTGATTGTGTGTTATGAAAAGTGCAGAAATAAAACTAAAGATTTCTGTGTTTGTTGCTGAAAGCATCTTTAATTATTTTCCTCATTTCTGTGTTTCAGGGGTTGATGGTCTGTGGGATTGGGGAGTGAATTACAGTCCTTCATATGTTTGTGCATTAAAGGGATCAACAGTGACAATATCCTGTACTTTAACAGATCCTCAGCGTTATGAACTCATCAAAGGTTTCTGGACTAAACCTGTTGTAGGAGAATCACCTGATCTGTGTTCAGATCCAGAGAAGAGAGGAGGGATTCAGTGTTTGAGTGAAAATATAAACACTAACAGTCTCACTTTGATGAATGTAACAGAAGCTGATGAACTCGTCTACTACTGCAGATTTATAGACGGGCAGAATAGATGGACAGTGATTCCTGGATCTTGGCTTGATGTCACAGGTAAAACTACTGAACTCTCAGAAATAAAACACAGAAACATTTTATTAGCTTTTGAATAAACTATCATCTGTGCCACAGAAACATCATGTTTATATATAACTGATTCAGTTTAGTGTTTAATATTATCACTGTATTATTATCTCCACGCTATGATCATGTGAAGTGATTGAATCAGTTGTTGTTGATGATGATGATGTTGTTGTTGTTGTTGTTGATGATGATGATGTTGTTGTTGTTGATGTTGTTGTTGTTGTTGTTGTTGTGTCAGACCTGCAGGTGGAGACACAGGAGAGAGTGAAATATGGAGATTCAGTCAGTCTGAGATGTAAAAGCAGCTGCTCTCTGCCTCAACAAACAACATTCATCTGGTCCAGAAACACACAGAGATTTGCTGATCGAAAAGGGAATCAGCTTTATCTGCGGTCAGTCAATCGTTCTGATGCTGGAAACTACAGATGTGGCGTTACTGGACATCAACATCTGATCTCTCCTGCTGTTTATCTTAATGTTGAATGTGAGTACAAATGATTCATTAATATTAGTGAAATATTCCACAGATTATTCAGAGTTTAGTTCAGATTTGTTTGGTAATGTCAGGCCCGATCATATAGACTTCATGACATTTTTATTTATTAGACATGAACCCCTTTAACGAACATAGATCTCGGACGGCCCCTGATTATTGTGGTTCATTCTCCTCACGTCACGACAAACTGAGTATCATTAGAAAGATTAAAGACTCCAGCTTCAGTGTTTGACCTCTGTTTATGATAAAACAAGGTTGCAATGACATTCATTTCTTAATTTATGTCAGAAGAGCAAAGTAATCAATCTGTAATTTTTGATATTTTGAACAGAATAAAAACACACACTCATATTGAGTCACGTCTGCTCAGGTTTATTTGTGTTTCAGCTTCACTGAACAGCATCTGTTAGCGTGTGATTTTCATGCAGTTTGGGATATTTTCATATTAATAATGAATGTTTACATTATAAATGCTGAGATGTAGCCTGCTTACATGCATATAAAATGTTATAAAACATATTTCAACATCATTATAATCCATATTAGATCGCGATCAGAAGTTAATTCAAAAACTCAATGGTTGTTTAAAGTGAGTTTTGAGTAAAAGTGTTATAATATTTATCTTTTATATTGTATGTATCTCGACTGCTCCTGCTGGGCCAGCAGTTTTTATTACATAATCTAATTTGTTAAATAATTCACACAAGAATATGCTTATTTTAGTTTTCTAGAAAGACTTCAGGTGTATTAGTGAGATTGAAGTGGTGTAGATGCACTGTAAAACATTGCTGGGAAAAAATGGCTCAATTCTGAAAGAAACATTGTCCATTAAAACATGAATCTGTGTTTAATAAGATTTTTATTTTATGAATTATTTTACAATTCTTTAAATATAATTTTGTGTTATTAATTCTGCAGCAGTTCACATGTAGATTTGCTTTTTCATTTAGATTTCTACTTAAAGATAAACGTCAGTAAAATAATAAAGTTAATGGAAGGTCATGGCTTGAATAAAGTAATTATTTTCATATTTTATATTTCTTTCAGATCCTCCTCAGAGCGTGTCAGTGTCCATCAGTCCATCTGGTGTAATAGTGGAGGAAGATTCAGTGACTCTGAAGTGCATCAGTGACTCAAACCCTCCGGCTCTGAACTTCAGCTGGTTTAAGGAGAATGAAACCTCAGCTGTTGGATCTGGACAGAGTTTCAGCATCTCCAGCTTTAACTCCAGTTTCAGTGGACGCTTCTACTGTGAGGCTCAGAATAAATATGGATCTGGGAGATCAGCTTCTGTGTCTCTCACTGTTAACGGTATTTTCTATAATCAGACACTCTTTCAGTTTCTTCGTCTCGCGTGTGAAATGATCTTCATGATCATCTTGTTTCAGGGGTTCAGAGAGATGCTCTCCTCACAGTTTCTGGGATCGTGGCGGGATGCGGAGGATTGATCTTCATCATCGTCATCATCATTGTGTTCATAAAGTAAGTGAAGTTGATCTGCTCACTAAATATAATTCACACACAAAAAAATCAATCTTAAATCAAATGGATATATTATAATTTTCTCTCTGTTTTCAGGAGGATGAAGAGGAGAGAAGGTGGAACTGAAGACGAGAATCAAAAGCGGGCGAGTCTGCAAACACACACACCTCTATCTACGACTGCAAGACTGTGTATTTGCATTGAACTATGAACACAACAGTGTGTATGAAGCAATATAAGTGTGTAAATCTTTCTCTATAGGCGGCTGACGCGAGTGATGATACATACACAGCTCTGGATCCAGCGTCCAGAACATCTGCTGACGTTTACAGCACAATCACAGTCAGTAAATGTCTCAAACACACTTTTCCACTCAGATTCAGCAGATCCACACATAAAGCGTCTGTTGTTGATCTCTCTCACAGTCTGTTCAGTCCAGATCTCCTGATGACACCTACACGACTCTTGATCTTCAGTCCAGATCTTCTGAATATGAGACTCTAGCAGTGACTTCAGCAGATCCACATTAAACTGTATTACTGCTAATATACAGGACCATCTGATGCTCCTCACACTGATAATCCATCATTATGAGCTCATAAACATCATTATCAATAACATTATGATTTCTCTGTGTATTCTGTATTAGTCTTGCAACTCTATATTTTAGCCTGCATATTTATGTTTGTGCTGCATATGCAAATGCATTTTAGGAGAAAACTTGATCATTCAAATATTTAAAGTAACATCGCAATAATATGTAGTCTGCTTCACTGGAGTATTGAAATGTTGTTTATGTATATCAATTTCACAGCTAAACAGTATTTTAATATTAAACGCAGTAAAATCTGTATCTGAATGTATGAAAGTCTCAGTGTTTGTCTGACTCTGTTGACTGGATTTTGTTCAACTGTATATTTAATGGAGGAACCTAATATTGTTTGTATTGTTTTAAAGACCAGCATCTCAAATAAACATGCGTCTCGTCGCTGACGTGTGTTTTGTCATTATGACTGATATTTCATGTGTGTGTCCAGACTGCCATCTAGAGGATATTAGTCACACTCATAAACGTTGCCTATAGGTTTTTATGAAAGGAACATGCCACTGTTTATTGAAATGGGTCATTCACCGTCTCCCCTTCATTTAGATAGGAGGGCAAACGCATTGTCTCAGTGCATACAGGGCCGACTCGAGCCGTTTGATTGCCCAATGCGAGATTGAGATAGCGGTGATTTATAAAATGCAGATGCAAAAATGCTACAAAGAATATTAACAAATTATGACTCAAACAAAAATGCTCTTATTGTGACTCCAACACTTCAACAAGCAAATTATGACTTCACAGCAAAATCTCCAGTGTAAATTAACACTGAGAAATGTGAATTATATAAACTGATGAGAGTGTTAAAGTTAATGAGATAATTAAGTGAATAATTGAGTGATGATTGAGCATTATTGAAGACACCTGATGATAACAAGCAGAATCACTAAAGGAGAAATCATCCAATGAATTATATAATAAACAGATTTTAGTCACTCATTTGGTTTTGAGTCCAAATTAAATGTTTGTTTGGTTTTGTTTCTCATTGTCTTGGGCCTCAAAAGTGGATTTAGATGATCTTATAGTTCAATTTCCATTACGTTGAAACTGCTAAAACACCTCAGTGTGTTTGATACGCGTCCTCACTGTGTTTTTTGGTTATAGTATAATCTGAGATGTAGGATTGGCGACACATTGTCTGGCAGATGAAGCGAAATAACCAGATATTGTCCTAAAAGTACCAGTAATTGGCTGCTGACGGGTGTTCATTTCCCATCCTGACTGTATAAACCTTGATTCATTTTTAATACATCATCATTATAATTCAAATGAAGCACACATTAGCTTCTCCTATTTACATTATGGATTTATATAAACACATATTGAACAATATAGAAGAAAATACAACTTTAGTAACTTTTATTACTTCTAAAATCAACATGCCGCAGAATCAGATGTAAAAGCTGCTGTAATGGCAGTAAAGTGCACTGGATCTTTTTGGCCACTAGATGCCAGTAAAGTCAATGGGAGTGCAGGAAAGATGTGAGTAATGGATGTAATTCCTCTATTTCGAGAGGCTGTTCACTGCAGAGCCGTGGGTGGAGAGAGAAGTTCAGCTCTTCTCTCTGGATGTAATGTGTGTGTAATGGAGCGAGACGGTCCAACAACACCCTAACCGACCCATAACTCTCTCCCTCCACCCATTAGATCCACTGAGGAGGAGCTGGACGGCATTCGGCTCTGCAGTGAACAGCACTATAGTTAGTATATGTGTTGCTTCATGCGTTAAACACAGAGTTTGTGCCAGAAAGAGGAAGTGAAACTAAGAGCTGTAAAGATGCTGTTCAGACGCTCCTGCAGACTTGATGAGCATCTTTACTCTGTTTTAACATCTTTAAACATCTTTCACATATTCTCTCACAAAGAATAGTGAGCTCAGAGATAAAACTTGTTGTGTTTGACATCTGAGACGTTAACAGTCTTCTCCAGTTGTTCTTGTGTATTTGAGATGACGGTCACTCATAACTAGGAAGAGGAAGACCAACATTTAGCTGAACTTTATAAAGTGTGAAAACTGCAGCGTTTGACACATTAAACTGCGGATGTTTTTCTCATTCGGGCGTCGACACTGAAACATCGACACTTCAGAGCGGTAAGAGCATTTTTACTGTTATTTAAAAGAATTTATAAAACTGTTTTAGATGAATGTTGATTTGATGAAGTGATTTTGACTCCAGAAGCTCAATATCTGTTGTAGATTCATGTGTAAATATTGTGTGAAGCTCTTTAGACACGAGGCCTGACATGAGAAACATCATCAATGAGCCGTGAATTATTAATAATCATGTGCTGTATCTATCAAACAGAGTTTGTGATGTTGTAGATGATGGTCATAATGTCATAATTGTCAGTTTTCTGATTGCAGAAGTCACGATGGTGTCGTCTCTCATAAAGTCTCTTCCTCTGATCGTAGTGATCATGACTGCGGGTGAGTCTTCAGTTTCACTCACACATATTTAACAAAAGATGATTGAGCTCTTCACACTTATAAACGGACATGAGAGTTTCACTGTCAGCTAATATAAAAATGGTCAAAAGTGAAAAGATATTTTACACCTGAAAGCCTCTTCATTCCTCATTTCTGTGTTTCAGGGGCTGATGGTCAGGATTGGGGAGTGAATTACAGTCCTTCACGTGTTTGTGCATTAAAGGGATCAACAGTGACAATATCCTGTACTTTAACACATCCTCCTGGTTATGAGGTCAGAAGAGCTTTCTGGACCAAAACTGGACAATCACCTTATCTGTGTTCAGACCCAGAGAAGAGAGGAGGGATTCAGTGTAACAGTGAATATAATGAAGACACTTCCAGCATCACTTTGACGGTTGTAACAGAAGCTGATAAACACATCTACTACTGCAGATTTACTACAAATAAACTGGATGGAAAATGGACGGGGGTTCCTGGAGTTCAGCTTGACGTCACAGGTAAAACTACTGAACTCTCAGAAATACACCACAGAAACACACAAACACACACATCAAGCACTTCCTTATATCACTGAATCTGCCAGATGACCTTCTGTAGATATTTTATAAAGTGTCCTGATGGCTCTTGTTCATATAATGACAGTCGAGCTTTAATTGTCCTAAAATGATGTGACTTTTGACTGATATTCCAAGTGTTGTGAAGATGTACAATAGAGTTCATCAAGCCCAAGTCTTTATGGGACCCTAAGCAGAATTTTATTTGGGGGCCCATGGTGCCGGTCGCCAATATGATTGACTATTGTCAATGCTTGATTATTCTCAGACTACAAAACTCATCCATTATCCATTTTATTAGTTGTGTTTCTAACATCAATGTGTGCCTGCATGCTTTTATAGACCTTATGTAGCCCCGCCCCTTTTTAGCACTGCACTTGTTGTCTTGACTTCCGGTCTGTATTTTCACAGCAATCGTGCATAGGTATGAATGAACTTGTTAAGACATCTGCTTTACAATGCTTATGATAAACATTACAATGCTCATGATAACTTTTGTAAACTCTATAATAAGTAAATCCACTTCACCAGCTAATTACTCCTCGACAGCGATGCCATAGAAATATACAGAACCGGAAGTTCAAAGACAATATTCTAAGATGACGGCGCCCGCGTTTCTCTGGTGCATAAGATCTATACGGTTTCAGATTGTAACAGTAGCAAACCCACAAGAGTGGCCAGGTCTTATTTTGCACTTTAATATTCCACGTACTAAGTAGTTTACTGGTCCATGTATACTATAGGCTGCTGTCCCGCTTCTAACAAAGTGACAGACACATCTGATTACTTGGTAACACTTTACAATACGTGTGCACTAATAAGCATTAATTCATGCTTAACTAATGCACAGATAATAATACTGAATTAATGTGTAACTAATGATTATCTAAGCTATTCATTAATGATTACCACATTAGGAACTAATTAAGAGTCTGTAAGGTTAATGTATCAGTTCATACATGAATTGTTTTTAATTAAATATTTAATTGTGGATTAATTCCATAATAACTAATTTTTTTTAACTAATAGTGTTAATTAATATGTTAATTACCAGAATGAGCCAAGCCTTGTATTTCAACTTCCAGATAATATGACAGGTACACTAATATGCATTAATACATGATTAATTACTTAATTGTTAGTGCAAATTCATGTGAAAATTACTACAATTACTAAATGACTAGTTAATAATGATGTGCCTCAACAAGTAAAGTCATAACATAATGATACCTTTGCAAATCATTAGCTAATGATTAATTAAAGCAGACAACTGGAAGTTGAAGTGCATAGCTTTGACTAATTGTGGTAATTAACACATTAATTTACACTATTAGTTAATAAAATATGTTATTAAGGAATTAATACACAATGACACATTGAATTAATATCAATTCATATATTACTTAATCTATTAATCATATTGACTCTTTATTAGTTGCTGATGCAGTAATCGTTAATTAATGGTTTAGTTGTTCATGAGTTATACATTAACTCATGATTATCTGTGTATTAGTTAAAGTCCCAGTGAAGTCAAAATTAAGTATGTGTTCTGAGTTTGTCACACCACAGAAAAATGTGTAATTAGCCACCCAGCCAAATTTGAATGATAAAAAAAGTCGGGAAGTACATAAAATAAGCAATCAAAATCATGAAAAAATGAGCAGATTCTCTGCTCTCAAACGCTGGGGGCGTGTCCGCTGGCTGCGCTGAAACCACGCCCACTCACGGGAAAGCTGTTGATGGAGATATTAGCTGATTAGCTTTTGGAGACGGGAGGATGAAAGCTGAGGCGGGAGATCATCGTTTCGGCCCCGTTCACCAGTAACAGCGGATTATCAGTGAATCCAAGTTGTCTCTGAGGAAAGTTTATAAAACGATCCAGTGTAAAATGATCACTACAGAGGCGGGTGTTGGGGGTGATCCTCGAGCTCTTCATCAAGGTAACGTTAGGCTCTCTAAAAACCTCTTCTTGATGTGATCGTTTTTAGGGGAATTTAAATGAAGATACCGATCTGTTTTGTACATGATCGCATCCAGGTAGTAGCCTATGTATGTCCATGTCGAAGGCATAGCTAGCTAGAAAACTGTAGGATCAGCTGTAGTAACTAATAGTACTGACAGTCGTTAGCGATTGAGCGGTGAATGCGAATATGTTCGGGGAGTGTGTGTGGAGAGAGGGAGATCAGACTCTGTGCGTCATCAAATAGGGGCGTGTCCAGCAGCTCATGGGTTCCAGTGCGTCACAGAGCCCTGTTTTAGCCCCGCCTAATTAATCCGTCAAATTGCAATGGTGAAAAACTGTTTAACGGTCTAACTCCACATTTCAGTACTTCACAGTTCAGAGACTTTGTAATATGTTTTAGCAATACATATGTAACATTTATAATGTGTTTAGAACTTTTTTGTAGAATTGACTTTACAGGGACTAATGCATGAATTAATGCATATTAGTGCACCCGTATTGTAAAGTGTTACGATTTCTTTCACTGTAGACATCACCAATTGTGTTTATGTAAATCCTGTGTGTATTTGACTGTATTTGCTCAATCAGACACAATAGAGATAAAGTCCGGTAATCGGCACGGTTTGACAGGTTTTTAGTGTGCGCACTCAGTGTGTAAGTGCACAAAAAAAAAAAAAAAAAAAACGCATGTCAGAACAGCACTCAAATTAAATTTTTAACCGGAAAGGCTTTTGTGGTACTCAAAATTGTATTAACATGTTTAATTTAGATTTCCAATACAATAGTGTTTTAGATGGGGGAAGTTTCTAAAATAATGAGACCAGGAAATCTCTGCAAATGGTAGAAGTTTCCCAGTGGGATATACTCCTGACTGTCCTGTGAAGTGCGAGAGGGACAGGCCTTTCCTGTTTTTCTTTTATCTCATCGGGGAAGACTCCTGCTGAGCAGGTTTGAACATCTGCTAGTTTGATTGCCAGGAACGTTTGTCTCTAGTGATAGTATAGTTGTGAGTATAGAAACTAACCACTAGGTGTCAGAAGAGCGCCTACTGTGAAGTTGTGAACCTCGCTTTCCAGGCACAATAGCAGCGAGCACACACTGGCGTGAAGCTAACGAGTGTTTTTACTTCATTCATGGATCTTGATCTTGTGTGAGCCAAGCTCAACTTCCATAACGAACTAAAATCGCTCGGTGTGCTCCGCTCGCGCTGCACCAGTGTGTGCCAAATACTGGTGTGCACGTGTCGTTAAACAGTAGACATGGTGACGGAAAGGTTAGATGTTGACTCATTCAAATCGGAGCTGTGGCGGCATTTTGACTTTCCGTAGACTAATAATAATCACCAATGTGAGAAGCACCAGTCACCTCCGTTTTCATGTAAAAGTCATTAATACGACAACTGCGAGAGCCACGGAGATCACCAGGTGCATCAGTGTTTCTGATAATGTTGTTGATGATGTTGTGTCAGACCTGCAGGTGGAGACACAGGAGAGTGTGAAAGAGGGAGATTCAGTCAGTCTGAGATGTAAAAGCAGCTGCTCTCTGCCTCAACAAACAACATTCATCTGGTCCAGAAACACACAGAGATTTGCTGATCGAAAAGGGAATCAGCTTTATCTGCGGTCAGTCAATCGTTCTGATGCTGGAAACTACAGATGTGGCGTTACTGGACATCAACATCTGATCTCTCCTGCTGTTTATCTTAATGTTGAATGTGAGTACAAACTGATTCATTAATATTAGTGAAATATCCCACAGATTATTCAGAGTTTAGTTCAGATTTGTTTGGTAATGTCAGGCCCGATCATATAGACTTCATGACATTTGTATTTATTAGACATGAACCCCTTTAACGAACATAGATCTCGGACGGCCCCTGATTATTGTGGTTCATTCTCCTCACGTCACGACAAACTGAGTATCATTAGAAAGATTAAAGACTCCAGCTTCAGTGTTTGACCACTGTTTATGATAAAACAAGGTTGCAATGACATTCATTTCTTAATTTATGTCAGAAGTGCAAAGTAATCAATCTGTAATTTTTGATATTTTGAACAGAATAAAAACACACACTCATATTGAGTCACGTCTGCTCAGGTTTATTTGTGTTTCAGCTTCACTGAACAGCATCTGTTAGCGTGTGATTTTCATGCAGTTTGGGATATTTTCATATTAATAATGAATGTTTACATTATAAATGCTGAGATGTAGCCTGCTTACATGCATATAAAATGTTATAAAACATATTTCAACATCATTATAATCCATATTAGATCACGATATGAAGTTAATTCAAAAACTCAATGGTTGTTTAAAGTGAGTTTTGAGTAAAAGTGTAATATTTATCTTTTAAATTGTATGTATCTCGACTGCTCCTGCTGGACCAGCAGCTTTTATTGCATAATCTAATTTGTTATAGAATTCACACAAGAATATGCTTATTTTAGTTTTCTAGAAAGACTTCAGGTGTAGTGAGATTGAAGTGGTGTAGATGCACTGTAAAACCTTGATGTGAAAAAATGGCTCAATTCTGAAAGAAACTTTGTCCATTAAAACATGAATCTGTGTTTAATAAGATTTTTTTTTGTGAATATTTAGTTTATAATTCTTTAAATATAATTTTGTGTTATTAATTCTGCACCAGTTCAGATGTAGATTTGCTTTTTCATTTAGATTTCTACTTAAAGATAAACGTCAGTACAACAATAAAGATAATGGAAGGTCATGGCTTGAATAAAGTAATTATTTTCATATTTTAAATATATTTCAGATCCTCCTCAGAGCGTGTCAGTGTCCATCAGTCCATCTGGTGTAATAGTGGAGGGAGATTCAGTGACTCTGAACTGCATCAGTGACTCAAACCCTCCTGCAGAAATAAACTGGATTAAAGAAGGAAAATTGCTGCAATCTGGCGACACCTTCAGCCTCATTAATATTAAATCTGAGGCCAGTGGACACTATCATTGCTCTGCTAGAAATATACATGGATATTCGACCTCTGCTGTTGTGACAGTGAATGTCATGTGTAAGTCTGCCTTGATTTTAGACCAGGTCGGGATGATTATTTGCTCTATTATCGTGTCATTTGACACTTTTTGTCTCTTTCAGACGCACCAAGAAACGTCTCAGTGTCCATCAGTCCATCTGGTGTAATAGTGGAGGGAGATTCAGTGACTCTGAAGTGCATCAGTGACTCAAACCCTCCTGCTGTGAACTTCAGCTGGTTTAAGGAGAATGAAACCTCAGCTGTTGGATCTGGACAGAGTTTCAGCATCTCCAGCTTTAGCTCCAGTTTCAGTGGACGCTTCTACTGTGAGGCTCAGAATAAATATGGATCTGGGAGATCAGCGTCTGTGTCTCTCACTGTTAACGGTAGTGCAGTTTCTGGGATCGTGGCGGGATGTGGAGGATTGATCTTCATCATCATCATCATCATCATGTTCATAAAGTGAGTGAATGTTGAGAAGCTCCTGCATTAATGCAACATTTGTTGAACTAAAGCCACCATGAAAAAAAATTAAACGTTTCTTACAATAAAATAATTTTCAGTACTTTCTAACAAAGACATGTTTTCTCCAGGAAGAAGAGGAGAGACGGTGGAGCTCAAGTCATCAGACAAAACCAGGCCAGTTTGATAATAACACACCTGAATCTACACATGGATATTATATTTAACGACAAAGAGCATGTACTGCCAAATATTTGACACAAAGACAATCTGAAAAACATCATGTAACTCGTTTCTGAATGATTGATCTGTTGTTGATATTTTATTTGACGAAACTGCAGGAGGATCACGTCGACAGATCAGCAGAAACGCCTTCGACCAATGACGAGCCAGTGTATTCACTAGTATCAGCCAATCCGAGGGAGGATCTGTATGCCAAAATCCCAGCTAAGAAACCCGAACGCTCCGGGAGAAAACACACAGAAACAGACTCTGGAGATGTTAATGAGGTTCAGTATGCCAGTGTCTATCACTTCAAGAACAAACACATGAAGACTGAAGAGTACGACTGCATTGAGATGCATCATCCGCCTGAAGCCAACAGGTGAGAGATGTCATTTCAAGCCAAATAACACATATTCAGCTCTTGTTTTGTGTTGTTAAGATCTCTTGAAACGCCACATTATTTTTCTTTCATTTCTTCCCAGATCTGAGGATGTGATCTACAGCTCAGTCAAGTAAACATCATGTGATCGCAGCCGTTTCCTATTGATGCCGATGGGAGACCTGGGTTTGAGTCCAGCTCAGGTCATGTTTCCATCTCACTGTCCTCTTGATTTCACTTTTACACATTTATTGGACTGTTTTGCTGTTTAGACATGAATGGGTTTCTGTTTCTAATGAGCTTTTTTATTATTATCTGAATTGATTGTCAGTATCACAATTATACACACACACACACACACACACACACACACACACACACACACACACACACACACACCTGTAATAGTAAATGCCTTTAGCTCTCACTTTGTAAATTCAATGCAGAACATATGTTTCCTCTTCTCTCGTCATACTGTGTGATTTTACTGCTAAATACATTAAATCTGAACATTGTCTGAAAGTCTAGTTTCATTGTCATGAATATTTTGCACATTTTACACCCAACTCTAATGTACTGGGTATTGTCTTTTTCATATTTTTCATTAATTGTAAAAAATACTGTAAACGGTGGGGTTGTTAAATTTAAAGCACCACTGACACATTTTTTTTTCTTCAAAATTATAAACATTTTAATAATGAGGGAATTCGTTGTGAAACCATCTTACAAACCATGTGTTGATGTCACAGGCGGAGAGAAAATCCACTTTAATGAAAAGACTCCACATGAAAAGACAGGAACAACGAATCTAAAATACAAACACGAACATCATACAACACAAAACGACGACTAGCAAGTATGACCAACTGTGTATGGTTTAAACACACAGAGAAATGAGTGGACAGTTTACAACAGGTGGAAATAATGAAGAAACTTACACGCAAACCAAGAGAAACTGAAACCAATACACTTCAACATAAGTCCGTACACTCTCAGAAAAAAGGTTTGAAAGCTGTCACTGGAGGTAGCTGTACATTTTCAAAAGGTACACTTTTGTCCATTTTAGGTACTAATTTTTACGTTTTATGTGCTAATATATACATTTTATGTGCTAATATGTACATTTCAGGTGCTAATATGTACATTTCATGTACTAATATGTACATTTTAAGTGTTTTAATATGTACATTTTAGGTGCTAAAGGTGCTAATATGTACATTTTAAGTGCTAATAGGTGCTAATATGTACATTTCAGGTACTAATATGTACAGTTTAAGTGTTGATATGTTCATTTTAGGTGCTAATATGTACATTTCAGGTACTAATATCTACATTTTAAGTGTTGATATGTACATTTTACATGTTAATATGTAAATTTCAGGTACTAATATGTACATTTTAAGTGTTGATATGTACATTTTACGTGTTAATATGTAAATTTCAGGTACTAATATGTACATTTTAAGTGTTGATATGTACATTTTACGTGTTAATATGTAAATTTCAGGTACTAATATGTACATTTTAAGTGTTGATATGTACATTTTAGGTGCTAATAGGTGCTAAAATGTACATTTCAGGTACTAATATCTACATTTTAAGTGTTGATATGTACATTTTACATGTTAATATGTAAATTTCAGGTACTATGTACATTTTAAGTGTTGATATGTACATTTTAGGTGCTAATATGTACCATTAAGGTACCAATATGCACCCTTAAGGTACAAAAGTGTACCTTTTGAAAAGGTACAACCCAGTGACAGCTTTTGTACCTTTTTTTCTGAAAAGACACAGAACCGGGATCTCGACATAGCCCCCCTTCAAAGGACACCAGACGCACCAAAACAGTGTGTACGGAGGGATGAAGTGTGTACGAAATTATTGTTTGCCCGACTCAGAATCCACTCCAAAGAATATGACCAGCATCTCAAATAAACATGCTTCTCGTCGCTGACGTGTGTTTTTTCATTATGACTGATTTTTCATGTGTGTGTCCAGACTGCCATCTAGAGGATATTAGTCACACTCATAAACGTTGCCTATAGGTTTTTATGAAAGGAACATGCCAGTGTTTTTTGAAATGGGTCATTCACCGTCTCCCCTTCATTTAGATAGGAGGGCAAACGCATTGTCTCAGTGCATACAGGGCCGACTCGAGCCGTTTGATTGCCCAATGCGAGATTGAGATGGTGATTGCGGTGATTTAGCTATTATCACTCTAATAAAATGCAGATACAAAAATGCTACAAAGAATATTAACAAATTATGACTCAAACAATGGATGAACAAACAAAAATGCTCTTATCGTGACTCCAACACTTCAACAAGCAAATTATGACTTCACAGCAAAATCCCCAGTGATAAATTAACACTGAGAAATGTGAATTATATAAACTGATGAGTGTAGAGTGTTAAAGTTAATGAGATATTAAAGTGAATAATTGAGTGATGATTGAGCATTATTGAAGACACCTGATGATAACAAGCAGAATCACTGAAATCATCCAATGAATTATAAACAGATTTTAGTCACTCATTTGGTTTTGAGTCCAAATGAAATGTTTGTTTGTTTTTGTTTCTCATTGTCTGGGGCCTCAAAAGTGGATTTCACGACCAAGTCGTACGAATTCGACGAATGATTAAAAAGTGGCTAATTCGTAACAATTCATACGACCTCACTCGTACGAATTAATACGATTTTGCTAAATCGTACATATTTTACGAATTGGCCAATTCGTATGAATTCGTACTTTGACCTACCCCTGACCCCGCCCCTAAACATAACCATCACGTGGGTTTAGACAAATCGTACGAATTACTACGAGTGAGGTCGTATGAATTGTTACGAATTAGACACTTTTTAATCATGCGTCGAATTCGTACGAATTGGTCGTGAGATAGTGTTGGATTTAGATGAAATTAGTTCAATTTCCATTACGTTGAAACTGCTCAAACATCTCAGTGTGTTTGATACGCGTGTCCTCGCTGTGTTTTGTGGATAAAGTATAATCTGAGATGTAGGATTGGCGACACATTGACTGGCAGATGAAGCGAAATAACCAGATATTGTCCTAAAAGTACCAGTAATTGGCTTCTGACGGATGTTAATTTACCATCCTGACTGTATAAACCTTGATTCATTTACATATGTGCATTTCATATGAAGCACACAATAGCTTCTATTTACATGATTGATTTATATAAACACATATTGAACAATATAGAAGAAAATACAACTTTAGTAACTTTTATTACTTCTAAAATCAACATCATGTCGCAGAATCAGATGTAAACGCTGCTGTAATGGCAGTAAAGTGCACTGGATCTTTTTGGCCACTAGATGCCAGTAAAGTCAATGGGAGTGCAGGAAAGATGTGAGTAATGGATGTAATTCCTCTATTTCGAGAGGCTGTTCACTGCAGAGCCGTGGGTGGAGAGAGAAGTTCAGCTCTTCTGTCTGGATGTAATGTGTGTGTAATGGAGCGAGACGGTCCAACAACACCCTAACCGACCCATAACTCTCTCCCTCCACCCATTAGATCCACTGAGGAGGAGCTGGACGGCATTCGGCTCTGCAGTGAACAGCACTATAGTTAGTATATGTGTTGCTTCATGCGTTAAACATAGATTTTGTGCCAGAAAGAGGAAGTGAAACTAAGAGCTGTAAAGATGCTGTTCAGACGCTCCTGCAGACTTGATGAGCATCTTTACTCTGTTTTAACATCTTTAAACATCTTTCACATATTCTCTCACAAAGATCTGATAATTGTGAGCTCTACAGATATAAAACTTGTTGTGTTTGACATCTGAGACGTTCACTTTCTTCTCCAGTTGTTCTTGTGTGGTTGAGATGACGGTCACTCATAACTAGGAAGAGGAAGACCAACATTTAGCTGAACTTTATTTAAGTGTGAAAACTGCAGCGTTTGACACATTAAACTGCGGATGTTTTTCTCATTCGGGCGTCGACACTGAAACATCGACACTTCAGAGCGGTAAGAGCATTTTTACTGTTATTTAAAAGAATTTATAAAACTGTTTTAGATGAATGTTGATTTGATGAAGTGATTTTGACTCCAGAAGCTCAATATCTGTTGTAGATTCATGTGTAAATATTGTGTGAAGCTCTTTAGACACGAGGCCTGACATGAGAAACATCATCAATGAGCCGTGAATTATTAATAATCATGTGCTTTATCTATCAAACAGAGTTTGTGATGTTGTAGATGATGCTCATAATGTCATAATTGTCAGTTTTATGATTGCAGAAGTCACGATGGTGTCGTCTCTCATAAAGTCTCTTCCTCTGATCGTAGTGATCATGACTGCGGGTGAGTCTTCAGTTTCACTCACACATATTTAACAAAAGATGATTGAGCTCTTCACACTTATAAACGGACATGAGAGTTTCACTGTCAGCTAATATAAAAATGGTCAAAAGTGAAAAGATATTTTACACCTGAAAGCCTCTTCATTCCTCATTTCTGTGTTTCAGGGGTTGATGTTCAGGATTGGGGAGTGAATTACAGTCCTTCATATGTTTGTGCATTAAAGGGATCAACAGTGAAAATATCCTGTACTTTAACACATCCTCGTGGTTATGAGGTCAGAAGAGCTTTCTGGACAAAAACTAGAGAACCGCATGACTTTTGTTCAGATCCAGAGATGAGAGGAGGGATTCAGTGTAACAGTGAATATAATAAAGACACTTCCAGCATCACTTTGACGGCTGTAACAGAAGCTGATGAACACATGTACTACTGCAGATTTATTACAGATAAACTGGATGGAAAATGGACGGGGTCTCCTGGAGTTCAGCTTAACGTCACAGGTAAAACTACTGAACTCTCAGAAATACACCACAGAAACACACAAACACACACATCAAGCACTTCCTTATATCACTGAATCTGCCAGATGACCTTCTGTAGATATTTTATAAAGTGTCCTGATGGCTCTTGTTCATATAATGACAGTCGAGCTTTAAATGTCCTAAAATAATGTGACTATTGACTGATATTCCACGTGTTGTGAAGATGTACAATAGAGTTCATCAAGAAACAAAGCAGAAAACTAAACTGTAATATGTTATTTAGCACAAATCCTCACTGCTGTTCTCAAACACCCTCAGACATGCAAATCAAGACTTTTACTCAGAATAAATTGCACTTTGGTTTCTTTCTCATCAAAGCTTGTCGTTTGCCCTCAGAACACTGAATATACAGCAGGAGTTGCATGAGAAAGTGTTTTGATGCTTTTATATTCATTTGAAAGCTTGGGGCAATCATTCATGTTGATGATGATGATGATGATGATGATGATGTTGTTGTTGTTGTTGATGATGATGTTGTGTTGATGCAACCCAGTCTCATCCCAAGACGTCATATAACTGACGTTTTGGGACGTCTTTTGACCATACGTCAATATTCGCCTTTTTAGGGTCCCTTAAACGTCGGTAGATGAGGTTATGGGATCCTAACTCTACCCCAGACCTAAACCTAACCCTAAACCTAACCCGTCACCTAACTGACGTTAAAGGTAAAGCGTCAGTTGTATGACGGCCCGGGATCACCATCCACCGACGTTTAAGGGGGCCCTAAAAAGGCGGATATTGACGTATGGTCAAAAAACGTCCCAAGACGTCAGTTATATGACTTTTTGGGATGAGACTGTGTTAGTTGATGATGTTGTTTATGTTGTTGTTGTTGTTGATGTTGATGATGTTGTTGTTGTTGTTGTGTCAGACCTGCAGGTGGAGACACAGCAGAGTGTGAAAAGGGGAGATTCAGTCAGTCTGACGTGTAAAAGCAGCTGCTCTCTGCCTCAACAAACAACATTCATCTGGTACAGAAACACAGATATTATTGCTGAACCACAGAGAATAACTAGAGGAATTGTGAAAGGGAATCAGCTTCATCTGTGGTCAGTCAGTTATAAAGATGAAGGAAACTACAGATGTGCTGTAAGAGGACATGAACATCTGATCTCTCCTGATGTTTATCTTCATGTTGACTGTGAGTACAAACTGATTCATTAACACTAAAGAAATATTTCACAAATTTTTTGGGGGATGTTAAGATTAAAAGATGAAAAATATTTAATATATTATATTATATTCATATTAATTTAGAATATAGAAAACCATTATATTAGTGTGATTGTATAAATTGACAATATGTTTAATCTTCTGTATATTAAATCATTCCCTTTTTTCTATTACAAAAATGAACAGAATATGAATCTATCAATTTGCCACTTCTATAATTCAAAGTCACATGACATAACTACATGAAGTTTCTCTGATAATCAGTTTAAATCAGTGTATTGTCTGTGTGCTGTTTGCCACTGCACTGGAAACAAATATTTAATGCTTTATCACAATTTTTTCACAAATCTTTTGTCAATTCAGCTTCGGCTCACAAACGTTGTTTAGATAACAGAAGTGGTTCAACGGACCCCAAAACCCACAGTTCTGATCATATTAGGTTTTTTTAATCCTGGATCTTAGACTCTCTATTTATTACTGAAAGCACACCAAAATGCTGCATATAACATGAAAAGTTGGTAGTTTGACAGTGGTTTTAAGCACTCCCGCTCCCCTCCACTAGGCGGGCCGTGACGTCATGAAAGGACTCCAAGCTTTTACTGTCTGGTCTCTGCTCCAAGCCTGAGTTATAACTGACGTTCTCAACTACTTTCTGTTACTTTCTCCCGCCCGCAACATTAATGTTTTGTCCCGCTCCCGCCTGTAAAAAGATTTTTGTTTCTGTACCTCCAAATACTTTCAAATTAGCAATGATTTTAGCTCTTTGTTCAATTTCATTAATTAAAATGAGCATACAACACAATCCTTCAAAGAAGTGATTCCAGCTTAATTTCATTAAATGTAATCAATGTAATCTTTTAAAAATTTGGTTTACCATTTTTTTTTAATTGAGTCAACATGAATATTTTTCGTTCATCTTAAACGGATGTCACTCAAAAAATGAATTTTGGCCTCTTGTTAAAATAATTAATTAAAATAAGCAAAAGTAACATGATTGTTTAATATTGTCACAACTTAATTTAATTGTGTTCAATCAACCTAATTCATTTGTGTGAAATCTACACGAATCATTGTTGTTGACATCTACTGGGCAGTGGATCTGTAGTTCCCAGCATGCTTTGCAAGAGACTGCATTAAGAGGGTCAATTTATGGAAAAAGTGTTATTTTAGGTGTTTTTCAGTAAATGGAAAGATGTTGCTAGTTAATGTTAGTGTTTAATGTTCAGTGATGTTAGAAACTTAGAGTACTTTCTGTAATGTTTTTGAATTTTGTGGTTCCCATTATGCAGAAGAGTGGTGACTGTGTTTGGGTCAGTATTGTGTTCATACTAAATATTACACTATATTTGCTTTAAACCTCCAGTTCAGGTTGTGGGTACTCAGTATGCACTATGTGTAAACCTCACTCACAGTCCTGCACAAGTAATATAATATTACTACGTAAAGCACGGTTTAATTCAATTGTACAATATCATTAGAAGTGACCATAGAGTCAAAATAACTAAAATAATAATGTTGGTGAATTAAGGCAGGACAAAACTAAATCTAGCGTACAGCGTTAGTTCAGGCAGGCCGCGTAGTCAAGCTCTGCTATCAGCTGATAACGGTCTATCAGCTGATCCGATGGATACGCCTTCAATTATAGTCTTTCAATCAAGGGCCTTATTTAAAGGCATCTTTTAGTCTATTGCTCAGTTGCTTCCACTGCATGCTCGCAAACATAGCTCTCGCAATACGATGAGATTACTCATATATTTTGCTGTAACGTTACTCACTCAACTGCTGATCATGTCTACCACCGCACATGATGAAGACCAATGGCAAGTTGAATCCATTGAAGAATCCCAGCAAACACTAAGTCAAGCAGAGGAAGCCTTTCAAGACGAAAGCAACGCTTCTGTTCGTCGGAGCTCTCGTCTTGCAAGTAAATCTTCTAGTCCTCCTAGCATCAATGATTGGCCATTGCCGAAGTTATTGGAAACTTTGTATAGGCACGATATCTCGGCACCGACTGGAGCTTCGCATAAAGAATTATTTGCTTTGCTCTGTGAAAAAAATTGACGTCTCGACAGCAGATCTTCCTCCTCCTCCTCCATTCTCCGGCAGAAAACAGCCGCAGAAGAGAAAGAACCTCGACCCGACTTCGTCTGATGTTGCACCAAAGCGGTCAGGTGGTCCTGTTGTCTCAAACCGAGGTGTCCACTCTTCTTCGGTCCAAAGCAATGACCCAGTGTTATCAGCATTGTCCAGCATTCAGTTTTCGCTCTCCGACATGAACTCCAGAATTCAGGCTTTGGAGTCCGGTTCATCTTCTAGGTCCTCGGCAAATCTTCTCTTCTCTGGCCCGTCTCTCGAGAACTCCACTTCAGGCACGGCGCGGCTGCCCGTGTTTACTCCGCAGCTGGATGATGACGTCACAAATACGGCAGCAGCGACTATTCCGCGAAGAACGATGGGAAGTGCAGTTCCCGTGTCTTCAGGCGCTCCATTCTTTCCGCCGGCTGCGGCGATTTCTCATCAGTTGAGAAGCCAAATCGTGGCAGGTAATGATGTCAATCTTATAAAAATATTACTGTGCTCAGAAATGAGTGAGAAGCGTGTTGTCGATTGCGGCGATGTGTCCGTTATGCTGAAAGACAGCGATCCCCGGCTTTCAAAAATGTTAACACTAGCTGAATTTAACGTGGCATTTGGGGTTTACAGAGATGTCATTTGCGAAATCTATCCGTCTCGTAGAGCCGAGCTGGACACTTATTTGGCAATAATTTCTGACTTGGCTCTGACTTATGGAGGAACTCTCTTCTATGACTATCACAAATCATTCTCTGCCAAAGCTGCCATGTTTATTCAACGTTTTAATCAGAGATTGGACTGGTCCGTAGTCGACTTAACCCTCATAAGCAGACATTTCACTGGTCATCAAGCTCTCTCCTGCTCGATCTGTGGCTCTCATTCTCACACTCTCAATCTATGCCCAAAATCTGTGTCTCCTTTTACTTCTAAGCCTGGCTTTCAAACTGTTGACTCTAAGGTAACACCATTCGCTACTCCTTTGTGCTTTAATTTTAATGAAAATGTTTGCAAATTCTATAATTGTAAATATGTTCATGCTTGTAGTTACTGCGGGGACGGCCACCCAAAATCTGTGTGCCCAAGACGAACCCGCTTTATGAAAAAGGACAAAAAGAAATAAAGCCAACAACTCCAGTCAATGTTCCTAAGCTGGGACAGGCACTAAAAAATCATCCTAACCGCTGCTTTGTCAATTATTTAATAACTGGACTTATTCAAGGTTTTCTTGCAGGATTGTTATGGTTGCCTAAGTTATCATTTTCCTGTAATAATTTGCTTTCTGCTGTTAAAGAACCTGAAATTGTTGATTTTTTGTTGGAAAAGGAAGTTAAGAAAGCATTCCTGATTGGGCCTTTCGATAAGTCTCCTTTCTCAATTTGTCGGATTAATCCTATAGGGATCGCTACTCGGAAATATTCAGGGAAGAAGCGCTTAATTTTTGATTTGTCTGCCCCTCATAATGATGCCACTCAAAGTATCAATAGTCTTATTCCTTTAACTCCGTTTTCTCTCTTTTACGCAACAGTCGACGATGCAATTAAAATTATCAAAAAAGCAGGTAGGGGTGCCTGGCTCGCAAAGGCAGATATTACAGACGCCTTTAAAATCATGCCTTTACATCCATCACAGTGGCATTTATTTGGCATTAAATGGAGGGAAAAATTTTATTTTTCGGTCCGGCTTACTTTTGGCTGTCGCAGTAGTCCAAAAATATTTGATACACTTTCAGAGGCGCTATGTTGGATTCTTCTTAATAATTGCAAAATACCGCATGTGCTCCATCTTTTAGACGATTTTCTGCTAGTGGATTATAAAAATGCAAAGCCAGAGAGATGCATTTCGGCGTTAAAACACACTTTTGCCGATTTAGGTGTTCCCCTTTCTGAGGAAAAAACCTTAGGTCCTCTCAAAGTTATTGAGTTTTTAGGCATTACTTTAGATTCCAATTTAATGCAAGCCTCGTTGCCCCTTAAAAAATTAAATCGCATTAGAGAAATCATGAGAAATGCTCAGATGTCCACATGTTTTTCAAAAAGAGATTTGCTTTCTCTGCTAGGCCATCTTAATTTTGCGATGCGTATAATTCCCCAAGGCAGGTCTTTCATTGCCAGACTCCTCGATATATCTAAATCAGTTAAAGATCTTAAGGACATAGTTACTCTAGATGCAGGCTGCAGATCAGATCTCAGGTTCTGGTCTTTGCTCCTTAATAATTGGAATGGCATTTCTTTTTTTCATCATGACGATCTGGAGTCTTCTGCAGCCCTTAAATTGTATACAGATGCTGCGCCTTCTGTCGGTTTTGGGGGGGTTTTTAATGGTCAGTGGTTTGCTAGTAAATGGCCAAAGGAGCTGATGTCCATGCCTGATAATAATCTGTCTACCGCTCTGTTGGAACTTTATCCCATTGTGATAGCTTGTATTTTGTGGGGCAAACAATGGTCCAGAAAACAAATTCTGTTCTTTTGTGATAATGAGGCAACTGTTTATATTATTAATAAGGGTCGCTCATCAGTTCCGTTTATCAACCGGTTCGTCAGGCGCCTTACTTGGGCATCGATATTGGATAACTTCATTTTTCGAGCTGCTCACATTCCAGGCTTAAACAATCAAGTTGCTGATTCACTTTCTCGATTTGAATTTCAGAAATTCCACCTCCTGTGTCCAGGTTCAGCATCAACCAGCTTGGTCTGCCCTCCTTTCAGCCAGACCGTAATAGATTAGACATGACCCTTCAATCTTATGTTGATTCAGCAGCTAAGTACATGCGCAGTGGTCTAGCAACATCGACATTAAAAATGTACGACACTGCTTGGTCTCATTTTAGTTCTTTTTGTGCCACCTTCTCTGTAAATGTACTTCCTGTCAATGTTTCATATGTTAGTGCTTTTATAG